TCTCAATTGGGCAATCCACTAGTGACCGTAGTTAGGTCCCTTTTCCAAGGACTTAATAAAGCTTTTATTGACTCTCTTACTCAAGAAGTTGTGTACCCCGTAGAAACAATGCACAGGGACGTGCATGATATTTAATGGGGGAGGATGTAACCCAGAAGCTAGAACCTTAATGAGGTATTAACTAATTGGCTTACTAATATGATCCATCCTCAATTTAGATAAAATATAAAATATAAATTAAGGAAATTAACAATACTAATTAATAGATATCTAATTAACTAATAGATAATTTCATAATGAATTATTGGAAGGGTGAATAACTAAAATAACGAGTTTAATATTAAACATCGGTTAAAACAAGAATCTTGAACATCCCTAACAGAAACAGAAGAGGAAAGCTGTATACTATTGGTCCAGGTGGGAATCTGAAATTTCATTGGCTGAGAGAAATAAGTCCCGCCTCCGCGAAATAAAACCGTGCGACGCAGCTGAGCGAGAGGAGAGACAAACGGCTGTGCAGCACGCAGATACAGAAAGCAAAGACTGAGCGGTTAGAGAGAGAGAGAGAGAAAAAAAAAAACAACGGTCGAGGCCGTGAAGAACCCTGATTTGGGTGCCGCATAGATAGAGGGAGAGGCGGACTTGACTCCTTCTAATAAGAGCTAGGAACTTGGAACCAACGCGGTGAGTAAAGAAAAAAGAAGAGAAAAAGCTAACGATGCAACTTAAAAAAAAAAAGGAAACTTAAATAGCTTATCAAATTAATTCCATTCTTATAGATTTGTGTGGAGACGACAGAGTGAACCAATCCTCTGTAGGAGGGAACCGTTGGAGCGCGTTGGTGAGTGAATGAGATTAAATTCAGTAAATTATTAAATTCAAAAAGCTAATTACAGCAACCGAGGTGACAGCAGTGGGCTGCTAGACGTTAGATCCCAGGAGTTAACATCTCAAACTACCAGTTAACGGTGGTAGGGCATATAGGAGTTAACGGCTCAAACCGCCAGTTAACGGCGGTAGGGCATATGGGATTCCCAGGAGTTAACGGCTCAAACCGCCAGTTAACGGTGGTACGGCCTAGATGTACAAGGTCCTCAGGGGCGTTATAGCTAACGCCATAGAATTAGCAATGCGTCCCTTAACCAAACATTTAATAATAAAAAAAATAGATAAATGAAAATAAATAAAAGCTAACTGATTAGGGAGGAATTATTTTACAAAGGTGGACCAAAGGACCAGAATTTATATTTTGTTGAATTTTGTTATAGAACATTTTATTTATTTATTTATTTATTTATTTATTGTGTTACAGATATACAAGGTGTCACAATGCTGTATAGAAACACAACTAAATGTATCCTTGTTGTCATGAATGTATTTCTTGTTGAATAGTGTAGAGTAATAGAATCTAACTGAGCCTATTGAGCTGAACAATTGTTGTCATATGTAATTATATTTCCAGAGCTACTGAGAATTATTTTAATAGACAATCAAATTGATGTTATGTTAGTTGAACTGTGAACCCAAACATGATTGGCTATGCCAATAGAGTGAAGCATTTGTTTAAGTCTGTAAGACTTTATGCTGTGATGTGACGAGAAGGGTCGATGCCAACTTGCTAACAGTCCTGTTGTTTACAGGCTGGGTTTTTTTTTTCCCTTGGGTTTGATCCCGACTCCTATGATCACTCACATATATGAATCAGGTTTATGATGAAATATAATCTACTGCACTTTCATCCTGCTCTCTTTATGCATTAAACATGATTATATGTCCCTTTGGTTTGCAAAATGTCCCGAGGCAACACCTTCCAATTGACTCTGCCAGCAGCCTTATCCACTCGTGCCTTTGTTTGTCCATCTCACTGTCAGTCTGAGCAGGTTGACAGCTCTGACCCTGTCAAGAGTGTCAAATTGCTTGTCGGAGGTCTTCAGTAAAGTACAATGATGAGCCCTTTAATGCATTACAACACGAGTGCCAGTGAGAAATGAGAGACCGTATCTTCCCAGCCTCAAGGCAGACAGGTGCTCCACTGAACAAGGTGCACACGTCAAACACCAAACAAACACATACTCACACACAAACACACACACGTGCAAGCATAAAAATGCATATATTCACAGAGAAGTACTCTGTCAAAACTAATGAATGAACATTTATTGAAAGGATTTCATAACAATTAACTAAACTGTCATTTAAACTGTAGAAAAAGAAAAACGAAAACACGAGGAATGTTTGCTCAGACTGCAAGGTGCAGTGTCCATGCCTCAATGTCCATACTGTTAAAAATCCAACTTGCAATTTGTTTGGAGAGTTTAAAGTTTTAAGTCAGTTGAACGTTTTAACTTGCAAAATGTTAAGCTAATACAGAAAAGCAAGCACCTAAAAAGTTGACTAAACTTAAAATTGTATTGCAACTGGTTGCTTTACTTTTTTAAGTTCACTGGACTTTTTTTTTACAGTGCACAATGGCTCAGATGCTTTTATTTTTTATTTTTTTTTTTTGTAATTTGAGGATTTTGTTGGAGGAGCTTGCATGACTGACACAGATTTTTTGTCAGTGGTAATAAAAAGAAATCACTGTTTGGACAAGCTTGGGAGCATGATAGGTCCGCCACTGTGGGGCCTCTCAATGGGCCCAAGGGGAGACAGTCTGCCTGTCAATGTCTCCTATAACAGAATGCTGGAGAACCAACATAAGATTTTGAAGGAGCATTTAGCTTCAAGATGACGAGGAAAACGAATAAAATCTATTTTTGAACATGACGTTTTGCATTGAAGCAGTCTTTTACCCCAAGGTGCAACAGGTTCACACTGCAATCTTTGATCCCTTCTCCATTGGGATATAGTTGGATTAAAACAGCTAATGGGGTGGGACAGCCCTTAAAAACGTGTATACATAGCAAACATGAATCAACTTCAAACCAACCCACTGTAGAAAGACAAGAAAGTCTTTCAAAGAATTACCTTCATCCTCTCTATTGTTTCATCTTGAAAAAGCTCATCATCACAGTCCATGTTGACGCCCTGATGTACGTTTCAAAGAAAGAGCGGCACATGCTGCATTCAAAACAGCCTTTGACTTCATACGCTATGATGAAATATCCGGTTCAATGTAGGCCAAGTGAAGGTGCTGGGAACTCGACCATGGGTAACCTCACGTCCAACTTAGTCATCCTTCAGGAAATCCAGTTCTCTGGCATGGAGGTTTGGTTCAATGCATACCCTCACACCTTGCCAGTATACCCACATCCTGCAAGCGAGCGATTCCCACTCTTGATACACTGCCCCTCCCTAACCCAAGGGCCCATGTTCATTCTGAGCAAGTACGTCTTTGGGGAGCTTGTCTCAACCATCTGTCACGGATGTCTCAGGACATCTCCCATCAACACCAATGGTTCCACGTGGTAAATGCCAGTTGTGGCTGAAAAGGTCACAAATAAAAAGAAACATTTGTGTTATATTTAAGCCTAAATCCTTGGGCCATTTTGAATTTTAAATGATAACTTGAAATAATATTTTGGAGGGTCAGGGACTGAACAACACTTATATTAACTTTAAGGTTTATGGATACGTTCAATTGTTTCCAAATCAAATCTTCCATTTGCTTTTTAACCTTTTGTTATTGATCTAGAAGTAGAAGTATACATGGCATCTATACCTTTATAGCAACGTCTATTGTTCTATGCTGTCATAACACTAAGCAATCTTTGTGTAGTAATGCACAGGCGAGCAATTCTGTATGTACCCGGGGTGGAGTGCAAAATTTTATGTAAATCCCCTTAACGACCTTTTCAGGGCGCCGACAATCGCCATACAAAGGTGACTGGCAGGCGACACTGGTGCACATTTATCCTTTTGCCCCGGCCCGTCTTTCTCTGTAGCGCCCCCTACTGTGAGAGGCGTGGGGTAGGGTGCCCAGTGGGACTTGCTGCCAATGGAAGAAGCCAGCATGGACCCCTCTCATGGCAACGATACAGGTCGTTGTAATAATGTTCGGTTTGTTTCTGCTTCACACCACCTTGGGATTTGGCCCGCCCCATAATCCAGTACATGAGACGCAGAGGGAGGCATCCCATGCTTGTCCATCCGAGTTCCAGCCTTGTTTGGCCCAAACTGGCTCCTTTGTATGACTCACACACAGCAGTCCAATTGCTGTCCCGGGGTCGTTTCCTAATGCGCATCTGTTATCAAGATTTTTATGATTATCGAAACTCCAAAAACCCCAAATCTGAAAAATGTCCTTGAATATAGCATGTAAGCATCTGAAACTAGCAGAAAATGTATTTGTAATGCATAAAGACCAAAGCGTTGACACAGTCCTTCTCTGTGTCGCTGTCACACACACACACACACACACACACACACACACACACACACACACACACACACACACACACACACACACACACACACACACACACACACACACACACACACACACCAGCTTTCCCAAGCCCCTTACTGAGTGTTTTTATCTCTGCTAGGCCTTGTCTCAGAGGGGAGTCAGGCCCCTACTGAGACATTACCCACTTCCTACTGCACAGCCTGTTTTGCCCCTTGGCAGCCCTCTTCTATTCAGAAACTTCCTCCAAAGCACACAAAACATAAATATAAACTGGTTTTGCCACAGATTATTTAACGATATCTCAGAGCTGATGAACGATTTAGTATTTTTATTACCAAAATGTTAACATAGTGGCTTTGGTTCCAGTCAGGCCTTGTTGTTTTCTATGGAGTTTTACTGTAGCCATCCCCCCGGTTGTGGCCCCCCAGGTGGGCAAAAGAGGAGTTCTGGGGAGACATTTACCAAGAATAAAGAGAAGATTTAAGAAAAAAAAGGTATCCCAAAAAAGAAAAACTTGTGCGCCTGCGTGTGCGCGGTTTTTGTTTGTGTGGGAGAACGTTAGGCGTGTACACCAGCGGTGCCATCAAAATTTGTTTGCGTTTGTGTGTTTGTGTGTGTGTGCTTTCAGAGGGGTGTGTGTTTCATATATACACCCCCCCCTACTGTCCTATTTCTAGTCGTGTGTCCACACATCACAACTGTCAGTATCTGGTGAGATATGAAGGCGAAAAGATGGAAGAAGAGCACGTTGGATGGATATTACCTTTGTGTTAGCCTGTGGAGTGCGGAGGATTTAGCATTATCGTTAGGATCTATACTGCCTCTTCGCCTCGCTGCATGGTATGTGACTACGTTTGATATTACTGACCAATAAATTAAGTTTATGTATTGTTGAAATTCTCATTAGTAGGCTGTAAAGTAAAAATCCCAAGTTATTACAGCTTTATTTTCAAACTTTTCTTCAAGGCTTTTGGTGTAAAAGTATAAGAGGTACAAGTACTATAGGGAAACTATTATTTTGAGTTGAAATATGTGGACTGGCTAAGTCAGGCAGAAGAGTGAATTAAAAGGAGAATGGGGAGTCTATGCCTGTAGCTTCTTTTGGTGCAAAATTTTGAATGAAAGCCATTGTTTTTTTGCTTTTTGCATTTTATTTATCAGAGTGAATCTTTTATTTGGTGTCAATAATTGCTTTCTAGTGGTCCACTTGGTGTCTTGGAAACAGACACATTTAAAGATGCTCAGACATCCAGCTGTTGTACTTGGATTTGTTGGACGGGACTTACTTCTTTACTTTGTACCGATTGTACTGCTTTAAAAAAACACTTGAGTTGAGTACATTTTACAGGCTGCAGTTTCAATCAGTTGGCATTGTTGTTTGTTCTTGAACTAAAAAGCCTAAAAATGAGCAATTAGAGCTCAAATGTCATGAATCAGCAATGGTAAATACCACCATGTGTCTAGTTGTAAAAGATATGCCATTTAGATTTTTTATATCTTTTTAAAAATATACATTAAATGTTTTATAATGTCTCGTCTCGTCTCTCATCTCGTCTTCCTCCGCTTATCCGGGTCCGGGTCGCGGGGGCAGCATCCCAACTAGGGAGCTCCAGACCGTTCTCTCCCCAGCCACCTCCACCAGCTCCTCCGGCAGGACCCCAAGACGTTCCCGGACCAGATTGGAGATGTAACCTCTCCAACGTGTCCTGGGTCGACCCGGGGGCCTCCAGCCGGCAGGTCATGCCCGAAAAACCTCCCCAGGGAGGCGTCCAGGAGGCATCCTGACCAGATGCCCAAACCACCTCAACTGACTCCTTTCGATCCGGAGGAGCAGCGGTTCTACTCCAAGTCCCTCCCGAATGTCCGAGCTCCTCACCCTATCTCTAAGGCTGAGCCCAGCCACCCTACGGAGGAAACTCATTTCGGCCGCTTCAATCCGCGATCTCGTTCTTTCGGTCATTACCCAAAGCTCATGACCATAGGTGAGGATTGGGGCGTAGATCGACTGGTAAATCGAGAGCCCAGCATTCTGGCTCAGCTCCCTCTTCAGCACGACAGATCGGCTCAGCGTCCGCATCACTGCAGACGCTGAGCCGATCCGCCTGTCGATCTCCCGATTCCTCCTACCCTCACTCGTGAACCAGACCCCGAGATACTTAAACTCCTCCACTTAAGGTAAGACCTCTCTCCTGACCCGGAGTTGGCAAGCCACCCTTTTCCGGTCGAGAACCATGGTCTCAGATTTGGATAAGTTGCTTTGGATAAAAGTGTCTGCTAAATGAATAAACATAAACATAAACATCTTGTCTCCATTTGTTTACCTGTTTCAGAGGGGGGATGTGTTTAGTCATGTGACAATGATTATAATCATCTCAGAAGCGTAAATGTGTGTGTTGTGTGTACATGATAATGTAAATTCAGCTTTAATAATTTTCATTCTAAACAATATCTGATGAGTTTAGAAGCATCAATGCCAGCATTGGCAAATATCTGTTATCGGCCATGACAGTGATCTTAATATTGGCTATCGGTATCGGCCCAAAAATTTCATATTGGTGCATCACTAACATTTAGTTTATCTAATAAAGTGATTAAGAAAGCTAAATTAAAAGACATTACTTCACTGAAGTTCAGTTATAATTGATTTCTAGTCAAGACAGCAGTTGCTGAAAGCAATCTCGTTGCCTTTCAGTCGAACAAAAGCACAAATTATGGTAGAGGGGTGAGACAGTAGGCGGTATGAGCCTTCACTGTGTGGTCCTTTATCCTCCTCCCCTCCTGCTGTTCTGCTCTGGCCTTCTCCCCTCCTGCTGCCCCCTCTGCTGGGGTTAGCAGGCATAGTTGACCCTGGTTAAAATTCAACTTTCCCAACAATAACAGGGTTAGTCTCTTTCTTAATGGCCTGGCAGTGCTAGAAACGTAAGGTGAATTAATGAAGTTTGAAAACAAACATCTTGGTGAATTTAAATTAATCCGACAGTTTATACATGTTTAAACGCTGTGCAAAGCTTAAAGAAAGAAAGAAAGAAAACAATCTTTTATATAGCGCCTCTCAAGATAAAAACCATGAGGCCCTTCACAAAAACAAAATATATTTTTCAATTAAAAGATTTCAAAAATGATTATATGTTTAAAAGGTGAAAAGAAAAAAATGTAAGGAAAGGGAGAAAGAAAATGAATAGGAAAGAGGGAAACCAGTGGATCCCCGGAAGGGCGGCATAAGGAGAGGGAGGTGACGAAGGTCACGCAAAAGCCAGCTTGAACAGGTGAGTTTTCAGCTGCTTTTTAAAGGAAACCACTGAGTCCACTGATAAGTCCACTTGAATAAAGAATGCAATTATTCTGTCATTTTTTCAAAGAAAAATATTTATTAATGTTTGGAATGACCTTTCTAATGACTCATTTTTATTGTTTTATTATTGTTTTATTAGCAGGAACAGTTCAAAAAGTTAGGACACATTATTTTCATTTGATGTCATCCCATTTTTTTCTTAGAAAAAAGGAGAACTGAAAAAGATCAGCTGTATTTTTACAGGGGGTAGAACAGGTTGTCCAGCAATTGGAAAGTTAGATTCCTGCTCCCACCAGAGAATGCTGCTGTTGTGTCCTTGGGCAAGACACTTAACCCACCTTGCCTGCCGGTGGTGGTCGGCAGGACCGATTGTGCCGGTTTTTGGAATTGACAGTCTTGCTTCCGTCAGTGTGCCCCAGGGCAGCTGTGGCGACATTGTAGCTCATCCCCACTAGTGTGTGAATGTGTGTGTGAATTGGTGGATTACTGATTGTGATGTGAAGCGCCTTGGGGGGTTGTACAACCCTAAGAAGTTGCCTCCAGAGAATTTTGATTAGGGGTGGCCATACGGGGCCAAAGAAATTTTGGGGGTGGCACACCAAATTGGCCCTTGTGGGAGAGTTTAGCCTGTGGCAATGTTTTGCATTGCTCCTTTATTTGTTTTTATTTTTTTAAAACACATTATGTATCCAAAACATTTTACTTAAATTTTAAAAACATTTCATAAAAATACATTTCAGTTACTTAAAATGTTATTTCAAATGTTTTAAAATTTATTTTTTAGTTTAATTCACCTGTTGCTTTGTTCACAAAAATTATGGAGATAAAAACTTTTAAATGGTGAGCAGCAGAAATGTATTTCATTTATTCTGATTATTTCTTTACTCATTAATTGTATTGTTTTTTATCTGTTTTACAATTATGTCTTGAACACGTAAGATCAATTTATGGTTATAAAAGTAAAAAAAATGCATACACGTAATACTAAATGTCATATTTCAAGGTACAAGAAAATAAAACCAGAATAAAAACATTTTTAAAATAATTATAAAGGGAAAAGTCTCCATCTTTTTGTACCACCCATTGTGTTAATACAATCTAAAAATTAAGACTCTGGATGGTACTTAATTTCTTAAAAGATTTTGTGGTTCTTCCTAATAATGTCCAAACGATTCCTTTGAATTCTGCTATTGTGCTTATTCTGCAATAGAATAATTGTATAATTTATAAGCATATCTTAGACAATTACGTATTTTTTTTGCTTTTCGGGTCTTTTGTTACATGATTGCCAATATATTTTATATGTTTTTAAATGGAATCTTGTTATATGGTAGCCTGGCCAGTCAGACTCTCCCTGTTCAAGTCTGGCCAGGCTAGTTGTATGGATCAATATGAGTAGATGTGGATGTAATATCCCCGTTGACCACAGGGGGCGATACCCCTTGGTCCACTCACCACTGAAGTTTGCGGAAGTTCTGACGTGTCAAGTGTCGCCATTTTCCTGTGAAGAAGGGAACGCCTTTAGAGACGGAAATACTTCGAAGGAGTAAGTGTAGATACTTTAATAAAACAATATAGACATTTTAATCTGCCTACCATGACTTACTGTAGTCATACACGTAATTGGATGATTAAGGGCTTGAATACGCGAGTGTGTGGCTGATTATTTTAATCAGGGAAGCCACTTTTGACATTATTGTGTCGACGACGCTTGTCCTTTTCCTAGTATTTTCTTATCTCCTTGACGTCATATCGGATTTATTCATTTTCATGTACGTGTCTCGAAAGATGCCGTACGGCATTAACACCATCAAATGATTAAAACTGATTTAACCGTAACATTGCTCAACGTCATCTTACAGTCGGTGTTTACGTACTTGAACAACTTTTAGCATAACAGCTAGTCAAAGTCGTGCTCTGGTGTCCTTACTAAAATAAGTCCTTTAAAACTGCCATTTAAGTAGGAAATAAAAATGTAAAATGTTACAGATGACGTAGTTGAGGCACTCCCTCGTTTAAATAATCCCTAGATGCTAAAGTGTTGCAAACATTTATTTATTTCAACCATGTTTTAACTGCATTTTTTTTTTACTTAAGGAGCATTTAGATGACAGTCAGTTTTAGTGTTTCTGAGCTGATCAATCACAGCAGTATTAAAAAAAATTATATGTAATCGGAGCTCATTTTATTTTAATCATCTGGTGCCCAGTCCTGGTCCTGGAGGGCCACTATCCTGCATTTTTCCAAATCCCTGCTTCAACTGACCTGATTTTAACAGGCTTCTGAAGAACTCGATGAGCTGCTGAATGGGTGATCTAATCACTGGATTGAGTGTTGAAGCAGGGAAACAACTAAATCCTACAGGATAGTGGCCCTTGAGAATCATGGTCAGGCTCGCCACCCTGTTTGTTATTTCCCTGCTCAAACATACTAGATTCAATGTTTGAATCACTTGTTCAGCAGGTCATCAAAGTCTGCAAAAGCCTGCTAATCAACTTTGGACTAAAATCAAGTGTATTGAAACAGGGAAACAACTAAAACAAGTTGGATATTGGCTTTCCAGAACCCAGATTGCTCACCCTGTCCATCTGTTTCCATGTGTTCGTTAGCACTTCTTTCTAGTGTTTTTATCTTGAAAATATTAAATGTATTACATTTCTACATCCAAACATCATTTGTTCATGACTTCAAATGGTGTTTTTTTAGGTACTCTGGTAATTTGTCTTAAAATTGAATTGGTAGCAGCCAGCTGTTTCATATGTTCTGATATTGAGCCACGATCTTGTCACCAGTGGTGTTCTTTTGCTAATTATACTAGTGCGTAATGAATGGAGGACCCAGGGAAGGGTGGAGGTATGGCGGTTCAGTGAGACCGACAGCCAGATTGTCCAATGGTTGCTTTCGATCCAAAATGTGTTATTCTTGAATGTTATTAGAAAAATATGAGAAAGCCACTTCATTTTTTATCTCTACAATATAGTTATAGCTATATTGTTATGTTGTTAAAGAGGAATAAAAAATATTTTAAGCTAACGTGTGTTTCAAATTTGCTTTAGCAACTGTAATGGAGATTTTTGATCCTATGTGCTACAGTCAATGCAAGTTTATCTTCAAGAATAGTCACTCATCTTATTTAAATTTAGGACTCTTAAGATAAACGTATTAAGGCCAAATCATTCTTCTTGGTAGTTACAAAGTTGTCTAATAGTAGTTATGTACTTCAACCATCATTTGGGCATGTCTGTCACGTTTTCCCACATGTGACTAATCTCAACCCAGCTGTAATGATTTATTTGTTGCAGCCATTTTTTTTGTCAACCAACTACTTACCTCAGCCATATCTGTTTCTTTTCAGGTTTTTGGGGTGCCACTTTATATTTTCTTTGGTTAGGAGGACTTTACCATCACCGGCCACCATGGGGAATATGTTTGCAGGACTCTTTAAAATGTTCGGGAAAAAAGAAATGAGGATACTCATGGTGGGTCTTGACGCTGCAGGAAAGACGACTATTTTGTACAAGCTTAAACTTGGCGAGATTGTGACTACCATTCCCACAATAGGTGAGTCAAACATGTTCAGCACATTCTGGAACATGTTTCGTCTTAATATGATTATTTTTAATGTAATTTTGTTTTTGTCTTTCAGGTTTCAATGTGGAGACCGTAGAATACAAAAACATCAGTTTTACAGTTTGGGATGTTGGTGGTCAAGACAAAATTAGACCGCTGTGGCGTCATTATTTTCAGAACACTCAAGGTAATGTTTCACTAGTTTTAGATTTTATTTACTCTGCTTCACCTAAAATGGCTTGTATCGTGTTATTTTCCATCTTGCAGGGCAACATAAGGCCCAACATATGATCAAATATCATTGGCTTTACTGAGATGTAATTTTTTCCAAAATGTTATTTTTGCGAGCCATTACTTTTACTCAGACACAAGGCGTTTGGATTTGATTAAACCCCGCCTCCACTTGTGTGAATACCATAATAGTACACAGCTGCAGACCCACAGAATGTAGGCTGATTATCATGTTCCATTTGGCTATTGACGAGGAGAAAATGTTGCTAGGATGAAATGTTGTCCCATTTCGTCCCAGATTCGTACCAATCAAACTTTATAACCATTCAGCTAGAGGTTAGGATTTTAGCTTTACTCGCTGCCCTGACCTGTCTGGCTTTAATATTTGAAGAAGTAATTGTCTGAAAACCCACTCTGATATTCAAGACTCAAGACAACTTTATTGTCTCAAATTGCCTTTCAGATAGATTCTAAACAATCAATTTACATATTCATAAAACCTATATACGCATTCACCTCATACCTTTACATGTGAATGATCAACAGAGAGTAAACCTTTATGCACACACATACGCACATACAAATACACATGGATACATGCAACTACATGCATGCACACATTGGTGATAAATTCACTGTCACATTCTTGCTTTGGTTTTTAAGAGCTCGTGAAAATAAAATCCAATCATGTCGTCGTCGTTGTCGTCTTCCTCCGCTTATCCGGGTCGCGGGAGCAGCATCCCAACTAGGGAGCTCCAGACCGTCCTCTCCCTGGCCTTCTCCACCAGCTCCTCCGGCAGGACCCCAAGGCGTTCCTGGACCAGATTGGAGATGTAACCTCTCCAATGTGTCCTGGGTCGACCCGGGGGCCTCCTGCCGGCAGGACATGCCCGAAACACCTCCCCGGGGAGGCGTCCAGGAGGCATCCTGACCAGATGCACAAACCACCTCAACTGACTCCTTTCGATCCAGAGGAGCAGCGGTTCTACTCCGAGTCCCTCCCAAATGTCCGAGCTCCTCACTCTATCTCTAAGGCTGAGCCCGGCCACCCTACGGAGGAAACTCATTTCGGCCGCTTGTATCAGCGATCTCATTCTTTCGTTCATTACCCAAAGCTCATGACCATAGGTGAGGATTGGGACGTAGATCGACCGGTAAATTGAGAGCCTGGCTTTCTGGCTCAGCGCCCTCTTCACCATGACAGATCGGCTCAGCGCCCGCATCACTGCAGATGCTGAACCAATCCGCCTGTCGATCTCCCAATCCCTCCTACCCTCACTCGTGAACAAGACCCCGAGATACTTAAACTCCTCCACTTGAGGTAGGACCTCTCCCCGACCCGGAGTTGGCAAGCCACCCTTTTCCGGTCGAGAACCATGGTCAGATTTGGAGGTGCTGATCCTCATCCCAGCCGCTTCACACTCTGCCGCGAACCTACCCAGCAAGAGCTGAAGGTCAGAGCTGGATGAAGCTAGGAGGACCACATAATCCGCAAAAAGCAGAGACCAGATTTTCCTGCCACCAAACTCGACACACTCCACACCACGGCTGCGCCTAGATTTTCTGTCCATAAAGATAATGAACAGAACCGGTGACAAAGGGCAGACCTGGTGGAGTCCAACCCTCACCGGGAACAGGTCCGACTTACTACCGGCTATGCGGACCAAACTCACGCTCCTCTGGTATAGGGACTGAATGGCCCTTAACAGAAAGCCACCCACCCCATACTCCTGGAGCGTCCTCCACAGGGTGCCCCTGGGGACACAGTCATAAGCCTTCTCCAAATCCATAAAACACATGTGGATTGGTTGGGCAAACTCCCATGCCCCCTAAATCACCCTTGCAAGGGTATAGAGCTGGTCCACAGTTCCACGGCCAGGACGAAAACCACATTGCTCCTCCTCAATCTGAGATTCAACTATCGATCAGACCCTCCTCTCCAGTACCTTGGAGTAGACCTTTCCAGGGAGGCTGAGGAATGTGATCCCTCTATAGTTGGAACACACCCTCAGGTCTCCTTTTTAAAGATGGGGACCACCACCCTGGTCTGCCACTCCACAGGAACTGCCCCCGATGACCACGCAATGTTGCAGAGACGTGTCAACCATGACAGCCCTACAACATCCATAGCCTTGAGATACCCAGGACGAACCTCATCTGCCCCCGGGGCTCCTCCGCTGTGTAGTTGTTTCACTACCTCAGCAACTTCTGCCCCCAAGATTGGACAGTACATCCCCAGGTCTCCCGGCTCTGGTTCCTCCTCGGAATGCGCATAGGTGGGATTGAGGAGCTCCTCAAAGTATTCCTTCCACTGCCCGACTATAGCCCCAGTTGACGTCAGCAGCTCCCCATCCCCACTGTAAACAGTGTGAGCGAGTTGCTGCCTTCCTCTCCTGAGGCGCTGGACAGTTTGCCAGAACCTCTTTGGAGACGATCGATACTCTTTCTCCATGGCCTCACCAAACTACTCCCACGCCCGAGATTTTGCCTCGGCAACTGCCACTGCTGCACCCCGCTTGGCTATCCGGTACCTGTCTGCTGCCTCTGGAGACCCACAGACCAGCCACACCCTGTAGGCCTCCTTCTTCAGCCTGACGGCTCCCTAAACCTCTGGTATCCACCAGCGGGTACAGGGGTTGCCACCACGACTGGCACCGGCCACCTTGTGACCACAGCTAGCAACAGCCGTCTCAACAGTCGCAGAGTGGAACAAGGCCCACTCTGAGTCAATGTCCCCCGCTGCTCTCGGGACGCGGTCAAAGCTCTGCCGGAGGTGGGAGTTGAAGACCGTCTTAACAGGTTCTTCTGCCAGGCGTTCCCAGCAGACCCTCACTATGCGTTTGGGTCTGCCAGGTCTACGCGGCATCTTCCCCTGCCATCTGATTCAACTCACCACCAGGTGGTGATCAGTTGACAGCTCCGCTCCTCTCTTCACTCGGGTGTCCAAAACATACGGCCGCTGGTCAGATGATACGACTACAAAGTCTATCATTGACCTGCAACCTAGACTGCCCTGGTACCAAGTGTACCTGTGGGCATCCTTGTGTTTGAACATGGTGTTCGTTATGGCCAAACTGCGGCTTGTACAGAAGTCCAATAACGAAACGCCACTCGAGTTCAGATCAGGCGGGCCATTGCTCCCAATCACACCCCTCCAGGTCAAGCTGTCATTGCCCACGTGAGCATTGAAGTCCCCCAGCAGGACAATGGAGTCCCCTGATGGAGCACTATCTAGCACTCGTCCCAGGGACTCCAAAAAAGGTGGGTACTCTGAACTGACATTTGGCCCATAAGCACAAACATCAGTCAGGACCCATTCCCCGACCCGAAGCTACCCTCTCGTCCCCTGGGCTAAACCCCAACACAGGCAGAGAGTCTTGGGGCTAACAAAAAGCCAACCCCAGCCCTCCACCTCTCACCCGGAGCAACTCCAGCAAAGGAGAGTCTCCAACCCCTCTCAAGGACTTGGGTTCCAGAGCCAATGCTATGTGTCGAGGCGAGTCCGACTATATCTAGCCGGTACCGCTCAACCTCTGCCACAAGCTCCTGCTCCTTCCCCGCCAGCGAGGTGACGTTCCATGTCCCAGAAACCAGTTTTCTTGTCCGGGGATTGGACCGCCAAGGCTCCCGCCTTGGTCTGCCACCCGATCCACATTGCACCGGACCCTTCATGTTCCTCCTGTGGGTGGTGGGTCCACAGTTGGATGAGCCCATGTATCCGGTTCAGGCTGGGCCCCATGGGCGAAAGCCCAGCCACCACCCGCCGCTCGCTCACGGGCCCCAACCCCAGGCCTGGCTCCAGGGTGGGACCCCGGTAACCCTCCGACTCTTTGAATTTACATTCATGAAAGATCCAATCATTTCTGCAGATAAAATTAATATCGGGAAGACTAGATGGGGAGTCTGTACCTCTGGAAGACAAAAATCTATTTTTGGGTTCTAGACATTCTTTAAAGGGACTCTAAGGAAGTTTGACAGCCAAAACATGTATAGAAATAATAAATTTCTTCTTCATACATTCTCCTGCAATGCTCTGGTCCTGTAGAATGAGCCCTGGCATTTTTACTGTAATTGCCTGTTTTTCTGTAAAATCACAGAAAAAGAGAGCTGCTCGGGTCAAGCAGGCTGCTGCATGCGCGTTCACGCTCAGGCATAGCCTGTAGCATTTACTATCCGTAGCTTTTGCAGCAGAGAGAGAGGTAGTGCCAACTCAGCGACTTTGTCGCTGTTCCTAACACCTAGTGATGAACCTAGCTACATTTCTGAGGACCTTAGCTACTTTATGTAGAAATTTCTTCTAGATATTTCCTGCAAATTAGTAACAAAATAGCCATTTTCGCTCCGAACCTTTCTTTGGATTGATGTTGTTTCAGCTGTCATCAAGGATATAAATGTTACAGATAGGTTCAATGTTACTGGCGCTTTAGCTCACGTAGTAAGATGTCTGACTTTCATGTAGAAGATCTGGGTTCAATTCCAGGTGTGAACAGAATTTGTTGTTTGGAGTTTCTTTTTTACATTAATGATATATTTTTTTACACTAATAAGACACCTAAATTTTTATTTGAGACTCGCCGAAAAGCACTGAATTCACGGATTAAAAAAGATGTGGGTTCAACTTTCATTTTGGAACTATTTTTCAAGCAAGGGAAGAGAATGATCTGAGCATGCAGGAGGACTGACTCATCTTAAACCTTTGTCGGCTGTGCTGAAGAGAAAGGTACAGAACCAAATTATTTAACTGAGTGTTCTGTCCTCTGTCCTCCGGGTCACACACACACACACACACACACACACACACACACACACACACACACACACACACACACACACACACACACACACACACACACACACACACACACACACACACACACACACACACACACACACACACACTGCACGGCCAACAAGAGTGCAGCTGCAAAGACAGAGGCACATTATTTTTATTAATTTGCTGTGTTCTTCTGTCCTCCGGGACACACACACACAGGACTGTCTCAGCTGTTATTTTTGTTAAGGAGTGTGCACGCAGGGGCGTGTCCAGGGAGTGGCCTGGGGTAGCACATGCCACCCTTGGAATCTGATTGGCCACCCCAGGTGTCACCACACTAATTTACCTTCAAATAGGCTTTTCATTGTCCACAAAAGGCTTGGGGGTAAAACAAAAAAGCATAACAATTGGTGCCACCCATGCACAAAGTTGTGCCTCACCTGGGCCACCCCAGTTTAAAAGATCTGGACACGCCACTGTGTGCACGTACAGCATGTGCACCTCATGCATGAGCTCACTTGAAGCTGCAGTTACGCGTCAGGCCTGAGTGGCGATCGAGAGCATAAAAACTTCAAACTTCCTTAGTCCCTTTAAAGTGCAGACTAGATGAGAAAGGAACTCCCTGCTAGCTACTCTGACCCCATACGTCACACTGGAGGCATCAGCCTCGCGGAACAGCAGCAGAACAGTTTACTCGCGAGCTTTGCCACACGCCAGTACACACTGGGAGAGTCACAGCCACAAAGAGGCTTCTCCGCCCTGCTCCTTGCAGGACTCGCGAGATCAAAAAATCCCTTGACTTCCGCCAGTTGACACGAGATTTCATGTTTTCTTCGAAGCTTCTAAGGTTTGTTTATGCCATCCAGCAGTAAACCAAAAAGAAGGAAATCACATTTGATATTGCTGTTTGTAGTCAAATATGGTGTTCCTCCCCACTGCCAGGACTAAAGCCATGAAAAGCACTGTTGCATTTAACAAACAATGCAGGGAGTAAATAAGCTGTGAGGCCACAGGTATAATCAACATAGATATGTAATTGCATTGCTGCAATATACTTTTTATTTTGAAAATTATCAGACGCTTCACACTGAAACTTTGTCATTTGCTGTCTAGCCCTATGTTAACTGCGGAAATTGGCGTGTCCTAGAAGCGGCTCATGGAAGAAATGGAACCCGATCCTGCTTCTGGGACGCGTCTGAAAAGTTTTGCATCGCGGATGCTTCCAGTGTGAAGTAGGGGTGAGAGAGTGCACGTCAGCGTTTAGTCCAGGGAAGGAGGGCTCTGGATTTGAGACTACCTGGATGGGGAGGAGCAGGGCACCGGACTTTGGCAATAGCTTAGCAGAGCTGAAGGGAAGAAGCAGCTGTGACAGGAAATCTTGTGTGAAGCCAAAAAATGCTTATGGTGTTTTTCATGGGGAATTAACAATATAGCATGGTCAAAAGCTCCAATAAGTGGATTTTGCATGATATGGGACCTATAAAAATTGCTCTTTTCTCCTTTTAGGTCTCATCTTTGTTGTGGATAGCAATGACAGAGAGCGATGTGGCGAGGCCCGTGAAGAGCTAGTGAGAATGCTGGCAGAGGACGAGCTGCGTGATGCTGTGCTACTAGTGTTTGCCAACAAACAAGTAAGTACTACAATCTTTATAGAGCAGGAAATCGTCATAACCAGCTTTTGGGAGTTTTTTCCCCCCCAGATAAGAGGTTGTTAATGCTCTCCCATCGATTTCTCTGTAGGACCTTCCAAATGCCATGAATGCTGCAGAAATCACAGACAAGTTGGGCCTTCACTCGCTGCGCAACAGAAACTGGTACATCCAGGCCACCTGTGCCACCACTGGAGACGGTCTCTATGAAGGACTTGATTGGCTGTCGAATCAGCTCAAGAACCATTAACGATGAGGGTGTTTGAGACGACTAATGCTTCCTTTAAATGTTTCTCTTTACACTTAAGCAAAACTGAGCTCCCTCATACTGGAAGCTGCCGTCGGCTCAGGTTTGATCTCAGATTCACGGGCCAGGTGATTTAATGATGTAAAGCTTTAGTTATGCTTTTTTATTTTGTGTAACTGTAAATAATTATTTTTGGGTAATAGGTAAGCTTTTTGCACTCTTGTGGTGGCTCCACTCTTCCTGGCTGTTAAGGCTTTTGATCAAGAAAAGGGAGGAAATGATCTTACCAGCATGGTTTGGCTCCAGAACCTCAACGCAATAAACTACAAATGCACTACTTGCATTTAATTTTGCAAAGTATCGCCACTGACTACACATGACAGCCCTGAAATGAACATTTCATATATTTGTGCGGGATTCACTCCTGTTAGTGAGTAAAACGGTGCTGCAGATATCCTGCTCTGTTCTAGTTAAAAAGGCAGATTAAATGTTAATAGTCTCAGGTTGACCATGCGATGTGGTCCATCACTTTTATGGCTGTTTACATCATCAGTTAGAAGAGGACTATTTACTTATTCCTGTAGCTCTACACTGTTTATCTGTGTACTGTGAGAGGTAAATGTGGAAACAACCGTTTAGTTTTCATTTAAGAGTCTAAACAGTCTTTATTCCATTTGGAGCTCCGTCTGGGGGGAAAAAAACATTGACACCAAAACCAATTGCATTTTTCAAAGTGCTGCTGTTTTTGCTGTAATCAAAAGGCCAAATGATGCCCCCCTTTTATTTTTTTTTGTAAAATTCACAACATATTTCCTCTATTTTTCCAGAAATGATCTAAGAAGTGTCTATTCGACATATGTTGTTGCTTTTTATAAATGTTTTGATTTAAGATTGTCTAAATGTACTATTAATCACTCGAGTTTGTAATTGTTTGAAGCTTTTTGTTTGTTGGAGAAAAACACTAATTAAAATCATTGGATACAATGTTTCTAGAATGAACTTTGTCCTTTAAACTTCTTAAAGTGAGGGAGTTAATGTGATTATTCCTCAGAGGGATTTTTCTTTGACAGTAACAATGTACGCACAATATGAACTAGTGAAAATGTAAAAAATTGAAAAAGTTGTGCGTTTCAAACTTGAGGTGAATTCTAGATTAATTAAAACATTTTTCCACAGTTTAACATATTGAAATTCATTTTTGATGTTGCAGGACTGTTAAAATTGTAATATAAAAAACACCAAACTCTTGGTGCTAATCTGGAAATGACGGGAAGAAATACGACATCCTGAAGTGATGAAACCACCCAGTGTCGAGGTTAAACCAGTTAAGTGAAGAGCACATCCTGCTCCACTTTGTGTTGGGGGCAATCTAGGACAGCATTCTTGCAGGTTGATTAGGCTGCCATGGTTAATGCAACCAAGCCAATAAAACATGGCAGCAGAGTGTATGGAGGTGGTGGAAGGAGGGAGAAGTAGTCTGAACCCTGAATCCTTCATAGGGTGGCTTTGTCTGGCCTCCACTCCTGCTGCTTCATCAGCTTGGTTTGTGTGTGGCGGACTAACGGTACTCAGCCTTATAAAAAAGGACCAGTCTGGTTTTTTCTGCACTCTATGAATGCCTTGCTCTTTTTTCCCATTCTAGCCCCCAGGTGTCAGCCCGCAGAATCCCCTCTTTCAGGTCAATTCAAGGCAAATGCAAACACTACGCTCTATTAGGGTCCGTATCCGAGGGAAATAACTCCCGTCAGGGACTTGAACCTTGAATGCAGAAAGATTAAGGAGCACAGGCATGATTAGGGGAAAGAAAATGACCAGAACTAATGAATAAGTGGAGCCATGAGGTGGAGAATGCGTTCTAGAATGAAAAACGAATATCTGCATAAGTAGTGATACATGTTAGACATGACTTTCAGTAAAAATCCTAACTTCCTGTTTGAAACAGCAGTGGTGTCAGACGGGTAAAAAAAAATAAAAAAAATCTTGGGCTGATTGTGAAACAGTGCGTAGCTTTAAAATTATATAGCATAAAAATATTAAACATTTATGACTATTTCATATTTAATAACATTAAACACAATCCAAAATAAAACATCACTTACACACGACCAGAACATTGGGAGAATTTGTTCAAACAAAAAACTTTGGTGCATCTCACTGACTAGCTTTTATCCTGTCCAGAGTACCAGAGGCCTCGCGGCCAGTGGAGAGTTCTGGCTGCACTACATGTCTGATTTGGGGGTGTGAGGGGCAGGACATTAGTCGTCCGAGTCTGTGTCGTGGCGTCGCCTGTGGCTTTGTGTTGAACCAGCAGGAGCCTTCTTGTGGATGGCAGGGTTGCTGCGGGTAGGAGACCCCCCGTCGGAGGAGTCTGTGTCATGTCGCTGCTGCCAATGATGGGGGTGGGAAGGCTGTCGCTCGGCCTTTTCTCCCCCCCTTGAATGGCTGTCATGGGGTCTGGCTCCACTCTGACTATGGTATGATGGATTATGATGATGGTGGTCCTTTTTGTGTCTGAAAAGTAAAAGGAAACAAACAGTGAGCGGGGTGTGGTGGGGCTTGATAAGTTGTAGTGAAGCTTTACGAGCATTTTTGACTTGCTCAATGAAAAAAGTTATAAACTACACATAAGTACTTATAATCGACCACCAAACTGTACATTTTTAACGCGTGTCCCACAAACACTATTAAGGTCATAAAAATATTACATGGCCTTTATGATGCTTTAACAACACACAGGTGCCTGGTGTAAAACAGTGTCCAAGCCCCCTCTAGTGTTGACCGGGTATATTGCATCAAGTTTCCAGGATCTTTCATTTGAGTGCTGCAGCAAATTCAGCAACAAAAAAAAGATCAAAAATATGAAATGATCCTCATTATTCTGAACCTAAAAACCCCGTAAATACGGGATTGTAATCCAATATTTGGTGTTTACAATCTAATCCAGGGGTCACCAACCTTGTGAACCTGAGAGCTACTTCAGTTGTTGAGCCAAATGAAGTGCTACAGCTTGATGCAATACTGACCTTTAAATTAGAATAAATCAGTGTTAAATTAAACTTCATGTTTTATCGCTTTTTTTAATTTGTAATTTTTAAGTCTATATTAATGCATTTGTGATTGGGAGATTTTTTATTCCTGGGGACACCATTGTGTCTGCGGGCACCAGGTTGGTGACCCCTGTTCTAATCTGTTCAAAATACTTAATCCTAAAACCAACCTTTTCCTGTTATCATCTGAATCTGATGAGGAGGAATCTCTTCTGTGCCTTTTTGTCTTTTTCTCTTTCTTCTTTTTCTCCTTTTTGCTCTTTTTTTCTTTCTTTTTCTTTTTGCTCTCAGGCCTGCAAGTGCAAAAACAAAACAAAAAATCCACATATGTCATTAATACATCATAGAGCAAAAATATATGGAGATTTTCCTAAATATTGCATTCTTACTTTTGTTCCTTTTCTTGTTTCACGACACTCTCGGTTGTTTTTGCTGCAGACGTTTCCAGACGACTCTCCGTCTTATGGTGCTGTACACGAAGCACGGTTTTCATTTTAGCAATACATCACAGGAAAAGTGACGACTACAACTCAGCAGCGGACAATGCTTTAAATGTGTGTTTAATAAATAAAACTAGGCTTACTGTGAAAACTGGCAGGCCCATTTTAGCTGCCTCCTTTTCTTTTTGGGACAGCAGCATTCTTCGAGACCCTGCACTTCATATGAAAATGAAAAAAAAACACTTTCTTTTCACAGCTTTTTTACAATAACATGCAGATAAATACATTTGAAATATATGTAAGGATTTACTCTATAATAACTGCTGAAACACTATTTTAAACATAATAGTTTCATATGATGATAAAGTGATAACCTGGAGCTTCCCAAGCCAGAAATACGATCCACGTTCCTCTCCTCACCATCCACCTCATCCCTCCTACAGACCTCAACAAGGTCCTGAAAAAAATAAAATCAAAATGAATTCATTTTTAATCACGTTAAAATGTTTAAAGATGTTCTCCATTTTGTCACATACCTCTTTGGTAAGGCCAGTTGGTTGTCTCTTTATACTCTTGTGTCCTCTAGATGAGAATTTAAAACATAAATAAATATTTTTATGATCTGAACTTCATAGATACCAACATGTATTTGAAGAGGAGTTCCACGTACAAGGCAGCCATCATCGCCTCGTGTTCTGCTGCCTTCACAGAAGCAAGTTCATCTGCCTTGGACAAAGCTTTCCCAGTCTTTTTGTCTTTAGCGTACCATGTCAGATCTTTCCCCTTTTGCCACCGTCCTACTGGTGCCTTTAAAGAGTTTCCTGGAACAAAAGGAGAATGTGCGTACAAGGAAAAAAGACTAAATCTGCAATCCAGTTTCGCTTGCATTATACCAACGTTTCTAACTCTAACCCCTACTTCACACTGGAAGAATAAGCGGCACAGAACAGCACTGCTTCAAAATAGAATCCATTAAAGTCTATGGGGGTGATTCAAACCAGCCGTGCCGCTGAAGATCAGGTTCTAGTTTTGCCGTGGACCGATTCTGGGACACGTCATTTACGAAGTTAACATAGGGCTAGACAGGCTAGACACGGTTTCAGTGTAAAATGCCCGGGTAATTTTCAAAATGAAAGACTATTGCAGCAATGTCATTTCCCATATATGTAGATTACGTCAACAAATGTGAACTAACAGCTTTTTTACTCCCAGCATCGTTCCAGAAGTGCAGCGGTGTGTTTTTCATGGGTTTAATCCTGGCAGTGGAGAGAAACAGCATCATCTATGACATCAAACATGATTTACTTCTTTTTGGATTAATAGCAGATGGTATAAACAAACCGTGATCTTTGAAGTAGGGCTCGACCGATATGCTTTTTTTGGGGCCAATACCGATATAAAACTTTTAACAATGGCCGATAGCCGATATAATGGCTGATAAATGTCCCTCACAAAAAAATAAATAAAAAATTTCTTACGCTTAAACCCTTCATTCTCTGCCTTTTTGATACAAACTTATTTCTCTGTTACACACCAAAGAACTGTCTCAATAACTCACTAGGGTTTCCAAGTAATGCAAATAAGATTTATTAAGCAGATCTCAAAAACAACAGAACACACAAACTCAGTCACAGCATAAATCATTTGTGTTCAAAGTAGTGGAGCCACACAACATGAGTTCATAAAGCTGGTGCCATCTGCTGGATCGGTAGCACAATATCGGCCATATCGGCCATCTTTTTGGCCGATAGCCTATAGTGTTAATGACCCCAATATCGGCCGATAATATCGGCCGGGCGATATATCGGTCGGGCCTTGCTTTGAAGTCTTGAGGGATTTTGTGATCTTGCAAGTTAAAGAGACAATGTGTAGTTTTTATCATTAATCTCTGGAAATATCCATCAAAATGTTGAACATGAATTAAATGAGGCCCAGTTGTTGAAAAATATTGGCGGCTTCTTAACATAACCATAAAAATCTGGTCTAAAATACATGGAAGAGGATCAAAGTCTCACGGTGACGCCATACTAGATGCTGTGTTTCCTTCTACAGGAGCCCTTGAGGACAAAATACATTACTGATTTGTAACAACTGTTGCAAAACTTTCACCATTCATAAACGTTGTTTTACACATTTACCTCTTCACTTGTTGCCACTGATGAAAGGGAGCCTGATGTGCTGCATTTTACTGAAGTTTGCACTCCCCAGGGCTTTTTGACCCTAATGGGCATCCATTATTAAAGTCTTACTCCAACACAAAAATACAGCTTCCTTGCAACAATTTAGGTATCTACTGCCCCCTATCACCAGGAAAAATACACACTGTCACTTTAAGCGAGGCAGAGAAGCCGGTCCATGGCTGAGATTCTCCCAGTGTGTACTGGCACGCAGCGAAAGTAAACCGTTCTGCACTGCTGATGCCTCCAGTGTGAAATAGGGGTAACCTTTCATTTCTGCTCATACTGAACCAGGATCCTCTGGATGTTTCTTCCTCTTAAAAGGGAGTTTTCCTCTCCACTGTTGCTACATGCTTGCTTAGTATGAAGATTGCTGCAAAGACACTGACACAAGTCAGTGACTTGATGCAATCTGCTGGAAACTTTTTACTGACTGGCTTAATGAACTGAACTGTATTGGAATGTTAACTTTGTGAGACGAGTCTTCTCTTGATTTGGCACTATTTAATAACCTGAATTGAATTATTTACTGAATAAACTTAGGAGTGGCATAATGTTAAATATTAAACATTTCACTTGCAAACATTTATGCAGTCTTTGAAACACTTAAGATCTGGTCTGGTAGTCTTGTCTTCATGCATGACCATGAAAATCTTTTAAAGGTTCATATCTAATAAGGAAAAATGTGTGCAGCATCTCTTAGAGAAACTCCACATTTGTAGCTTAGCATCCATGAGTTCTTTATCAGACAATGTTAACATCAACAACTGTCAAGATGGACCTGAACCCCAAAACACAACATTCCAAACAGAAATGTAACTTTTGATCCCATTTGAGTCACATTTGCGCTGACTGCTACGTAGCTCGTGTCTGGCATGCTGACTAGCTAGTTGGCAGCGCTCAGGGGGAGCGGAGAGGCTACCTGCTTTCTGTTCAGGGTTCAGAGGTGGAAAAGAAAGTAGGGTCCTGCTGTGTGTAAAGTATAAAGTAAGACGCCATAAAAACCATCCAAGATCTGTGTAATGAGGGACTCCAATACAAAAGGTATGGGAAGACGCCTGTGGGGCCAAAGTGTGCATTTTAACACGATTTGAACTATCTCGCTCAGTTGCTTGCTTGCTCGCCCACTCTGGCTAGCACTGATAGCGCAGCTAGACGCACGTACTTACCGAGATAATTTTCTCTGTGTTTATCGACTTTCACGTCATCCCAGTTAAACTGATCCTGGCCTCCTCGTAAGCCTCCGGATCTCGAAGAACCAAACATTTCTGCAGTTTGAGTCGAAGATTTGGGAGAAATGTTTCGCACCGTTAGCAGCTAACGTTAGCCGCAGGAGCTGCGCGATTAGGCAGGCCTTCAGCGTGCGCTCATCCGGGGAATTGTTTGGTGAGTTTATGGCAAGCAACTGTAGCATATATTCAAACCAAACTTTTTTTCTCTTTTCTTTAGAAATGCCTGCTTTTTTCCTTTTAGGGGAATTTTGTTCTTATTAGTCAAACTATTCATTACAATTATCTGAAATACTTAGCTAAATATTTGTATTTTAATGTCCTTTCAAAGGAAATTCTATACAGAGAAATGTGTTAAGGATCTCTGAAACTCACAGTCCACACTGTAAATGATAAATGCCTATTTAAATTTTTTTTTATTACTCATTTATTGTCATTATAATAATTGAAGGTAGTCCCACATGCCAAGCCAACTTGCACCGCAAATAGGGTTACGTCATATCGATGTAGATAAACATGGTACATTTTGATAAAGACACATTTAAGGTGCAAAAACATAACACAAGAAGGTAGCAAAGACAGGTAAAGCATTTTCTAAAAATGCATTACATAAAATTGTGCTAAATAAATGAAAGAAGATGCAAACTTTTTCATTTTGTCTCATCATATCATGTTCTCATTAGAAATCCTAATTTTAACTGCCATTTGTAAAAAACTGTTGCTGCCCTTCTTTTCTCTTCATGTAATTTGGATTTAACTTGTCTTAATGGAAGTTTTTAATGTTTTTGTACATATTTAATTTAATTTATTTTAGATATTCTAATAATCTCCAACGTTTACTTGAGTAGTACGCAGCCGAGTGCAGACAGGATGATAATCAGCTCTTCCAAATCTGAGACCATGGTCTTAAGTCAAAAAAGGGTAGAATGCCTTCTCCAGGTCAGGGACTAGGTCCTGCCTCAAGTGGAGATGTTTAGGTATATAAGGGTGTTGTTCTAGTAATGCAGCCTGTTGTGGTGTAAAGAGAGAGATGAGCTGGAAGACTGGTCCATGTACATTCCGACCCTCATCTATAGTATGGTCACAAGCTTTGGGTATTGACTGAAGGAAAGAGGTTGCAGATACAAGTGGCCAAAATGACATTTTCTCCACAGGATGTCCAGAATTTTCCTTAGAAATAGGGTGAGAAGCTCAGTCATCTGGGAGGGAATCAGAGTAGATCTGGTTAGGATGCCTCCTGAACTCTGGTGATGTTTTCCAGACACATCCAACAAGGAGGAGACTTAAAGGGAGACCCAGGACAGGCTGGGAGGACTGTTTCTCAGCTGTCCTGGGAACACCTTGGGATTCCCCCTGAGGAGCTGTCCCAAGTCATGTGGAAAGGGAAGTCTGGGCCTCTGCTCAGGCTGCGACCCAACCTCACATAAGTAGAGGGAAAAGGGATGGATGGATAGATATTATATATTTTAGATTTATATGTTTAACAGTGAACATATAATAAAAGTGTAGATGATGTTTAAAATGTGAGTTGTTTGAAACATTTTAACGATAACTGGCTGCTTTGAATAGCCATGTGTAGATGTTATATGATAAATCGGCTTGCCGTTCGGTTCCAGGTGACGCCGGAGCAACGTGTTTGCGTTTACATTAAAAATGAGTAACTCTAGGAGCTGTAACAAGAGGAATGTTCTCGGAAATTGCTACATAAACTAAAAAAATATATTATTATTATGAGAATGAGGCCCAAAATTATGATTTTAAAGTATCGAGCTGTGTAGAGCGCGTGACGAAATGATCGGATGTGCAAGATGCTGTGGCTACAACTTCTTAATAAGCAAGTAACAAAAGTATTGCTTTTCTACGTATTTGTGTAGCTAACTTTGCTTGATGTTTGTCGCGCGCTTTATTGACGCTCGTGAACGTCTTGGGCCGTAGTGATGACGTAGTCAGCTCAGTTCTCCTAATGGCTCTCGAAGTGAGAACACAGAGCTCTGGAGGGAGGTAGTATTCGGACACGGTCTCGGAGCCTCAGACTAACCGCTCTCCGCATGTACCTGAGGCTTTGCACCAGGCTATTTTCAGGTAGGAATAAGGAACTTTGCATTTTAACGCCCTGGGACTTTTATTTGTTTTGAGGGCATCGGAAACAGCCGTTCATCTACGGAGGCAGCTTGTCGACAGAGGAGAAGATGGAGTTGTAGTTCAGCTACTCTTGCAGGCAGTTCCGTATCTATACAATTCGTTTTTGTATTGGCTTAAAGCCTATTGTAACATTGCATATCAAATATTTCACTAAACCTTTTTATTAAAAGGCTTATTGGCATAAAATATATTAATGCAATCAAAAGCTGTACGCGTTTTCTGTCCGTTTTGCATTTTCAAGCAGATCGCGACACTTTATGGCTCATAAGCATGAGTCAAAGTGCGTTTTGCAACGCACCAGCAACACATTTGTATCATTTTACCACCTATGTAGTTGCTGTCAGTTTTTTTTTTTTTTTTTTTTTTTTTTGCACGTGAAGCATCAGGATGATGAGGTCACACTGCTGGGCTGAAAAAGAGTAGAAGTGGTTGAATATCTGTCCTCACAACCCTCTAAATCTTGTTTAGGTGTAGTGTGGAAATTCTGAGAGGGGATGTTCCAAATGTGACTTTTTAAAGCAAGTTTTATTTTGCTTCTCTGGTACTTTGTCCTGTTGTTCCAGCTTTAACTTATTGGAATTTGTGTGATTTTAAAGCTTGCTTCAGGCAAATACCAGTCAGTCACATGTTTAAAGTCAGGCACCTACAGCTTCCAATAAGTGTCTTGCAGGCTCACGTGGCCTTAATTTCCCATCATGCTGATCTTTATACAGGAAATGTAGGGGCTCGTGTCCGCATGTATGAGTTGCACAAGTTTTGTCATTAGGTGTCGTGCGTTTTTTTTTTTTTTTTTTTTCCTGATTTGGTTCGAAAGATTTTCCGGGTGAAATTGGATCGCTCTAAGGGGTTTTAGTCAGATTTTATAAGGGGGATGAGGGGAATATAAAGGCTCTATGATCACTGCCAAAGTTATGATTCTTAAATCAATATTATATAAAATTACATTACATAAAATAACCACTGTATTGGTTTGCAGTTATTTAGGGTCTTAATTTTACAGACTAATTTCTAAATTAAATTAAATGTTAACTTGTTGCATTCCAGACAAACTGGAGGATTTCTCTGATTTATTTTCCTGCAAAGACGGCCTGCAGATCTGACATTAGTAGGAAAAAGGCTTCAGAATGCAGAGAAGCCGAGATGTGGGTGGATAAAGGTGCATGTTGTGAGGTAGCCGTAGACCTGCCTTCTTCCTTCCACTCCCTTCAAGTGATCCAATTTCACAGTCAAACCTGATCACATGAATTCCTTGTCTGCTTGAGCTCTGTTTAAAGAAAAGGTAAGGAGAAATGCTTTTATTTCAAAAGAAAGGTTAAACACTTAAGTTTATCAGCTTCTTCAGTTTATTGTAGCTATAAGTTTGTGTTTGTGAACTGGGTTTCTCTTGTTTCTCCTGAATCTGGCTTGTCTGGAAACATTTACACACGCTGCGGTGCTATGACTTCTTTTTAAGATCGGGTTTATGCATATTTTTGACTCGTGTAAGATTCCAGTGATGGGTCGTCCTCTCTCCTTTCCACATCTGTCTCCTTGCCTTAAAGCGTTACAGTCTTTATTTCTCCTCTTCCCTTTCAGCGATGGCTGGACCCAGGCCAGTGGTGTTCAGCGGCCCGTCGGGGGCAGGAAAAAGCACTTTGCTGAAAAAGCTAATGAAAGAATATGAGAATGTCTTTGGCTTCAGCGTTTCCCGTAAGTGTCCCAGGTCGTTTCTTCAATAATGAAGCATTTAGCTTGGACCTGTGATTGTGATTTTGAAGTGTTTTGTCCGAAATGGGCAATTTATAAACATCTGTTGTGGAATCTGTGACAATTTCCTTCTACTAGTTGATGCAAATAAGTATAAATTATATATTTGCTCAACAAATGGTTGCAACTCCTGTTTGAAATCGATTTGTTATGTTTTTCAGACACAACAAGAAAACCTCGTCCTGGAGAAGAGAACGGCAAAGGTGCAGCCTTTAACTATATACATAGTTTTATGGTCCTCTTGATTTTAGTTTTATATTTCTAAAATGCATTAATTGTCATTTAGATTATCACTTTGTAACACGGGAGGCGATGCAAGCAGCCATCAACAACGGCGAGTTCATTGAGAACGCGGAGTTTTCAGGGAACATGTATGGGACAAGTAAAGCCGCCGTGCAAGCCGTCCAGGCAAAGAACCTCATCTGTATACTTGATATTGACATGCAGGGCGTGAAGAACATCAAAAAGACGGACCTCAACCCCATTTACATCTCCATTCAGCCACCGTCCATGGAGACTCTGGTGAGCGTACCTTCTTGTCTGTCGGTTTGGTGTTGTTGAAGATTTGGTGATGTTATTTTAGTCCTCTCCATGGTTTCAGGAAAAGCGTCTGAGAGACAGAAAAACCGAGTCAGAAGAGAGCCTTCAGAAGCGTTTAAACGCAGCCAAGGTGGACATTGAGTTCAGTAAGTAGCTATGGTTCAGTCACAAAAAAATCAAATTGAACCTTAAGTAGATGTTTAACTCATAGCTCTTTCTGATCTCACCTTGTAGGTAAAGAGCCAGGGGTGTTTGATGTCATTGTCATCAATGATAGCTTGGAGGATGCTTACGAGAGGTTAAGACAGGCCCTTCTTGGGGTGAGTTAACGTAAATGAACAGTAACTTTATTAGGACTTTGTTGCATTTGGGTGGATTTAGTTTCTTAGTCATACACAATGGAGGTAACTAGCTTCTTTCTGAGAATTGACCCTTTGCACCTATCTCAGCTGATCATGTGGGTGCACCATGGTGGACATCAACAACAACCGTCCTGAGTTACAGGAGTATTGAACAGAGGAGAAAGTGGCGATTGAGATTGTTTTTTATTTTTTTGCCAGATTAACCTGGCTTCTACTAGTTCAAGTCCAGTTCACTTGTGAGAAGATTCTTATGAATACCTAAGAGGGGCTCATAGACAGCTGTATTTACAAAAGTAAGTTAGCGAGCTCTGAAACCATCAATCTTACCTGGTAAAAAGTGTTTTCTGCAGATCCAAAAATACTTTGAAGGATGCTAGTCCGTTTGATAGCTGCTGTCCGTCCTCGTCTTCTGTCTCCAGCAACAGTTTACGATAAATCAACAAGTCGGTTTCACATCCATGTCTGTGCAGCCAAATGCGCAGCTAGCTATTACCGTCTTACTGTGAAATAAACAAGATGAAAGTGATATAGGGCTACAAAATAGCTCATTTTGGACTAGCTTAATGTTGTTTTAATGAAACAATGTTGACGTTCGCCATGGAGAAAGAGGCTGAGTATCTTGACATTACGTGCAGGGTCGTATTTTCCCGATTTCTTCCTGAATTGTCACCTCTGGCTGGTGTTTTTGCTCAGTTTTATTCAGTTTCAGCTAGGGATGGGTACTGTATTCGGTACTTTTTAAGGCATCGACCGAATTCCGTGGTACTGACCAAAGACCAATTCACATGATATGAAACGGTAGTATGTTTCGGTTCCATAGAGTTCGGTATTTGATGAGTTCGGTACCTGATTTCCCAAGATAGACAGCACAAGAGTGTAATGTCGTCAGTAGGGTTGTCACGGTAACCGGTGTAGCGGTAAATCCCGGTAAAAAAAGTTGACAATAATAATAAACGTCTTGTTTTTTAAAAAATATATTATCTCGGTGGATTACCGTGGCTGCGGTGTAGGCGCGGTGACCCTTACCAGCCACCGTATCTGCTGAAGTTGCCGGCGGCACATGCGCACTTTGTTGTTTACAACCAAAACTTTCTTGAAGCCAAAGCTGAAATAATGGCCAAAGGAGGAGACGGCAGCGCTCAGGACATTTTTTATCCCTCAAAGAAGACAAAGTGGGAAGTACGGGCATCTTTTGGATATTTGAAGATTGCCGAGGGACAGTTGATAGAAGACGGCTATCCTGTTTGCAGCACGTGCAGAAAAAGAGTCTGTGAAAGGCAGCAACGCTTCAAATCTCATGACACATCTGCGTGGTCATCACCCACAACTCTACAGTCAACGCAAGGCAAGCTAACGTTAGCGTTTTAGCTAAAATGCGTGATCCGAGGATTTGGGTTGAGGGAGAATGCAACGAGTCGCTATATAAAGCAGCCGCAGCGCCGCTACCTGCATATAAACCGTGTCGCGGACACCCCCATGTTGAAATGACGCTATGCATTACGGGGCTCCCAGGGGCAGATAAGAGTTGGTCTCTCTCCGAGAATAATTATGAATTTAACAATGATTACTGCCTGATGACATTTTCCCAAATCTGCAAAGCTCACTGGAAGGACACAAACCGAGGACAATATTTTCCTGATATAGGGTTTATTACTCAAGTAAGGGTAAAAAAAGTATCTGATTAGAAGGCTACTTGAGTACCGAGTATCATCTGGTCTAATATTTTTAAATGATAACATCAAACAGACGAAAAATAAGAAGTAATGGGCAAATATTGGTATTTTAAAGACTAAAGGGGAAAAATGTAAACAAATAAACAACATAATTACAAAATAACTAATTTTAGGCAAAATTTAGACACAAACTGAGGACAATATTTTCCTGATATACAGGGTTTATTTAGTTGTCTGAAAATGTAGCACGTTTAAAAAAATCCCGCGATAATACCGAAAACCGTGATAATGTTGGTCACAATAACCGTGAGGTTAAATTTTCACACCGTGACAACCCTAGTCGTCAGTCTCTGCAGGCCAGTTGTAAACAGAGCAAGCAGCATGGTAGAAAGAGCGTGCTCTAAAGTTTGGCTCCACTTCACTAAATGCAATGGGTGATTGGGTGATGATGACAACGATAAAAGTGAGTTATTATCGTCTTAATCTGCTCTAGCAGGTAAATAAACTGTTTAAGATAACTTTAGCTTGATATTTGAGCTTTCGTTGCTATCAGCTAATGGTGCATTCGCTCTCCCCTCGGTTTCTGGAAATTCCGACTTCCAAGTAGGCAGAGAGAAAGCCTCTAAAAGTTTGGGTCCACTTCACTAAATGCGATGGGTGATGACAACATTGACAATGATCAAAGTGAGGCATCATCATCTTAATCTGCTCCAGCAGGTAAATAGACTATTTAAGATAGCATTAGCTTGATACTTTAGCTTCCGTTGCAATCGGCTAATGGTGCGTTCGCGTTCTCCTCTGAACTCGAAAAATCAACAGTTTGAAAATGAACGTTAAAAGGAATGAAGATATACAGTAAATTTAGTTCACAGCAAAGATTTTTGCTTCAGTTTATTTAGCAGTTTTTAATACTACAAGGACCCACCCATCACACCGTTTTTCCTGAGGGGAAAGGAGAGGAATAGTACATGGAGCTGGGTTTTAGTTTGTGAAACACCACAATATTAAAATACAAACTGTTGTTTGGTGACAAAGTTTGATTTAGTTTCATTTGTAGTTTATAATACGTGATCTCCTCATCAGTTATTCCTGACGGCAAAGAAGAGGAATAGGAGTCTGGGTTTTCATTTTGCGTCATTTAGAAACAGTTGTGGTTAACGTTGCTCATATTGAAGAATTTTGTACAACGCTACGATAATAAAATACAGTTTGTAAGTTATTTACTATGATATTCATCAAATATGATATATATTGAGAAGAAAATATATTTATTTTTTTAATTTAAAAAAGAGAATTAATTAGTTATTAAACACTCAAAAGTTTAACAAAATTGGTACCGTTAAGTGCTGGTATCGATTCCTATGTACCGGGAATTGGTACCAAATCTATTTAAATGTGAAAGGTACCCATGCCTGGTTTCAGCCTCAGATGTAGTCCTAAGTCACAACCAAGCCAGAGACACTCTGCTTTGCACAAATGGAACAAGCGTCTAATGAAGAGTCTCCAGTTGCTGACCTGTTTCCACTCACACCTTTCATGTGGAAACACACAGCAGCACAGAGGCTCAGGTGTGAGCTGTTGAACAAAGCAGAAATAATTATCACAGGTGCAGCCGAGAAACAGGATGTGCAACCTAATGACACATGAAACATAGTGTTTGGAGTTGATGAATTTTCACTTCTGGATTTGTTTGATATCACTTTAAGGACTTTAGCATGAATAGTTGTTCATTCTGTTCTCTAAACAGACTCGCATGTTGAATTTTTTTCTTCTCTCCTAGGAAATCAGCAAGGTCAAGAAAGTCAACCCGTCTTTGTAGGAGAAAGCAGCCTCCTGTCGTTCTCTCCGTCTCATCCAGCCACTCCTCGTGAAACCACAGACTTCCATTCAAGCCATGTACATTCCCTCAGATGGCCTGTAAACAGTTCACTTTATTACAGCTATAAACACGTAGGTGTCACTCTGCGTTTAGAATCGGTAACTATTTTTGAACTAATGGGGGACTTTTTAAGATGTTTTATTTATTTTTTGACATGTATGAAGAAAAAGATGCTCCAATAATTCTTACTTGAAGTGTGACTGCTAGTCGTCCGTGAGACGGAGATGGCTGCAGTCAAGTGGGCTCACCAAACCGGATTTGCAAAACTCATTCCATCATGTGGACGAACTGGTTCACCAAGGGCAGGAAATAAACACCTTTGATAGAGTTGATTAACCAAACTGTGCATCTGTTTTGTGTTATTTTATGTGCTGCCCCTCTGTGTTGACGGGAGAGTTGATCACCCGGAAACATTAAAGATGTGCAGGTTACAGTGAGAGTTGAAAACTCAAACCTATTTCTGGAAAATGTGATTGTTTACTTTATGAACTGCAAGAACTTTTCAGACCGTGAAATTATTCCAGTGGTGGTGGATTATTTTCTCAAAGATTTGTTTTATTATATTAAATACATTTTTTTTTGTATTTTTGTGCTCATAGATCCCATTATAAAGATGCAATGTTTGCTTAGAAAAACATTACATACATTCTCCTACATTGTGTAGACTTGTTATTTTGCTTTGAAGAAGACAGATAAATTAAGCAGCTGATTGTAAATTTATAATTTTTATATTGCATAATTTGCTCACTTACCAGCTGTACTTGTCCAGTCACGACATTCAGTGGACTTAAATAACAAAGGATAAAATATGTTCCTTATTCTTTACCTTGACTAAAAAACACATGAAATTGTAAGTAAACATTTAAAAAGTACGCTTTTGTAAATTGCCATGACTTTTGTGGCACTGAAAAAGTGCATTTAAGCACCATGTGACATCCATATTTTTCTTAAGTCCATCAAATGTTTAATAGCAATCCTATGTTACACATTTAAACCTAAATAAAAATGTTAAAACCACCCACCATCATTGTTTGTGTTCTCTAACAAGAAAACATGACCTAAACAGCTTATATGGGGCTTTTGCTTACATTCATTTAATTCAACACTGTATTCAACCCATTACTGTTCAAAACTACACATGTACAGTACAAGCAATTAAAATCTGTTAGTACTTTAATACATAACACAGTAAATGACACCTCAGAGGAGGAAGTTAGCCCACTCACTTTTTAATTGCACTAAGAAGGTTGTAAATTTGGTGAGCCTGAGTATTTTGCACACATTTCCACTTAAATATGACCATTCTGGTTTCTCTAAATGAACAAATCTGACAAAAACATGCCATCACTCATCTAAACACATCAGCAGCACACGAAGACGTCCCTGTGAAAGTCTTGAGTTTGCACATCGACAGATTCCAAACATGACTTTGACTGGAGCATCTGAACATTTGTAACCACCTGCCGACTGATCTACAAGAATAATATTTTTTAAAAACTGTTCACAGAGGATTCATTCAAAGACTAACAGAAAAAACTAATTAGATTTTCTGTCAGTGATTAAATGAAAGCAAACAAAGTCACAACATCTTAATATTTCTTGTTCCAGTAATCCAAGGCACTTAAATGCAACATTTCTGTAAAGTACAAAAGTAAAACTCGAAATGTACGAAATACCAGCTTGTTTGTGAATATGGAGAAATGTTGTCTAATGCCTGGATCAGTTAGTATTGCTCAAATCCTGATGTTTAGGTTTCTGTCCACACTTCATATTGCTGACAAAAACAGAATGAGACTGAAACCTACTTACAGAGACAAAATTATTCCCACGCTTTCCAACTTCGCTAAAGTCTGGAAACCATCCTGATGTCAACCGTTTGTTATAAAACAGGGTTTGAGAATCAGACCTATTTTTGACTGACCACTTCAAATGGAATGGTTCGTAAAATGCATCAGAGATGTTCTTCACCTTTTACGCTAAAATTCATCTATTTAAGACTAAGAATTTGTGGTGCCGAATGAAGTTAGCTTACTGGTTCTGATTCTGGTTGTCTCTAATTTGAAGAGTGACAGTGTTTCCCACTGGTGTGTAGCCGTAGGTCTGAGTGGACAGTTTGGTTTTAAAGCTGCGCTGCCGTCCCTCAGCTCTCTGCACTTCAGAGCAGTATGAAGGCTTCACCTCCAGGTCCGCCTGGCTCACTCGGATCGGGACTTGCCTCTCCGTTCTGGGCCGAGGTTCGGCAGCTTGTGGGAAACCAGATGAGAAAATGCTGTTGGAGAGATGCTCTCTGAAGCGACCGAAGAAGCTACTCCTCTGCCTTGGTACGACATCTGGCCGTCCGACATTGAGAAGCACCGGCTGTCCCACTTGGGACCCACCGATCTCCCTCTGGAGAACAGAGATCTCACAGGGCTTCTCCTCTACAACATGGTGGGCACCGGAGGAACCGTACGTTTCGCCTTCCTCTGGGATGTAATCCTCCAAGTCCTCGAGGTTCAAAATACGATCTCCTTGTTTCAGGATCACATGCTCCTTTTCATTTGGTGCGTCACATTCTTCATCATCCGGTTCAAAGATAATAGTGTCCTGGTCATCAATGTCTTCTCCAGCAGATGTAAGGACAGATGAGACTTCAAGAGGTTCTCCAGAAGCAATCTGCTCACCTTCCTCCAAAGCGAGGGGCTGGCTGCTGATCTCCCCCTGCAGCTGTGCCTGGGTTTGCTCCACCAGCTTGTTGTTAGAATTATTAACATTTGGGTTTTCGATGGTGGACCTCTTGGGTCTTGAGGGAGTTGCAGCACGATCAGACCCTGCAGGTGAGACGCCTCTTCTCCTGGACAGCCTGGGTGACTTATTGACCTTGTACTCAATGACCTCTTCCACTTCAACCCACCTCGGCCTGGTCTCCACTGCCCTGGCTTCTGCTCCCTCTGGCTCTGTGACATAGAGGGTTGGTATGGTTGTCTTTCTTGGAGTGGGCATCCTTCTCGATCTCGCTGTCGGAGGCTCAGGTGTGGAAGTCTCAGAGCGATGGGCACCAACAAGAGTCAAGCCTGGGGATCTGTGTCTCCTCATACGGGGATTCTTCACCACAGTGGTAATAGTTTCCTCACTGGAGTGATTAAAGGAATATATGAGTTAGAGCTGCAGAAAGGCATTTGAAAAAAATGCTATGCTGAAGGCCGATTTCACACCAATGACTGAAGCTGGGAGCCTTAAACGACCAGTCGTAAATCACCAGCAGGCCTACAAGGGACTCTGCTTTAACATTAATAAGGAAAAGATGACTCTATAACACTAAATGAGAAGTGAAGCAATAAATAAACCAACGGTGGAGCCATTATGTGCAAACCTTTGTTATTGCTGAGATTTTCTGTTGCACATTTGTTCTGAAAAACTAATTTCACTCCTTTTCTTTCAGAATTCATGGATCTGTGAATAACACTGTCTTCACTTGAAGCCTTGTACTAAAATACAATAGCTCCGGTGAGCTGCAGCGATCGTCAACGCCCTGATGGTAACAGCCCCTCCCTTCATCATCCTTATGATAAAATCTCTTAGCATTTAGACTTTAAATACTACATGATTCGTATAGTGATACATGTAGATAAGTGCTCTAATTTCAGCTTTAGTCTGTTTTTACTTCTTAAATAAAATGTCTGCTTAAATACCAAAACACAGCTGCAGAGGAAATATTACAAAGGTTCTCCAGTTTGATTTGTTTTTGTAGTTAAATGTGCCCGTTGAAATTAGAGGATGTTAACAGAGTAAACCAACAGGCTTCACACACAAGCGTGACTGGAGACCAGTTACACTTACATGATGATGGTTTTCTTTGGTATTTTCGTCTGCTGCTCTGTGACTACAGGAAAAACAGGATGAAGAAAATAAAATTCAAACATTTTAGAATATGCATCTATTAAATAAGCCTAATTTATGTGCTATTATAGTGCAGAGTTAGAAAATAGATGCACAAATGCTAATAAGAAGAGATAAAAGTCCCAGTTCCTACCTTCAATGGTGATAGCCTGCTCACCAGTGCGAGCCACAGCAGAAGGGAGGACTAAATCAGCAGCACACTTGGCATTACCCAGGCGGTTTGACAGCTGGCAGCAGCAGAGGGTATAATTTTAGAGTCCTAAATATGACTTTGTGCTGCTAATTGACATCAGCTGTCTATAAATCAATTCTTAGGTGTAAAAACATTTACAAGGACCCAATTAAATCTCCACTCAGTGACCTATGAGTAAAGAGGCATCACTGAGAAAACATTTAAGCTCTAAATGCAGAAACTATACATTTAAAGTGACATTTAGAAGACAAAAAACATTTATAATTTGTTTAAAGAATGAAAAGTGTAATATATGAGAATATTAATGAACTGAATAGTCCGGACAAACCTCACACTCGTAGTGGCCAAGGTCTCGCTCGTTCAGGTTTTTTATGATCAGAACCAGAACCCCACTACGTAGCTCGCTGTAGGTCTGGTACTTTTCCTGGTCTGTCAGGAGTCTGCTGTCCTTGAACCACCTTATGACACAAAGTCAAAGATTAGGACTGTTTTGAGATGAAAACATTCAGCAGTACGTATATAATAAGACAAGAGATACCTGATTTTGGGGCTGGGAGCACTTTGTATTATGCAGGTGAATTGAGCGTCTTCCCCAGGGGCAAAGACAGCATTCTTCATCTTGTTTACAAAACGAGGAGGTACTGAAAGGTGTAATTATCATCAGTAAGGTTTAGATAGCTCATTAAGCTGGAAAAAGATATGAATGAAGTTTTACAGCAGGTTTTATGCTACGACATGAACAATCACGTGGCAGATTCTCCTACTGACTGATAATCAGCTTGCAGAGGAGCCCTTACCCTGAACAGTAATTTTTCCAAGAGTGCTGGCGTTTCCAGCTGCACTTGTGGCAAAGCACATGTACTGTCCAGAGTCATCTGCACTCATATTATCCAAGATCAGCGTGCAGGAACCATCAGGGTCCTCAATGATGATGTGATGGGGATCTGCCTCTACTGCACGTCCATCTACATCCAACAAGTAAACACAATAAATGCCTTATTTAAAAAAAAAAAAAGTAATCCAGTTGCCAGTGTGTGCAGATATTTTGAAACAGGGCAGATGAGAGGGAAAAGGTGTAAACATCTCACCCTTGTACCAGGTGACTGCAGGTTTGGGCACTCCTGTAACTTTGCAAGCCAGTTTCACTGTCTGACCCAACTCTGCTGTACAGTTTGCCAAAATTTCTTCAAAATCTGGCGGATCTGGAGGGGAAAATAGTCGTAAAAACTAGAGAAGCTCGATATTGGCTTTTTTTTTTTTTTTTTTTACCGATATCTGATATACCGGTTTTGTCTGGCTCTTAATTTCTACTACTGATATAAACAAATATGTGCTGTGTCCCCCTCTTACTAATATTACATATCGGGCTGCACAGTGGAGCAGGGGTTAGCGCTGTTGCCTTGCAGCAAGGAGGTCCTGGGTTCACATCCCTGTGATGAACTGGCAACCTGTCCAGGGCATACCCTGCCTGTTTGCCCGGAGACTGCTGGAGATAGACGCCAGCCCCCCCCACGACCCTGCACGAACGAGCGGGTAAAAAAAATGGTCATCCATCATGCATGCTTAAACTTAGACATTTTCTGCCTTCGAGAACATTCCTCTTTGGTTCTATTGGTGTGTTTCTGGAATGTTTGGACGAGTGTTAGATTTACTTATTTGATCAAATGTAAGCAGTGTACACATGCTAAGCTAGGCTAATTGCTAAGCACGATGCTAAGATGTGTCTGTTAGTAATATATTTTTTATGTTTCTGTATTTTGCGATATGATAAAACATTTTAAAGACCTTCAGTCAGGAAAAGCTATCCTTGGATGAAAATTCATATTTTGTTTTAGCCATTTTCTAGCTGTCTAGCTACATATAGCTACAAGCTGTGAGGACAGTAGACGTTCACTACACAGGGTAAATTTGTACTTTTTCATAAGTTGTCTCAAACAAACTAAAATATCTAAAAAACTAACCTCCAATCTGTCATATTTTGAAATATTGAGTGAGAAGAGAAGGAACATGTGTGCATGGTATGTAACAGTTGTGTGAGTAAAAGACTAAAAAATAATACTGATATTCTCCGATTTTATATTTTAATGCAACCATCGGCCAATGCTAATGGTAGACAAATAATATTGAACCTTCCTTGTTAAAAACAAGATATGTCCGAAATTACTGGCTTAAGAATGTTATCGGCTGATAATGGCATAAAAATGTAAAATTAAAAATGATCAGTTTTGGTTTTTACTCTTTTAGTAATACGACTTTTACAAACCATACACATATTATAAATCAAACTCTTTAGTTCCTTCTCCTCTCACTCAAAATGTCAAAACATGACAGATCCAAGATAGTTTCTGAGATAATTTAGGCATTTTAGCCCAGTTTAAATTGAAGTAGTTGTCATCTTTTGCAAAGATAAATGTTTAAAGTCCAAGTATGCATGATGGGTTAGGGTTAGTTACCCTAAAATTATTTAGTTTTTCTTTTTGTGAGAGGGGGCTCCACACATGGACGTAGATTTTTTTTTTGGGGGTGGGCAAAACTGGCTCTTGCTGATTGCTGACGCTCCCTGGCAGTAAGGCGTTTCCTGTTTCCTGTTTTCAGTGTTGCACTACGTGTAGCTGTTTGGTGTTTGGGGCTCGCTAAAATTGATTTAATTTCTCTCTATTAGGGTATCTCTGAGTTATTGTTGCACATAAGCATGCTAAAACACACATTTTCTGTTGTTCCACCTAGCTTTTAGGGAACCATTTGAGTTCGCACGCAGTTTATTTGGTGTTGAACAGTTTGCTCGTCCAATTTGCTTAGCCTCGGCACGGCTATGGCTACTTTTGTCTCTGCTTCTCCATCTCCTATCTCTTGCTCTCTGTGTCAGATGTTTAGTTACTCCTCTGCCTCCTTTAGTGATAATGGTACGTGTAATAAATGTAGCATTTTTGTAGCTTTGGAGACGAGGGTGTCGGAATTGGAGGCCCGGCTTCACGCTGTTGAAAAGCCCGTAAACAGCCGTAGCTACTTAGCTAGTGCGGGGCTAACTAGCTCAGAACCACTGACACACCCACTGACAAGCCGACTCTGATCATTGGCAGCTCCATAGTCAGAAACGTGGCATTAGAGTCTCCAGCAACCATAGTTAAACGTTTACCTGGGGCCAGAGCGGGCGACATTAAATCTCACCTGAAACTGCTGGCTAAGGATAAGCGTAAATACAGTAAGATTGTTATTCACGCTGGCAGTAATGACACCTGGTTACGCCAATTGGAGGTCACTAAAATTAATGTTGCTTCGGTGTGTAAGTTTGCCAAAACAATGTCGGACTCCATACTTTTCTCTGGCCCCCTGCCTGATCGGACCAGTGACGGCATGTTTAGCCGCATGCTGTCCTTCAACCACTGGTTGTCTAGGTGGTGTCCTGAAAATAACATGGGCTACATTGATAATTGGAAAAGTTTTTGGGGAAAACCTGGTCTGATGTGAAGTGACGGCATCCATCCCTCTTTGGATGGAGCAGCTCTTCTTTCTAGAAATATGGCCAGTTTTATTAGTCCTCCATGACAACCCAGGATCCAGACCAGGAAGCAGAGTCGTAGTTTAACACACCCCTCTGCAGCTTCTGTACTGTTACCCACCCACTACCCCATAGAGAGTGTCCTGCCCACAGCCAAAAATCACACAGATTAAATATCAGGCTTAATAAAGCAAATCATGGAAATCTCATAAATATTAGAACAAATTAAACTGAGCAGAAAATTAGAAAAATTAAATGTGGGTTATTGAACATTAGGTCTTCTTAGGTGTGTTCTTGCTGTGTCTTGGTTCTAAAAAGAACGACAGCATGGAATTAGAACATTAGGTCTATTTTTTCTAAAACTTTGTTAGTTAATGACTTGATTTGTGATAATCAGATTTCTTTGCTCACTCACAGAATCCTGGCTGCAGCAAGAGGACTATGTTAGCTTAAACGAATTGACTCCTTCAAATTATTAAATCATCATATTGCTCGAAGTACAGGGCGAGGAGGAGGAGTAGAAACCATTTTTCATTCGGACTTATTAATCAATCCCTTACCAATTAATAGCTGCAGTTCGTTCGAACATCTTATTCTTAGTTTTCCTGAACCAGATAGCAAAACTGTAAAACCACTCTTGTTTGTAGTTTTTTATTATCCACCAGGCCCTTACTTTTTGGATCAGATCTCTGATTTTTTTTATCAGATTTGGTGCTAAATACTGATAAGGTCATTGTAGTGGGGGATTTAAACATTCATGTGGACATTGACAATGATAGCCTCAATGTAGCCTTTAGTAATATCTTAGACTCAATTGGTTTTACTCAAAGAATGCATAGCTCCACCCACTCCTGCCATCATACATTAGACATTGTGCTGACTTATGGCATTGAGTGTGAGGAAATAATGATCTTTCCACATAATTCAGTCCTCTCGGACCACTTTCTGATAACCTTTGAGTTTTTTATAACTGAGTTCTCGAGACATGAAAGTAAATTTCACTATAGTCGGTCTCTATCTGACAACGCTGTTGCATCTTTTAAATCAACTGTTCCATCTCTAATGTCCTCAGCATCTCAGAGGAACGTAGCAGAGGGCAATATTTTCCTTTATAGCCCCTCACAAATTGATGCCTTTGTTCATAATGTTACTTCCTCTACGTGTGGCATTAGATGATGTTGCCCCTTTAAAAAAGAAGGTAATTAGGGACAGGAAGTTGGCTCCCTGGTTTAATTCTCATTTACGAGCTTTAAAACTAAACTCTAGAAAATTGGAGAGAACATGGCGCTCTACGCACCATGAGGAGTCCTACTTATCCTGGAAAAATAGTCTTGTGCTTTATAAAAATAAGCTTCAACAAACAACTGCTTATTTCTCAGCGTTAATTGAGGAGAATAAGAATAATCCTAAATTAATTTTCAGTACAGTTGCCAAACTTACACAGAATCATAGCTCTGAACCATCTATTCCCTTAGCCCTCAGCAGTAACGACTTTATGGGATTTTTCACAAGTAAAATTAATTCTATTAGAAACAATATCTTTAGCATCCTCCCTAATGCGATTTCTTCTTCCTCAGTAAGTGAGGCAGCATCAGAGGTAACTGTAGAACCTCATCTGTGTTTGAACCGTTTTGATCCAGTTGAGCTTTCAGAGTTATCAAAAATAGTAGCTTCATCTAAACCTTCATCTTGCATTTTAGATCCAATCCCAACCAAATTATTTATAGATGCATTTCCTTTGGTTACTGCCCCCATTCTAGATATAATCAATCTATCCTTAGTAAATGGATATGTACCACAGGATTTTAAGGTTTCTGTAATCAAATCTTCACTTAAGAAGCCTTCTCTGGATCCAGATGACCCAATGAATTATAGACCAATATCTAACCTTCCATTTTTATCCAGATATTTTATCCACATATATTGGTATTTGATATTGGTTTTGGAAATTAAGCGTTAGACAATATCGGTATATCAGATATCGGTAAAAGAGCCAAAGTTAAACAACACTACTACAAAGTGAGGATTCGAAATGACTGAATATAAGAAGAAACAAAGAAAAACCACAGTTTACGTGTTGGACTTACTCCATGCAGCCATGCTGTATCGCTGCTGTAGTTCTCTGAAGTCTCGCAGCCAAGAGTTCTTGATGATTACCGTCCGAGCCTGTAAAGTGTATTTTCTAACAGAGTCTTCCCGTTCGTGCCAGATCTCAAAGGCACGATCGTCACCTTCCACCGTTTCATTCACATCGATGTTATTCAACTGAAAATTGAACACAGCAATCATTATTTCAGGAGCTGACGCTGAAGTAAACAATTCCATGACCGTATCAGCTGGCTTACTTTCATCATGTTCTTAAAAACATAAGCTTGTGTATCGGTGTTGCTGTCCCTTTTGGGTTTGCAGATGATGCAGTAGTTCTTAAAAAGGAACACGTGACGGTGGTGACCTCTTGAGGACGTTCTAATTCCAGGAGCTCCCTCCCAGACTTGGAAAGGTCCCTGAAACAGGAGAAATACAACACACACACAATCATTACAAACAATAAAAATGCCTCACTTTTATGTTGCAGACTGTATAACCCATGAAACAGAGAAATACCTGTCGAATTGGTTCTCCAAGAACTTCCAGGGTAGCAGGATAGTTCTCGATCAACGACACATGGTGTGTGTTCTCTGAGCGCTGCGGGAGTCCAGACACCATTGCATACGCCTCTTCAAGTAAACAGCAGTTCTGGCCATTTTTTGCCTTGTTTCTAATGAGCTCCTGAAAATGCATATTAAATTAGGTCTAACTGTAAATAGCTTTAATTGTGTGCCACATTTTGTATAAAATAATATAAAGAACTAAGCTAGCAAGTTTCCATGCATGTTTGAAGTGAAAGCTGTCACCTTAAGAAGGGCTTTGTATTTCTGAATCCTCTCCAGTGGCTGTTGCAGGTAGGTGTGGATGCTTCGCACTGGAGGATCTGAAGCATTTGCACTGGCTTGCTCTTTATCAGTGTACTCCTGAAGAGAAAAAAAAAACACGTTTTAGTCCAGTAGGATTCCTACTTTTCTCAAAATCCTCCACTGCCATCTCATGGACAATGTAAGTACTACATTGTCAATTTGATCATTTTAATTTATGTCATTTGATATAATTAATAGTTCAATATACTTTACACGTATTATATGCACTAGAGCATTTACAGTCACCTTAAAGAAGCGATGGACACTCTTGTCACTGATGGCTAATTCGGCTTGACTCTGACCTACAAGATACTGAAGGTACTTCTCAAATCCCTCCTTGTTCTTCAAGAAGCACATGGCAACATCGTCGTCTGTGTCACAGTCATGCAGCTTTGGGAGGAATGTCCTAAAAAGCCAAAGCGATACAGGAAAAGGTTCAATAATAAATATGATTTTCTTAGAAATAACATTTGTTAATATTTCTAAATAAAATGCAATAATGTCAGCTCAAAAATAGTCTTATCTTAAAATATTTAAAAGTGTGGTTTACTTGTTTAGTCAATACATTTGCAGTGTTTTCTAGTGTAAATCAATGCCTTATGAGTCATTTAAAAAAGAAAAAGGTTATGATGCTCCTGTTTTGAGATGCAAATGTTTGGTGGTGCAGAGATGGGCTGAAAACAGCAGGATTGCTCATTATTATGAATGATATGCACACACCTAGCTTCTGATTGGCTATCAGAATGCATTCAGCCATGTTGTAAAGTCACTATCACCAAGATACTCTCCGCTTGCTCTCCTTGTTGCAAATTAAAAAATAAGCCTTCCTGTTGGCGAGCATGAGCCAATGTGGGCGAGGCCATGAATGCTAATTCACAGTGTGACATAGTTATGTGAGGATTTTCAAATCCTAGTATTTCACAGTCAATTTTCTATCAGAAACTAACGCAGGTGACAGGTGTAGGAGACTATTTTCATGTTCAGCCTGCTTGAAAATCTCATATCTCCTGGATGTCTGGGACTTGGAGCTCCCTCCATCTCCTAGACATTTTTGGGGGTCAGATCTGTGGCCCCTCACACTATTGGGTGCTCCTATAAACCTTACATATACAAGCGCGTGTACACACACAGGTGCTCGCATTGTAATCTCATAAGTATGGACTTGGGCATTTTCATCACATGTCTTAAGGCTGTGGTTGGCACTTAACTCATTCACTGCCATTGATGACTAAAGTCGTCATTTTAAATCAAACCGTTCACTGCCAATGACGACTAAATTCGTCATTTGCATTTTTTTACTGTATGGGCATCAGAACGAGCCCCGCACCGTGAGGAATAAACATCTCAGCTCCAAAGCCGATCTTCATCCACATACATCACACGTCACATGATCAGGAAGCAGAAAATCCATGTGTTAGATTGTTGTTGGCCGCTGCTGTAAAAAAAAGTGAGGCTTGAACCAAAAAGCTTCTGCCGATCACAATTCGACAACGGATTATGAAAGAACGGATAACGCTCGAAACGCGCGGATTCTTCCTGATGTAAGAGGTGAGTTTCCGCTTTGTTTTGGTTGTTTTGGTGTCGACATAATCCTCGCGCGCAACGTTCTGTGACTCTTAACTCATTCACTGCCAGCCGTTTCCTGATCGCTAACGGCCTTCGCTGCCAGCATTTCTCACCGTTTTTACTGTTTTTTTTAAGAGTCACAGAACGTTGCGCGCTAGCATGATGTCGATGCCAAAACAACCAAAACAAAGCGGAGACTCACCTCTTACATCAGGAAGAATCCGCGTGTTTTCAGCATTATCCGTTCTTTCATAATCCGTTGTCGAATTGTGATCGGCAGACGCTTTTCTGGTTCGCCCCTCACTTTTTTTACAGGAACGGCCCAAAACAATCTCCTAACACATGGATGTTCTGCTTCCTGATCACGTGACATGTGACGTATGCGGATGAAGATCGGCTTCAGGGCTGAGATGTTTGTTCTCTCAGCGCGGGGGCTCGTCCCGATTTTCAAACAGTAAAAAAATGCAAAGGACGACTTTAGTCATCATTGGCAGTGAACGGTTGGATCTAAAATGACGACTTTAGTCGTCAATGGCAGTGAATGAGTTAAAAAAAACAGGAAAAATGGTGAGAAATGCTGGCAGAGAAGGGTTTTACCGATCAGGAAACGGCTGGCAGCGAATGAGTTAATGCACTGTGATTTATTATCCTGTGATTTTTCAGTAAAACAATGTTGATTTTATATTTCCTCATCAAGTTGACACAGTGATAGCTTGCTCTAGTTGTATCATTGTGTGTCCCTTTCTTAATTTCTTTTGGGTTTGTTTTTCTCTTTCTGCAGGTCTAGAAGCAGACGTTCATCATTGATTGTTTATTTTTGTGCCCCCCCACCCCCCACCCCCCCGTTTCCTCCGTTCTCTTTCACCTTTGTGTCCGTGTCTGGTCGAAATTATAAAGCATTCAAAAAACAATAACAATAAAGTTTTAAGTATCAGGTGTGACATTAAAAGCAGAAGTAAGGCTTGTCACCAGCATTCAGACATTAATTCTGTTTGCTTCACAGCCAGACAAGACACGGGGAAAAAAAAATGTTTTAATTTTAAAAATCTCAGAGTGACTGATTATAATCAGAAATAGTCATTTAAAAATGTTTTTCCAGTCAACCACACCTTTAAGAGCAAGGAAAGGTAACTGAGAGGTGAGTTTACTTGCTATGGAAGGATTTTATATCATCAATGTTTCTGAAAATGGTCTCTTTCTGGGTGGCGACATCAGGAGGTGCTTCAGGACTGTCAGCCTGCTTCAGGTGGTGGGAGGTGAAGAAACCAGACTCCTTCACAAACTCAGACTCTCCGTTTACCAGATCCTGTATAAGTTGGCTATAATGGAATAAAAAAAGAGGTTGTTATTTTATATTTAACACACAGTATGATTTATGACTGAAGTGTAGGGTTTAATTACAATAACTTCCTCTTGTATTCTCCCTCTGACACCTCCTCTACGTTTCCCTCTGGGAGGTCACCTGAATCAGCAGACAGCTGGAACACACATTTTTAGAAGAACATTTAAAAAATAAGTACAGCTACATATAAAAATTGGGATTATCTGAAGACAAACTTTGAGTTTTTTGTCCAGGTATGCAGGTGACACCCAGCCTTGCCGTGACGGTGTTGTTTTAGTTGGTTTGGTCCGGACTAACCACTTCAGTGGGTGAGCTGAGTCCAGAACCTCCACATACTGTCCTTCCTTCAAGGAGATGGAGTCTTTGCTTGCAGTGGTTGGGGTGTAGTCAGCCAACGCCACATAAATGTCAAACATCTAAAAGAACATTCATATTAATCAGAGTGGACATGGGGTTTCATTGATGAGGTAAATCATATGCAATATCTGATAAGTGTAAACTTTGTTGTATTTTAAGGTCCCTAAAATGTGTAAACTGTACTTTAGGACTTTTAGGACATTTGTAGTCACATTAAATAAAAGTAAATAGTGCCCATCTGTCTCACCTCTCCCCTAGCATCTCCTTCATCTGACTCTGAAGAGGAATCTACGATGAGGGAGGGCGGATGAGAGCGGCCATGATGAGGTGATGGAGAAGGAGTTTTGGTTTCGTCGTCACTGTCACCTCCTGGTATGCGTAATGAAGCTGCAGCAGCGAGCGGGATGGAGAAGGTCAGAAGGATAAAGATGAAAATGATCAGGATGTGTTCATTTTATTTGATCCTTCAAATACATTTACAGAATTTATCACTGTTTTGTAAGAAATATTTTAACAGAAAAGAGCATTTCTAATGTATGCTCTTCAATAAAAAGATCAGTTGTCTTAATTATTTTTCTGCTCAATTTAGAATATATAATTTTTAAATATTTTGAGACCACCAGTAAGGAGAGAAGAGTTTTAAAAATCTGTAGTAGCAATTTCACATTTATGCCATATTATACTCTATTTCAGTTAGTAGCAACATGCAAAAACGGCACAGATTTTTAAGCTCATTACATACATGTCTGTCGATGAGCATGTATTCCAGCTTTAATCTGAGTTTCATTTCTTGTCATTGCAAAACTGTAAAATATTTTTTTATTGATGAGTTAAAAGGTGAGAACTGATATGATGACGTAGAAGCAAACTGTTTGTGATCCACCTAAATGTGAATGTTTCATTTTCTGTGATACAAAATTGTTTGATCTTCAAAGGATCTAAAAATATATATATATCTATATATGTATATATAAATATACAACTGGGATGCATTTCGGATACATACTGGTAGATTTGGGCCAAGTTTTCATCCACTGGAGCACTTCCTCATTCTGTAAATTGTCTGAATAACAAATTAATGATTGGATGAGAATTTAAGTAGTGGGAATGATAAAATGAAGAGTGTGAAAGTGGTTAGGAAAATATGTCTGTATGGGACAATGGACACTTTTATTTCAGTTATTTGTTAATAAACCAAAGCATGCAGAAAAAAAATCACTAAAAGAGTAAAGACAAGGAATACGCTTCTGTCAGGTTTGATTCGATAGTTGGGTTAAATAGGTTGGTGGTTATGGGGGCAGGGCCGCTGGGCCCTGCTAAAATGTGATTGGCCCCCTCAATGATAAGATTATAGGTGGATGTAATTCCAAGTCCAAACACAAGTGGTGCTAATGAGCTAAATAAGGTTTTCCAGAGTAAAATCTTGGACTAAAACTTGGTCCCTTGTTGGTCCCTTACTCAAGAAAATTCTAGATTCGTCGCTGGTTAAATAAAGACTTCACAGTTTACAGATGACCAAACTGATATGAGGGAAAGCAACCAAACCTGACAGGAATAAATAAACATACATAATGTTTGACATAACGCTGTGAACATTTTTTAGACTTTCAGCAGGTAACACACTAGTAACAGCAAAGGCAAAAGGGAGAAGACCAAAAACAGGCAAGCAGCAGATGACATCAGGTCATTTGAGTGAATGAAATATTCTAATATACAGGTCCTTCTAAAAAAATTAGCATATTGTGATTAAGTTCATTATTGTCTGTAATGTACTGATAAACAATAGACTTTCATATATATTAGATTCACTACACACCACTGAAGTAGTTCAAGCCTTTTATTGTTTCTAATATTGATGATTTTGGCATACAGCTCATGAAAACCCAAAATTCCTATCTAAAAAAAATTAGCACATCATGAAAAGGTTCTCTAAACGAGCTATTAGCCTAATCATCTGAATCAACTAATTAACCCTAAACAACTGCAAAAGATTCCTGAGGCTTTTAAAAACTCCCAGCCTGGTTCATTACTCAAAACCGCAATCATGGGTAAGACTGCCGACCTGACTACTGTCCAGAAGGCCATCATTGACACCCTCAAGCAAGAGGGTAAGACACAGAAAGAAATTTCTGAACAAATAGGCTGTTCCCAGAGTGCTGTATCAAGGCACCTCAGTGGGAAGTCTGTGGGAAGGAAAAAGTGTGTCAGAAAACGTTGCACAACAAGAAGAGGTGACCAGACCCTGAGGAAGATTATGAAGAAGGACCGATTCCAGACCTTGGGGGACCTGCAGAAGCAGTGGACTGAGTCTGGAGTAGAAACATCCAGAGCCACCGTGTACAGGAGTGTGCAGGAAATGGGCTACAGGTGCCGCATTCCCCAGGTCAAGCCACTTTTGAACCAGAAACAGTGGCAGAAGCGCCTGACCTGGGCCACAGAGAAGCAGCACTGGACTGTTGCTCAGTGGTCCAAAGTACTTTTTTCGGATGAAAGCAAATTTTGCATGTCATTCGGAAATCAAGGTGCCTGAGTCTGGAGGAAGACTGGGCAGAGGGAAATGCCAAAATGCCTGAAGTCCAGTGTCAAGTACCCACGGTCAGTGATGGTCTGGGGTGCCAAGTCAGCTGCTGGTGTTGGTCCACTGTGTTTTATCAAGGGCAGGGTCAATGCAGCTAGCTATCAGGAGATTTTGGAGCATTTCATGCTTCCATCTGCTGAAAAGCTTTATGGAGATGAAGATTTCATTTTTCAGCACAACCTGGCACCTGCTCACAGTGCCAAAACCACTGGTAAATGGTTTACTGACCATGGTATTACTGTGCTCAATTGGCCTGCCAACTCTCCTGACCTGAACCCCATTGAGAATCTGTGGGATACTGTGAAGAAAAAGTTGAGAGACGCAAGACCCAAAACTCTGGATGAGCTTAAGGTCACTATCGAAGCATCCTGGGCCTCCATAACACCTCAGCGGTGCCACAGGCTGAATGCCTCCATGCCACACTACATTGAAGCAGTCATTTCTGCAAAAGGATTCCCGACTAAGTATTGAGTGCATAACTGAACATAATTATTTGAAGGTTGACTTTTTGTATTAAAACCACTTTTCTTTTATTGGTCGGATGAAATATGCTAAGTTTTTGAGATAGGAATTTTGGGTTTTCATGAGCTGTATGCCAAAATCGTCAATATTAGAAACAATAAAAGGCTTGAACTACTTCAGTTCTGTGTAATGAATCTAATATATATGAAAGTCTAATATTTATCAGTACACTACAGACAATAATGAACTTTATCACAATATGCTAATTATTTGAGAAGGACCTGTCATTCATAAAACCGTGAGAGCTTTGAGTTTCAGATTTTTATATTGACGTAAAACACAACTCACTAAGTCCAATTAGGAAATGTCTTTATGAAATGTCTTTCAAGCCTTTTAAGCCTTTACTTTAAAAAAGACAACTACCTTGGGTGATCTTTGCTGAAACCATTTCTGTGATCTGAGAGGTGAGTTTCTTGAGGAATTCTTCTGTTCCAACTTCACCCAAGTAGGGGATTTTACCCTCTTATGGTGTGAACCAAAAAACAAAAGCATTACTATCACAGGCTTCATGGTATCAAAAAAAGAAAATCGTTATATGAAATGACTGAGAAAAACCAGAGTAGGCAATATATTAATAATACGACTTTTACACACCATGTACACGTGTGTGTGTATCTATCTATCTATCTATCTATCTATCTATCTATCTATCTATCTATCTATCTATCTATCTATCTATCTATCTATCTATCTATCTATCTATCTATCTATCTATCTATCTATCTATCTATCTATCTATCTATCTATCTATCTATATATATATATATATATATATATATATATATATATATATACATACATACATGTGTGTGTGTGTGTGTTTCTTTTTACCATTTTCTCTGCTGGCTGCCTCTTCTGGACCACTCTTGTGAATCCCAAGAACCCTAAAGAAAATGAAAAGTCACATTTAATTTCACTGCATTTTCATACATTTAGCTTTAGATATATTATGGATGCAGCATAATGGTATGTGCCTATTGAAGCTTATGCTTACTCTGAAGCTGTGATCTCCTTCTTTAGTTGTGGTGCTGAGGAGAGGTTTGGCAGGACACACAAACACACACACACAGAAACACATCTAGTTAGTACTAAGCTTTAGACACCAGTTTACTATCCAACTATTTGTGTTCTAAATCCTTTCATTTCAAAAGGAAGGTAATAGTTTTCTTACCATCATCCACCTTGAGTTGAGCAGTGCAGACAGACTGCCCTGCTCTGTTTGTGGCTATACAGGTATAGACGCCAGAGTACTCTGTGCCCACATCCATCATGATGAGGCTGTGCTGGCAACCAGAACTTGCTATTTTGTATCCTTTAGTATCCGACTTGATCCACAAGACATCCTCCATTGATTTCTCCTTCAGCCATGAAACCGTAGGAGTAGGAGATCCTAACAAAACAGATTAGGACAAAAAAGCCCCAAAACATTTGTTATAAAAGATCCATGAAGTCCAGTTGGGCTAAGAGATAAAGTAACAGAGGTATGTTTCAGGAGTACCTCCTACTTTGACAGACAGAGTGATACTTGTTCCTTGTTTCACTTTCCTGTTGCAGAACTTTTCAAGGAAGCGGGGTGGCACTAGGGGCCCCTTCAAGTCTGTGCAAAAATAGTCCACAAGAAAGTTTAGAGACACTTTTAGGAAACAGGATGCAGAAGCAGAAGTAATTATTAAGTTACCTTTTTTATCTTGTGGCAAAATCTCTCCTGGACCTGATAAAAATGTAATTATTAGCTTAATGGCCAAAACTTTAATTTAAATTCAAAAGCATCTAACAGAAATTATATTTCCAACTATTTGGGTCCAAGATACATACTCAATACAATCAGTCGGGCAGAGGAGTAGGCAGAACCAGCTGCATTGCTGATATAGGCAGAGTACTCCCCCATGTCCTCTCTCTTCACCTCCATGATCTCAACAGCGTGAACATCCCTCTCTACTGACAACAGAATCCTTTCTGATGCACGTATAGGTTGGCCATCTTTGAACCAGTATAATCTGGGTTTGGGGAAACCTAGAAGACAAAGATAGTCAAGAATCATCATCAACATTAGGGATGGGAACCAAAAACAGAGTCTTTTGAGAACCGGTTCTCATCGTTTCAATTCCTAGGAATCGTTCGCCTCTTTTGCAGATAATTCCACTTGTCAGCAGTCGTCGTGAATGACGTCACCACTCATGTTGTGTAGCTTACAGAAGCAGGAAACATGGCAACTTAGCGGGACAAACACTCAGACGTTTGACAACAGGGCAACTTGCAATACTTGCAAAGTAGATATTTCATCAAGGGGAGGAAATACTACGAATCTGTAAAAAACATTTGGGCACAAAATATGCGAAGACTTAAAGCTAATGATGTGTTCTATCCCACTCTGGACTGGTGAATTTCAACGCAGCAGCAGTGACGTTCAATCATCCTCTCCTGTCAATTTTGCAGGTAACTAATGAACTAACGCTGCCTATGATGTTAGCGTCATTAGCCACATTTACACCTCCACACTAGCAGATTCCAGTGACAAAGGTGTTTCCTGTGGGGAGATTTTCCCCATCTTGCAAAAGCTACCGCAAGAAGATGACTCTGCCCTCACAAGGAGCATAAAGGAGAACTTTTGGAAAAATATTTCCAATTTATATCAGGTACAATTGCATATTTATCATTAATAAACTGACAGTTATAATGCAGGAGACCATGTGCAATTAGCTTTTTGCCACTTATTGAACTACTCTGGAATTGATAACGAATTGCATCGATGGACAGAATTGACAATGCCATTGATATTGATAAAAACTTATCAATTCCCACCTCTAATTCTCATCATCATCATTGTTATCATCTTTTGTAATCAATAAACACATTCACAAGAAACATGTTAAAAATACTAATAGAGAGAAAAGATTAAAAGCATGCAACCTTGAAAAATACCAGCTAGGATCATCAAGTGCCCACAGTGGCAATGATGTAATAGAGTCTTCAGCCAGTTCTTAAAAACTGACTATGCTGGTGCATGCCTGAGCAAGAGAGGGAGCTCTTTCCTGAGCTTGGGGACCAGGAAAGAAAATGCATGACCCCCCTTAGAACCACATTTAATCCATGGGATCACCAGCAGATTAAGATTTTTGTGAGCATAGCTCACAGAAGGGAGTAAAGCGAACCAGAAGGTCCGTCAGGTATAATGGAACGCTGTTCTGTAGGTAATTGAAGACAAAGGTGATGAGCTTAAACTGATTTCTGTAGGGTGTAGGGAACCAGTGAAGTGAGGCCAGAACAGGAGTAACGCGCTCACGGCATCTGGTGCTCATCAACAATCTGGCCACAGAGAGTCCTGCATCACTTGCAGCCTGGTCAACACTGCCACGCAAGGAGCTGCAGTAGTCCAAGCGTGAAGTGATGATAGCATGGACGACTAGGTGGGCACGTAATAGCAAGCACTTAATTTTTGCCACATGACAAAAACGAAAGAAACAAACGCACCACTCCATTTATAGGGTTCTCAAGCTTGAGTCCTGAGTCAAGTTCAACCCCTAGGTCAACGACTAAGTCTTTCTCCAACGGGGCCAGTTGCCCAAGGTCAAAAACGTGTTTGATAGACCACTTGCGCTTGGATGAAAGACACTAGCCACCGTCTTATTTTCATTAAGATTCAGGACACCGTTAGCCAGCCAAACATTTACCTCCTCTAAACATGCCAGGAGGCTCCTAGCAGCACCATTTGGACCCTTTTTCATGGGGAAATAAACTTGACAATCATCAGCATATAAATAGATGCTCAGCTTATGATATCACACCCATTCTTACAAAAATATTCTCATAACTAGTTGAATTTTACATGGCAGATTGTGTATAATGAAAAACTCACCTTTTACTTTGAGCTGCATCTTGGCGATAGGTGAACCTGGACTGACATGAACATCGTGAAGTTCGTCCACAATCTGTGGTAGTTGATCATCCTCGGCTACAGATTCAAACGTTTCTGTTTCTCTACTAAAAAAGACAATTGACAATTTGGTACCAAAAGTTATTTAGATTATTCACTGTGTCACTCTTAAATACATCAAAGATCTAGTAATTTACCTGGAGGCATAACCCTTGGCACTGACGTAGGATGAAGTCTCAGTAGCATCAGCAGCAGTGTCATAATCGGAGCTGCAAGACACTAAAGGAAATGATAATCATACATGATTAAACAATGGATTTTATGTTTTTAAAATGTTGCATCATCAGATATTAAACATTCATAAAAGCACAGATGTTTAAGATGCATATGTTTCCATTTACTGTCAACTCGAAGCTCAGCTTTAGTAGCTGCAATGCCACTGCTGTTTTCTGCTGTGCAGCGATAGACACCCATGTCAGTGGGCAGCACAGTGGTGATGATGAGCTGGTGGCAGCCCTCTTGGCCCTCATTGATCATGTAATGGTCATTCTCCTCCAGGAGTTTGCCATCTTTGTACCAGCGAACAGTGGGAGGGGGCTTGGCAATCACAACGCAGTCAAAGCTGACAGGATAACCATCCGGAACATCCTGATTTTGTAGCTCTGTCAAGAAGACGGGAGCAGCTGGGAAACAAGAAAAATATTTTAGGAGTTTAAAAAAAATCAAATAATACTGAATATTTACAAAACTATACGAACAAGTTTGGAAACTGTGACTGACAAAATGATATTGAAGATAACTACTCCTTACCTGGAGCTCCAGTAATCAAAGAAGGAGGCTGTCGATCTTGAGTGGGTGTCTGTGTTCCATCCTGAATGTAACCAGATTTTCTAATTCGCAGCTCTACTTTATTAAGCCCAGCTGCTATAATGGCGGTGTCCACAGGGACGCCATGGACTGTAAACATCTCCTGGAATCTTTTAGAGGCAACTTCAGCCTCTGCCTGGGATTCAAAGCGAATGTAGATGTAATTTTCATCCTCACGGTAAGAGTGAGGATCTGGGGGGCGCAAGTCCCCTTCATCAGCGCTGAGGAATGGTTCTTCCTCAACATCAGGCGGGAGACGTGTGCGCAATAGGCGCCTGAGACGTCTGCTTGCCTGTCTCAGGGACTCATCCATCTCACTACCAGAGGAGCTTTCAGGCTCACTGTCGGCACTGTAACCCACAGACAGGGGTCGTCTCTCCGATGACTCTCTCACTGTTCCTACGGTCACCTTTGCGCTGTGAGAAGCGACTCCAAACTTGTTGGTGATCTCGCAAGTGTAAACCCCCGTGTCTTTGGTGGTGATGGCAGTAATGACCAGAGAGCAGGTGCCATCATTGTAGATGTCAATATGATGATGCTTTCCATCAATCAGTTGTTCTCCGTCTTTCAACCAGCGAACTTTATCAGGTTTACCTTCTGTCAAACATTCCAGATGAATGGTGTCATTAGGTTCTTTGGTCTGCTCTTTGAAGACGTCTTTGAAGACAGGACGCATGACCTTGCGAGCCTTGTAGCCTTTGAAGGCAGCTTGAATCTTAATGGCCGCATCTGTAAGCTCAGGTTCATCCTCTTTTGAAATCTCCATAACATCAGTTTCTTGTGTAGATACCTGTTTTTCATCCATCTGCTGGATTACAGTTGTTTTTGCTTCAGTCTGCTGTACTGTTTTCTGCTCTGTCATTTTAAAATGAGCAAAGAACCTATCGGTGGCCAGAGTCTCAGCTTCAGTGGTGGCTGTGACAGCAGTCGTGCTACTCGTTTTGAGGTAAGACACAAGCGTTGAGCCCCCAGAAACACTCTCCACCTCAGAGCTGATGGACTTACTCAATTCTGTCTGCTCCTTGGCAACAATGGCCCGATCCCTCTCAGCAGATTTGATTTCTCCTTTTTCTGATGACTTAAGTTCAATCTGTCCTTTTTTCTTTTGGGCACCTTTCCCACCTTCCTCAGGTTGTTCAGTGATGGAGTCCAGTTTGGGCTCTTGACTCATACGTCGTTTCTTGGCTGATGCTTCCCACAATTCATGAAGGTCACCTTCTTCAGCAGCTTCAGGAGGCAGACTGGGCTGCTGCTGCTTTGCATCTATAAATGTGACCATAATGCAGTTAGACTTAATGTACTTGTAATCACAACAAATCTCTAGAAGGGATGAATGCCTTGTGGGATGTTTTCAGGGTGAGTGGGTAGCAGAAGTTAGTCAGAGCAATAAGGGGTAGAAAATGGCAGGATTTAGTCTTACCCGTTCATATTCACGAAAAGCAAACATCTTGCCTCGAATTGGCTAACAGCTACAAAACTCTTTTGCTGCTTCCTTTCGCTCTTCTTTCTTGGGTAAAGAATGCAACACTGTTGCACAAATAACACTAGCCCTAAACATGTTTTGCCATGTTGGTGGGTTAATAATACTAATAGTTAGCTTCTACTCGCCGAGATGTGCTCTGCTTTCTTCTGGCCACAAAATCAACAGAGCCTTTCGCGATCACCGAAGCCATGCTGCCTAACTTTTTCTGACCCGAGCGTTTCCCTGCCTATTTTCTTTTGGCGGGCAATGCGGGCGATAAGGGTTTTTTCCACATGTGACCAACCGTATTTCAAAAAGAACAATTATCACACTGTTTCTTAGTGAAACTTTTGCTTAAGGTCAACAGTGCCTAATTTGCAAAATGTACAAAATAATTATCCATCTCCATTCCAGTTGGGAAAGATGTACTAAAAATCATATTTTCCTCAAGTTCAAATCCACTTACCAAGCTGCAACGTCAGAGGAAGTTCAACAGGCTCTCCAGTCCCAGCTCTGTTGATGGCTGCCACTCTAAACCTGTATCCACGCCCTGCAACAAGATTTTCAACCACAAACTCTGTGTTGCAAACAGGCTCAGAATGACATGGATGCCAGAGAGCACTGTCCACCAGCCGCTTTTCCACCCTGTATCCCAGAATGGGACTCCCTCCATCGTGCAAAGGAGTGAACCAAGACAGCGTGACGGTCTCTGCGGTCTTACTGAGGACTTCTGGCTCCTCTGGAGGATCAGGCACAGCTGTTGGTGTAAAAGAACCAGGACTATGGTGATCACATGAAAACTATGTGGAAACCATAATTAATATACCGATAGTCAAAATGTAAAAACACAGCAGCAATCAAGAGTGGATAGCTGATAGCATCCTATCAAATGCTGCTAATCAAACACTTACTAATGATTGTAAGCTTGGCCAATGAGAGAGCATCTCTGGCAGCAAAGGTAATTTCCTGCTGAGGCATGAGAGGGGCCTGTCTCAGGATGAGATTATAAGAGCTGCCGTCAGCCCTCATAGCCCAGAGGTCACCGGGGTTTATCTCAACTCCATTAGCATACCAGACCACTTCTGTTGCAGGAACAGACTCATTCAGCCTAACGCTAAATTCAACCTTCTCTCCCACTGCAGCCACTTTGTCCTCCAAACCTTTCACAATCTTCAGCTTCCAGTCTGATGAGAAAAACATTTGTCACATAAGATAAAGGTTTTCTTGCAGCCTATATGGGTTTGGATGACCTACCTTTGACAGTGAGCTGGGCAGTGGTAGAAGCTGCACCAGCTTTAAAAGTCACTGTGCAACTGTCTTTAACCTGCAGCTCTTTTAAAAGGAGGAGATGGCGACGGCCACTTTCGAATGACACTACCTCAGCCTTGGAGGATTCTTTCACTGGTTTCCCATCAAGAAGCCAAGTGAACTCTGTATTCTCCGGGCGAGAGAGGGCGCACTCAAAGAGCGCTTCACCTCCAGCAAAGGTTTCCGTATTCTCCAGGCCTTGAACAATACGTATAGGCTTGTCTGTAGAAAAAGAACGAAAACACAAGAATAAGAGGAGACAATCAGATGGGATTTTATAACTAACAAGACACTGAATGTCAATTAATTAAAGGTTTTTCTAATGGGTAGAAACGTTGAGAAGATCCATGAACGATCAGTTTATTTGGTCAAACTACTGTTTGACATATAAAAAGAGATTCCCTTTTTCTATGTGGAGGGAAGCTCACCTTCCACATGAAGTGAAGCAAACACACAGATGCCTTCAGCCTCACAGGAGTATGTCCCCATGTCCCCAGTAGACACGCGGTTAATGTACAAGCGAGCCACATTCCAGTCCTGCTCCACTACCACCCTTCGACCATCAGGCTGCAAAGGCTGCCCGTCTTTCTTCCACTGAGCCTTGACTGGCCTCGAGAACTGGCAGATGAACTCAGCTGGTTGGTTTTCAACCACCAAAAGGTCCTCCATATCGCTCACCAGTTCAACTGTGGGATCTGAGATTGGAGTCAGGGCGAGGGTTTGGGATTTCAAGGAGGTCAAATTTTCAGGATTTGGCCACGAGTTGATATGACTAGGACATGCCAAATAATATGTGGGCTCATAACCCCCAGAAGCATGCTTTTATGTCAGTGGAATTGTGTTTTTGTGGATATTAGGATTTGATGTTTATATGACCAATGTTTTGGAAGGGTTGAACTCAGAGGGGTTAAAAAGTCCAACTGAAAAGTTTCATAGCTGCTCGAAGGTTAGAGATTTTAAACGCGTGAATGTTAGGGGAAAGTGCCATACACAAAGAAAAGTGAATGGAGCGTCTGGCCTGTATGGATGGGTGGAGCAGCACTTTTTACTCAAAACATGTTTATTATTTGGTGGCTTATTTTACAAATCAGAATCAATCACTTTTATCACTTTTATCCAAAGGCACACACATCTTGATGGCTGCTTATCCAATCGTATAATAATCACGATCATGCTTTTTTAGCTGTTTTAGACAAAATGAGTCTCTGGTTTGATTTTTTTATCTACTGTAACTGTATGATAGAGGATAATTTTATAAAATAAGTATTTCATTCAGTTATTAACATCTGCTTGAGTGAAAACCTAATAAGTAAGAATAAAGAAATATTAACTTAATTTTTAATAAACTATTTAGTAAATGAAGAAAAAAATCTAAAGGTTTAGTTCAATGAATAGCCTGGCAAGCTATCCTATAAATGTAAATATATAGTCCGCCCATGACCCATAGATAGTGCTTGGTCGTGGAGCAGCCTCAACGGTTGTCTTTCAAACTGTATGCAATTGGATAGCCCGAGGACCAATCAGAGGAACGAACAAAGTGACATTTTTGTTGCTCCAGAAATCAGTCAACGGGGTAGTCAGTCATACATTGTCGAAGAAGAAAAAACAAATACATCCTTTTTTAAAATGAATAACTTAAGGACCTCCATCTGCTCGTGTCTCAAAAAAAAAGCCCAGAGTCAAGGCGGATGGCTTCTTATACTGAGCCAGGATCCTCTGGAGGTTTCTTCCTGTTAAAGGGGAGGTTTCCTCTCCACAGTTGCTACATGCTTGCATAGTATGAGGATTGATGTAAAGACATTGACGCCTGTCAGTGACTCGATACAATCTGCTGGGTTCCTTGTATGGGAAACTATTTTACTGAATGGCTCAATGAACTAAACTGTATTGAAATGTTGACTGTGTGAAGTGCCTTGACACAACTCGCCGTGATTGGCACTATATAAGTAAACTGAACTGAATCGCCCAAAGCTGATGTTAAAGCAAATTTTTCACAAAACATTACAAAAAATGGAAAAATGGTAACCTAGTGAAGTTGACCAAATTCTTGCTTTGCAAAGTTTGGTGTAGGAATGCTCCATTCTGGCGGGCCAATCATAGCTCTCTATAGGGGTTTCAAACTGATAGAGCACTGTGATTCTTCCACAATAGTGGGCCAATCACAGTGTTCCATCCACTTTGTGGGCCAATCAGGGCTCTGTATTCGTCTGGTGGGCGGAACGATGCAACGGAGTGGAACAAGATGGCGACAGCTCGTTTGAAACAGCTTTTACATCAGTTTTGGACTATTTGGACCTGGGCTTTATCAGGAGTAGATAGATGTATTAAGTCCTTTATTTACAAAAAGGATGTATGTTTGCCTTCTTTAACAGCGGACTGCCTCATTTACCGACATCTGTTCTGGTGAGTAGTCACGTTGTTTATTGTCCAGTTGCATGTGGAGATCATCTGAAAGACAACGGTAGAACTCGCCTCGCGACTGAGTGGAGCGTTGCCACACATAGTAACATGTTAATCTAGTCTGGCTTGCCAGGCTACAAGAATGGCTTGTTTTAATTATTTAAATCTTTCATGTTTTAGTCTCAATTATCTGTTTTTATTATTTTATTTATAATACAAAATAGGAACTCATGAGATTTCAAAGTAATAAACACAATCATGATTATCAGTATCAGCAGCTTAAATTCCAGTGCAATTTCGACAAAGAAATTCATAAAAGTTACAATTTGTAGCCTCGTTGTGTTCTAAAACGTCTGTTGTGGTGCTTCACCCAATTATTTAGTAAGACTGTGACAAAGCATACAACATGAAACTAATCATTTTTATATTAATCATTTGTTATTAAACACAAAAACAATGTGGCTCATGCATGATAATGTACTAAGATGTCAAAATGCTTCAAATACTATAAACTTTTTATTAAGAACCCTGCAGAAAAGTATTGGGAATCGTGCTAGTCTTCATTTCAATGATTTAGATGAAAACATTTTCTAAATATTCCTTCTGAATGAACACTGCCAATTAGGGCTGCAACAACGAATCGATAAATTCGATGAAAATCGATTACTAAAAGCGTTGGCAATGAATAGGATCGATTCGTTGTGTTGCACAACTCTTCCAAAAGCCCCCTCCCCTCACGCCCGCCGTTGCGCGCAGACCGGAGAGCCGGCAGGCGTTTGGAAGAGGACCATAGCAGAAGCAGCGAGACCCAAAAAAAGTAAAAACTTCTAAAGTTTGGGAGCATTTTCAGTTAAATCAGGCGAAGACATTCGTTACTTGCAACGTTTGTAGGTCAGACTTAGCATGGCACGGGAGTGCTGCAGTGATGATGCAGCATCTTAAACGCAAGCATGTCAGAATCATCAGCGAGGAAGGAGAGAGCTCGGTGTCCGGGTAAGTTAAAAACTTTTCAAAAGTGATTCACCCAAGCCCCGAATTATCACACAGGCTAGACATGCCCTAAGCTCGTAAAAAAAAGTCTACAAAATTGTAAGCGCGACGCTATTAGATAGGCGGGGGGGGGGGGGGGGGGGGGGGCGACTCGCGCTGCTGCGAACCGGTTCCGCCGTCACATTCCCGCAGAAACTGGTTGATCACACCGGGGCCAGACTACTAGCATGTGGCTTTACAACCACAATGTCCTCAGAAGCGAAAACGCTTTTAAAAGGGAGGGAGGAGTCCTAACTGTTGCTGCAGGCATGTTGTGTGAGTGCAGTTATATACTGGTTAATATATTTTTGGGTTCAGTTGCTTTCATGTGGCCTAATGTGAGTCTATTTGGAATCATTGGAATGATCAGCAGCATCTCTTGATGTGAATTTATGGCAGTTGCCCAGGGCATCATCGCAAGGAGGATGGCATTCATTTACTTTTGTTTTATTTGGTATTTCTCAGTCATTTTTGGAAATAGTGATTCATTTTGATTAATTCACAGCCTATGTTTAATTACATTGAAAAATTAGTTGTTTGACATCCCCAATTATAATAAATGTCTACAGATGAGATCAAACAAAACAGATGAGAATTGCCCTTAAAGAGCAAGTCACCCCCAAATAAACTTTTTTTGCTGATAAACTAAATAAACGAGTGTCTAATCATGCTGCAGACACGTGTCGTCAATAATTTGGCACTTCAGTGCATCTTAGTTAAAATTTAAATATTCTGCCTAAAACTGGCAGTGTTGTGCTGTTGTCAGGTAAAAACTCTGCACTGTATTTTAATTAAAATCTGCCACCGCTGTTAGCTAAGAAGTATGCTATGATGTAAACTGGTACATTATGATGTCACAATGCTGTCATGAGCCTGAGTGTGTGTGTGTGTATTTGTTAGCGGCTCCGCCCTCTCGGTCTGCCAGGCAACAGCATGTGTTGCATTTTTCAAACATGAAGTGGGAGTGGAGTTAGACTCTGGTAGGGGTTGACTTGCTCTTTAAGCTGTTTAACTTGGACCAAGCATTTTAGGTCACAGATAGGTGTAGCGTAGGGTCTCTGTCTATACACCTTATAAGACAATTTAGGTGATGGCATGTTGTTTTTCTGCTATTGAACTGTTTTCTAATAATGTTGTGTTTAATAAAGTGAAGGAAGGAGAAAAATAACGTTTCCCTAACAGTTTTTAAAAATGTCCCTATGTAATCTGATTAATCGATTAATCGTGTCGAGACCCCATCCGATTCATCGATTATCCAAATAATCGTTTGTTGCAGCCCTACTGCCAATAGTTTTATGGTCTGTTTAAGTGGCAGCAACATCACATCATTTTACTTTCATTAAATTTAAAGGAGACCTTTGAATTCTGTAGAGCCCTAAACGAGAAGTATACTTAAACAAGATACCTTTGACTAAGAGCTTGGCCGATGAGGTTAAACTGCCAGTTTTGAAGGTGACATTGCCAGAGTCATCTGTGGCCAGGTTCTTAAAGGTGACTGTGTGGATGTGGGACTGCTCCTGGCCTATCTCAATGACAGAGCTGCTCTCCAGCAAGGTGCCATCCAACCACCACTGCACCTTACCAGGAGCCCTGCCAGACAGCTGGCAGGAGAAAGTTGCCCACTCCCCAACAAAGATGTCAGTGTTCATAAGACCAGTTACAATGAAGATCTCCTTCACTGTTGAACGAAACACACACGCGCGCGCGCGCACACGCACACACACACACACACACACACACACACACACACACACACACACACACACACACACACACACACACACACACACACACACACACACACACACACACACACACAGTTTTTGACTTAAACAAAAACAGTTTGGCGGACAGACAAATGCAAGAAAACTGTAAGAAAGCTACCTTGAACTGCTAAAGAAGCTGTAGTGAGCTGATTTCCTGCATCACAGGTGTAGTAGCCACGATCTTCAGGCTCCAGGTTATGTATACAAAGCTCCTGAATGCGTCCTTCCTGTCTTATCTCGTACTTCTTACCAGGCTGGAGGACAATGCCTCCTTTCCTCCACTCAACCCGAATGCCTGGCTTAGACAGTTCACAGCGAAGGGTGATATTGTCACCCTCTACACCATTCTGGTTCTTGAGCTCTTTCTGGAAGAACACTGGAGCACCTGGTGGGTTTGAAAAGGGAAAATATGACGAGATGCTGGGATGAAAGGGTATGACATCATGGCAGATGACAAAAGTTTAAAAATGCTTCAGTGGTTTGATCCCAATTAGTTCCAGTCTTGAATTTGATCATCAAGGAAAGAAAACTTCAGGATTTTTTACCTTGTACAGTCAATGTGACATCACACTGCTCGTCTCCTGTGTCGCAGACATATGTTCCTGAGTCTTCAGACACCAGGTTATGGATACGAAGCTGGTGGATTGCCCCATTCTTCTTCAGGTCATATTTGAGACCTTCTCGAATGCTCCTTTTGTTCCTGGTCCAGGTGACTGTAGCATTTGGGTCAGAGATGCTGCAGGCAAGAGTGACCGTTTCACCCTCTAATGCCACCGTATCATGGGGCTTCTCTACTATTAGCACTGAAAACATGAGAAAGACATGATTCAAAAGCAGTCTTTTCTCATCTTAACAGCTGTTATATGATCCTAATTTAATTATTCTGTTTTAATTTTTGAGAAAAATACAAAGGTGCTTCATTATATATATATATATATATATATATATATATACATATATATATATATATATATATATGTATCACACAATATCTGCCAGTATTTTATTGGTACTGATTTTAGAGTGTAAAGCACAAAATTAAAAATGTGGTTGACGACGATATCCATAAAAAGTTTAGTTGCCAATGAAGACAGGTGAAGATGAAATTTCCTAAGTGAACATGTCATCTTCTTTACCTTTGGGTTTCTCCTCAACCAGAAGAAAAGCCACGCTCTTCTCATCCCCAACGACGAAGGCAACATCACCCGATTCATCTGTGGTCACCATCTTCAGCACCAATCGGTGCAGTCTGCCGTGACTGCTCATTTGATTCAGATCATTATTTTGAAGGAGGTTGTCTCCAAGCCACCATTCCCCATTAGTGACGCCTGAATGCGAAAGTTCAACTTCAAAGATGGCATCCTTGCCCGTCATCACAGTGATGTCGCTGAGCTCTTGGACAATGCGTACGTGTTCTGAGGGTTAAATAGGAGGTCAGAAGTCAGGTCTAAGCAGATCCTCCAAATGTCTTCACTATGAGGGCTTATACATCTAGCAAATTTAGTCTCCTGACAAAGAACGATCTTAGAAAATTCAATGGAAGTGGACTGGCTGATTTAAAGGTCAATAAATTCATGGACCTTTAGATCTGATAATGATTTAGCTGTGGTCTGTTACCTTTTACAGTTAAGGTTGCAATGCTTTTCCCACTTCCTGTTTCACAGATGTATTCCCCACTGTCCTCCATCATCAGCTTGTGTATAACCAGGCTATGGGTGGTATCCTTCTGCTGCATGGTGTACTTTTCACCCTGGGAGAGTACAGTTGAGCTCTTTTTCCAGGTCACTTTACAGTCAGAACTGGACGTTTCACAGGACAGTGTAGCTTCACCTCCTTCTCTGGCCTCTTGATCTGCCAGCTCCTTCTTGAAGGATACTGAAGATGCTGCCGGAAAGACCAACTTATTAAGATGAATCATCTTTTTAACGTTTGTTGACCTTTCAGATCCTAACATGACATCCACAAAACACACAAAGTCAACAATCATACAGACAGTGCAAAATGTATTAAGTCTCCTAGAATTTGTTTTTGTTTTTTACAATTAGAAACTGCTCGTTGAGCCTGGAGCATAAATCACTCCCATCTACTGCCAGACCATGGGGCCACTACTGCCCAAAATGTGAATGAGGGTCTGTTTACCAATAAAATGTATTTTCTGGTCCCATTCGATTTGTGACATGGATTTAACATATGATGTCATGAATTTTAAATGGATACTGTGCAACTTTTTTCAGATTTTTAAATAATTTTCTTGAGCGAGTAAAACTGGGGTGACGATGGCACAGGGGTTAAGTGCCGGCCCCATAATTAGAAGGCTGCAGGTTTGAGCCCCGCTCAGTCTGTCGCTGTTGTTGTGTCCTTGGGCAAGACACTTAACCCACCTTGCCTGCTGGTGGTGTTCGGGGGGACCGGTGGTGCCTATGTACGGCAGACTCGTCTCTGTCGGTGTGCTCCAAGACAGCTGTGGCTGGGTGTGAATGTGTGTGTAAATGTGTGAATGACTGATTGTGTTGTAAAGTGCCTTGGGGGGTTCTAGGACTCTAGAAGGCACTATATCAAATACAGGCCATGTACCATTTTTACAATAAAATGACCTTTTACTGGGTTATTGAAAAGTCACTCAGACCCCACCGCCCTAGATTGCAGGCGGGCAGATAGGGTGGGGGACGGGGGGGATCTGTCCCCCCAGATTCAGATCGACCCCGATCCGTCCCCCCCAACTAAGGCCAGAAAGAAAACAAAATCGGAGGTTAAGCGCTTGAAGCTCATTTTTCCAATTACATTGAATGCAGCATGACGTAAACAAACACCGACTCCAGAGGCGCCAAAGTGGTTGCTGCTAGGATGCAGGATGAAGCGAAAAAGGCAAGCAACGATTACTGCGTATTTAAAAAAGACCAACAGTGTAAGTAGGCGGGACTGATCTGTTTGTTTATGCGTGTTGGTTCTAGTTTCAGTACATTGTTGTCAGTGTTGGGACTTACAGTTATAAGTGCCAAAGCCTCATTGCTGACTTTAACAAGTCTCATCTACAAATATAATCCCTCATGAAGTTACTACTTTACACCAGAAGATAGTGGAGATGTGTAACCTTCAGGCTGAGCAAAGTTTTGGAGTTTTTAGAGTTTGAAAAACGCCTCCAGCCGACAGGCTCCCAGTCGGGGAGAGGAGGAGATGCGCGCAACATGAAGAGCGCAAATATTAGATAAAACGTATAATTGCCGGCAGGTCTGGTCTTCGTTGACTGATCACTTTGTCTGCACGAGAGGTGTGTGGAGTTTACAAGCTCCAAACGTTGGGCTTGATGTTTGTTTAACCTTTTTTGGGACGTGATGGATGTAGAAATGATGGTAAAACACCGCAAACGTGACAGACGTGGCGACAATGTAAAAAAAAAAAGTCGTAAAAAAGAGGCAGATGCCGATGCGTTATGTATGGAAGTCAAAGTGTGCCACATAATCATAAAAAAGGTAAAATATAAAATTTTAAAAGAGCTTCATATATTTATTTATGAATAAAAACAATTCCAAATATAATGAAAATTTCTAAGTAACGTAAAAATAAGAAGGAACATCTGTTGGTCAGGCTGAAAAGTTGGGAACCACTGCTCTAAGTGATAAGTGAATTTTGTTTTTTAAATATATTTTAAGTGCAGTTTTTTAGGGCTTTTATGTTTTCTGTAAAGATTGGTAAGCTGAAAATCATTAAATTTTTTGCATAAAGCATGAGGTTTTGGTTAGTACTTGATTGGGAGAATAACAAATGACTGATTTAAATAGTGGGGCGCCTCTGTCAGTGCACCCCAGGGCGCCATCAGTGTGTGAATGTGTGTGTGAATGTGTGTGAATGGATGATACACTGTAGTGTAAAGCGCTTTGGAGTCCTTACTCTGAGAGGCGCTATACAAGTGCAGATCATTTATCATTTATAGTGTTGATCAGGCAGAGCTTCGTTGCCAGTGTTCCACTGCATAATGGCTTCAAACACGTATATAAAAGTGTTAGTTTTTACGTAAACCAGTGGATGAAATTACACCAAATGACTGAGCTCTAGTTAAGGCGCTTGCAATAGTTTGTGTATGTGTACAGGTGCTGGCCAGTAAATTAGAATATCATCAAAAGGTTGAAAATATTTCAGTAATTCCATTCAAAACGTGAAACTTGTACATTATATTCATGCAATGCACACAGACCAATGTATTTCCGATGTTTATTACGTTTAATTTTGATATTTATAGGTGACAACCAATGAAAACATCAAATCTGGTATCTCAGAAAATTAGAATATTCTAAAGGCCAATGAAAAAATGTTTGTTTCTCTAATGTTGGCCAACTGAAAAGAATGAACATGAAAAGAATGTGCATGTATAGCACTCAATACTTAGTCGGGGCTCCTTTTGCCTCAATAACTGCAGTAATGCGGCGTGGCATGGACTCGATCAGTCTGTGGCACTGCTCAGGTGTTATGAGAGCCCAGGTTGCTCTGATAGTCGTCTTCAGCTCCTCTGCATTGTTGGGTCTAGCGTATTGCATCCTCCGCTTCACAATACCCCATAGATTTTCTATGGGGTTAAGGTCAGGCGAGTTTGCTGGCCAATCAAGGACAGGGATACCATGGTCCTTGAACCAGGTGCTGGTGGTTTTGGCACTGTGTGCAGGTGCCAAGTCCTGTTGAAAGGTGAAGTCTGCATCCCCATAAAGTTGGTCAGCAGCAGGAAGCATGAAGTGCTCTAAAACTTCCTGGTAGACGGCTGCATTGACCCTGGACCTCAGGAAACAGAGTGGGCCAACACCGGCAGATGACATGGCACCCCACACCATCACTGACGGTGGAAACTTTACACTGGACCTCATGCAACGTGGATTCTGTGCTTCTCCGCTCTTCCTCCAGACTCTGGGTCCTTGATTTCCAAAGGAAATGCAGAACTTGCTTTCATCAGAAAACATAACTTTGGACCACTCAGCATCAGTCCAGTCCTTTTTGTCCTTGGCCCAGGCGAGACGCTTCTTGCGCTGTTTCTTGTTCAAGAGTGGCTTGACACACGGAATGCGACACCTGAATCCCATGTCTTTCATGAGTCTCCTCGTGGTGGTTCTTGAAGCGCTGACTCCAGCTGCAGTCCACTCTTTGTGGATCTCCCCCACATTTTTGAATGGGTTTGTCGTCACAATTCTCTGCAGGGTGCGGTTATCCCTAGAGCTTGTACACTTTTTTCTACCACATTTTTTCCGTCCCTTCGCCTGTCTGTTAATGTGCTTGGACACAGAGCTCTGCGAACAGCCAGCTTCTTTAGCAATCACCTTTTGTGTCTTGCCCTCCTTGTGCAAGGTGTCAATGATTGTCTTTTGGACAGCTGTTAAGTCAGAAGTCTTCCCCATGATTGTGGTGCCTTCAAAACAAGACTGAGGGACCTTTTAAAGGCCTTTGCAGGTGTTTTGAGTAAATCAGCTGATTAGAGTGGCAGCAGGTGTCTTCTATATTCAGCCTTTTCAGAATATTCTAATTTTTTGAGATACCAAATTTGGAGTTTTCATTAGTTGTCACTTATGAATATCAAATTTAAATGTAATGAACATTGGAAATACATTGGTCTGTGTGCATTGCATGAATATAATGTACAAGTTTCACGTTTTGAATGGAATTACTGAAATATTTTCAACCTTTTGCTGATATTCTAATTTACTGGCCAGCACCTGTATGTGTGCGTGCGTGTGTGTGTGTGTGTGTGTGTGTGTTTGGGGGAGGGTACATCGGAACTTTGTCCCCCCCCAGTTTGAAAATCCTATCTGCACCCCTGCTAGATTGCATAGGAAACTTTTCAGTATGCTACATTATACCCCAAGCTGTTAATATTCAACAAAAAGTAAGTCTGGTTTTAAATTCAAGGAGCACTTAAACATCAAGATGACCAAATGTGATACTTTGTAATTTTGATACTGAATACATAGGTAAACGGGGAGGCTTTCCATTGAGGTATAGTGGGAAAATGACTGAACAAGGACATTATGTGGAAAGACCAACAAGATCAGCACCTGATGTTCCAGAATTATGGAAAGGCAAAGTGAGCACAATCATGTTTTCAAGAAGTCTTTGTAAATATGATAAATGTGTTCCACAAGAAAAAAGGACCAAAGCAAGCAGAAGTCAAAATTGAAGCAAGTGGCAAATCTCATTTTTCTTTCTGAGAAATAAAACACCTCTGCCTCCCCTACCTCTGACAGTCAGAGAGGCGGTGGAAGTGTGGTTTCCCACAGAGAAAGTGACTGTTCCAGAGTCAGCAGCAGTTACGCCTCTAAGTGTGAGGCTGTGCACTCGGCCCTCAGATTTGATCAGGTTCATTTCATTATTCTGCAGTGGAACATCTTGGAGTTTCCACTGAACTTGTGGCGTCTCCGTATGAGAAAGTTGACACTCAAAGTGTACATCTTCCCCCTCATGTACAACACAGCTCTCCAAGAACTTCAGTATTTCAACCTCAGCAGCTGTTTGAGGAAGACACGTCAACAGAGAGAAAATGACAGTTCAAGCTGTGGGAATTAAATGTCATCATGAGTATCAAGTGAAGAAAAAATGGGGTTTGGTGAGTTGTTATAGAGGAAGAAGACAAGAACTAACAAGAGTTCAAGTTCAGTGTTGTAATGTGAAAACTGGAGGTTTTAGGTAAAGTGCTCAGAATTAGAAGGAATTTTCTAAATGTGCAGTTAAGAAATGACTAAAATGATGGTTACATGGCGGGTTCACAACTCCATGCTTGTGTTGCTTTGGAAGAAGCCAGTCAACAAGATAAAGCAATAACAGACAGGTAGGTGGGAGTCCAGGTGATGCAAGAAAGGAAGTCTTGAGTAAAGAACGCCTACCCATCACCGTGAGGACAGCTGACGTCTTCTGGTGGCCTGTATCACAGGAGTATTCTCCTGAGTCAGCTCCCTGCAGCTTACAGACAATAAGTTTGACCACTGTCCCTTCCTGTTTCAGATGATACTTGCTACTGGTGGTCAGCACCTTGTCACCGTACCTCCAGACCACATCGGCTCCTGGTTTTGTGATCTCACAGTGAAAAGTAGCCGCCTCTCCAGCTTGTCTTTCAAGGTTCTGTAGCTCGGTTCTGAACAAGACAGGCTTGGCTGTGGGAAATTAAAGACAGGAGCAAATTTTGAGAGATTTTTCACATTAGTTTCACAATAAAATAAGCTGCAACTAGCATACCCTTCACAGCTACTTGTGCTGTGCTTTGGCATTCACCAGTGTCACACGTATAGCTCCCAGAATCCTCTGGATCTACGTCATGGATTACTAGCATAGCCTGATGTCCTGTTTGTCTAATTCCATACTTGCCACAAGGACAAAGGCCAAGTTCTCCTTTCCTCCACTCCAAAGCAACACCAGATTTTGAAAGCTCACAGTTTAAAGTGACACTGTTTCCCTCTTGCACCGTCTGGCTTTCCAAGTCTCTTATGAAAAACACTGGACGAGCTAAACATTTGAAATCATAAAAGAAAAATCAGAGAATGAAAAAAGGGGAAAATGACACCGAAATGTAAGAGATGGAAAGAGCGACGCACAAGGACAATGAGATGGAAAACGAGATGGAGGATGGGTTAGGGCTCATCATACCATTTACAACAAGAAATGCTGAGCTTAGGGTGTCCTCTGAGCAGCATGAATATCTTCCTGTGTCTCCAGGAGTCAAATCAAGAATTTGAAGCTCATAATTCAGTCCTGCTTGTTTCATGTGGTACTTTTCTCCACAAGTTAGGACTTCTCCTCCTTTCTTCCACTTGATGGGAAGTCCAGGTTTAGAAAGCTCACATTGCAGCGTCACGCTTTTTCCTTCCTCACATTCTTGACTCTCCAGGTCTTGAATGCATCTAACGGGGACATCTGGGAATTGGAGGATCAAAATACTTATTGGTGATAGGAGGTCCTTTAAGTTTTATCCCAAAATAAAGGGAAACATTTGTATTCTAATGTGCATGTACATGTGCATACATGCACAAGTAGTGGCATCAGCATCCAACAACTATTGAATAATATCTAATTAGGATAAATAAGTAAAAAAAACAACTACAAATAGAAAAGACATTTGTGGTGAAGAAAAACAGCACAGACTCTAGCTTTGTAAGCATTAAAAGTGAGATAACAGTTTTCTTCAAAATATAAATAATGAAACCAACTGTCAATATGCATCTTCCTACTTCTTATCCAGTTAAATCAATGTCTAAATCGTCAAAAGTCTGTGCAAAAGACCACAACAACGGGTGTTGGCTTTAAAATAAATGACCAAGAATGAAAGTAGGAATCAGGTTGTAACATTTTACAAACTGCACCTTTAACTTGAATTTAACCCACCAACATTCAGAAAATGTTTGAAAAAAGAGTCAGTCATTATTTCTTAAAAGGAACTGAAGTATTTAAAAAACCAAAGTTTAGAACCAGAATGAAGGAAACGACTATCTCTGCAAATGGTGTGAGAATATGGAACAGCCTTACCAAAGACATAAAAGAATCAAAGTCACTAAATATATTTAGAAAATGTATCAAATCAAGTGTATTACAGAACTACAATAACCTAAATTCAGTGGGTGTCTGATTAGGTCTGTAAGTTAAAAGAATATAATATAATTAAGAATATTAATCTTTGGTTTTGTTTTGTTTTGTTGTTTATTGAGAATTGTATAGAAGCATTATTAAAAAGTTTGGTTTGTAAATAGGGGCAGATAATATAAGATGTCTTCCTTCTGCCCCTTTTCATTCAAATTGTTTGGTGTTCATGTTCATGTATGTTGTTTGTATATATATATATATATATATATATATATATATTTTAACACTTTGAATGAAACAAATGAATAGAAAAAAAAAGAGAATTAAAATCAATCATTTCTCTACATCTTTTCCTTGCATAAGGTGGACTGAAAGCCAAGCTTTAAATGCCAACCTTCTGATGGCTGCTACCTCAAGCCGCAGCTGTACAACGAGTAACAATAAAATGTTAATCTAATTCCTTTTTATGAAAGACTTGATAATCACAGATCTGCATCTGCATCAGCTAGCAATCAGACGACAACTATCAGTGCATCTGCAAGGTGGATGTTATCTGTAACAGCATCATATTATTCATTCATTACAGGATTCTTTACAGGAAGTGATGAATAGCATTAAAATCAGCATTGTCTACCTGTGAGACATGAACACAGAGAGCAGTGTAGCGTTATTAAGATCCTATTGTCTGCCCTTAACAGCTGCCCCTTCACACAGCAACAACGTGTAGGAATCGCCAAGGTCGGATGCTGGTTTCAGTATGTTTACATTCCAGGAGAAGAGACAGAAGAAGAGAAGAAGAACGCTTTCCATTAATTAATCAAAGTACTTTATTCGTGATAAAGCTAATCAAGGCATATTTTGATCAATAATAATCAGGTGAATGATCTGTGAAATAAAGATGTCATGAGTTATGTGTTTAATGAATAAACAGGACTGCACCAGACAGACTGATCTACATTAACATGGAAACGCATGACACATTGTTCTCAACCAATCAGAACTTTTGTCTGTCGTAGGGCAGAATCTGGGTTGTTTAATGAAGTTATCCAATCCGGTTTACTAAGATTTGTAAACAACTAGGGGATATAAAACAAGGCAACGCCATTTTATACTCAGTTCCATTTTAACCTCAGCTCTGTTCGATCTGAGCTCCAAAGGAGTTACATCATACTCTCAATGTAGTTTTCAACCAGCTCTCGATCCATCACCGCAAAAGAGAGGTGCAGCCTGGCCAGATGCACTTTCTACTTTAAGCTGAGAACTGTCAAGCTGGAGATTTCCGTCGTTTGAACAACAAGACGACGTCCCTTCAAAATAAGAGCGAACTCGCTGACGCCTGCCGCTGATACCGGGAGTCGACCCACAGACGGGCTTTGTAGTGCTGCGACCGCTGTTTCACCAGCTCCAGTACACCTGAAGGTCCAAAGACCTGGCAATTCCTGATCTACACGGGAGGTTCCACAGGGTACGTAGTTACGGCTAAATGGCTGCTCATGTCATCAGCTTCTGAAGCCTCGTGGTAGCCTAGTCATAACAACCAGATTCGCTACGTCAGCCTAGAGATTCTGAACAACACACACACACACGCACCAACACTATAACATTCAAATCCATATGCATCCATCATTGAGATAGTCCTGGTAGATTGTTGAATTCTTAATTATAGAAATTAAAGATTCTTAAACGATCCCAACTCTCTCTTTTCTTGTCTCTCAGTCAATACAAAGTGTTTAAGTAAACTCCCTGATGATAAAAACAACCACTTCTGATTATAATATTTAGATCTAATTACAGTGTATAAATATACAAACTACAGATCACTACAGCAGTAATGCAGGAATAAGTACTCCAATCATTCTCTGTTATCTCACACAGAAGATCAGATCAAACACAATGTGTGGGTTCAAGTTTTGTCCAAAAATAACCTATTTTGTCATTCTATACATGTAAATGTATGGCCACGACCAATAGAAAGCTCTCAGTCGTGGGGCGTAATCTATGGTTGTCTTTTAAACTGTCAGCGCTATGACCAATAGGAGCAACAAACAACGCAACGTATTCATCACTGTGGAAATCAGCCAATAGAGCAGTTCGCCATACACCATAAAAAAAGAGAAAAGAAGCAAACACATCCTTTTTCTGAATAATGGACTAAAGTACATCTATCTGATCATGTCTCAAAGGAAAGTCCAAGTCTAAAGAGTGCCAGAGCTATTTCAAACAAGCGCCGTTCTTGAGCCAATGCCATCTTTGTAGTTTTTCTCCATTGCAGCTCTGGTGCTAAGTGCACCTAAACAAAAGTGCACTGTGATTGGCCAGACACACTCTTCAGGCCAATGGTAGACTTACTGTTGCTACTGCAGCCATCTGTGTGGATTTTTGGATGTTTACTTTAGGGGATCGTAACACAAATGTTCTTGAGCCAAATTTGCTTCATCAGCTGGAACAAAACTCTACATTTATCTATAGAGATGAGCTATTTGTTCTGAAGACAGCCACAAACTAGAACCTAAGTTCAGATAATCACAAATGAAAGTTGCCTGTTTACAACTCTGCATGTTAAATAATGTTCTTCTGTAGAATCAAATAAACTGATCTTTCACAGAGTGGTTTTTGTTTGTTTCATAAGCCCAAATTTACATGTTTGCAACACCCACAGTTATCATCACCATGCCAAACAAAGCCCATTTCATCTCTCATCACTTTACCTTCACCTTCCACTTTAGGTTCTGTTGAACTTCTCTCAGTCTCCTGTTTGAGTTGCTCATCTTCACAGGCTCCGGTTTTTATTGCAGTCACAGCTAAAGGCACAGGAAAACACCAGCGGCAATGAAATACTTAAAACCGAACACGGACACGACCAACAAAAACAAAGACAACCCACACTGCTCCAACAACCAGCCTCCATGCAGCAAAAATCCAACTAATCTTATACTTTGTATTAAACACTTATTATTTCAGTAATGTGTGTGTAGCCTGGAAACATTAAGACACAACTTTTTGTGAGACAAGTTGCTAAACAAACTTATTCTGCTTGCCAAGTTCTACAATTCCACTTAAATAAAACCACATTAAACTAAAAACGTATAGTCACAGATGTAACCAAAATATACGTAGGAACTGAAGTTTGACTTATGAAGCATAAAAGCATTTTTAAATTGACGTACCAAGTTATTACAACTTTTTGAAATGTATTCATACAATTCAGGAAAATGACATAGACAAGCTGCAGCCAACCATTTAACACATAGGTACAACACGATAAATAAAGATGGACCGTTTAATAACAAGAAAACACTGAAGTGGCAACACACCGACTGAGAGGCACACACAGCCAGCATGCTGGTGCTACCTTGTGCTGGCTCTTTGGTCCCCTGGCTTTGAGCTTGTTTGACAACCGTTCCAGTAAAAGGCTTGTCAGCTGAGATAAAACACAAAAACCTCACTCTTTTACAGAAATAAGTGCATTGATCCAAACAGAACTTCCAGCTGGAGCTAAATCAGAAGTAATTAGAAAGTCACCTGCTTACAACACTGCTACTGAGACATGTTCTCATGTCAAATAAATAAAGTCAGAGTCTAAGCTATTTTTGTCTTTAAAAAGCAACGAAATTAGAAAACCAGAGCACAACAATCCACACCAAAATGCAATGAACTGACATTACATTTGGTGTCATAAACTCTCAGCTAAAGAAGACAAATGATTGATTTGAGCGAACACCTACTTTCTGGGTAAACAGCAGACAATCAAATAGCAAGACAAACACTAACGACTAACTGAACAGCCATTTTCCCAATATTTTTAATCTGAATTCACATTAATGGTGCATTATGTAAGTATGACATCCCGTTGTCAAATTTGGGCATTGCAGCCCAGTGTCTGAACGAAACGAGTGACTTTCTCACTACGGTTCTGTACGTTTCGTGGCTGTTGCCAACTATGGATTAGCGCCAGAAGATCCTAGGTGACAGGTGTAGTTGAGTCACAGTCAGTTGATATGCAGATAAATACATTTTATTGAAATATCAAGTTGTTGGTAATAGAAAAAATTTGTTGAGATTTTTTTGAGCCAACTATTATAATTTATCATTAGCGTTGTTAGCTCAATGTTAGCCTCTAGCATTTCATAAAAAAGATCACGTGTCTTCTTAGGTGTACAAGAAATAGTGTCACTAGCTTAGGATCTTTATGAACCGCTGCTGCATTTGCCGGTCGGTATAAAATTACGGAGTTGGACTCAGTACTGGGTTCACAGATTGTAAACAGTGACGTCCCAATTAGGCCATTTTGAAAAGAGGAAAATGGACAACCCCCCTGATGGCAAAGAAGAAAATCTGTTTCAATGAACCTTCCTTCCAACATGATTGAGATATTAGACTATTTGTGATTATTTCACTGCAAAATTCTTACATATTGTACCATTAACTATATTTTACAAGCCATGAATCTGATGCGTTGCTAGATGTCAGTCTCCAACAGATACATGCAAACTCATCACAGTACCTTCACGTCCCATTTCAAGCTCTCTTGAACCTCGCTGAACCTCTTGATTGAGAATCTGCTGTTTAGGGGCCTCTCCAGTAGCTGGCAGTGTCACAGCTATAATGATTCACCACAATTTCAATTTCACACAAGAAAGCCACAGCTGCACGAGGTGCAGATTTCATCAAGATAGACACACAGTGAATGGGTTCGAGCTTGTCTACAGAGCGATGATAAGCCAGACGGCAGAAACGAGAAAATGTTGACATATCACAAAACTTTAAATGTTTTAAATTAAAATACGCAACAAAAAGAGACACAGATCAGATTAAAAAACAGCTAGTAGGCAAAAACATAAAAGGTTGTATAAGAAAAAGGGCGTAGGAATTTTGAAAGATTACCTTCCACAGTTTCATTTATCTCCTGCCTCTTCTGAATGACGTTACCAGCTACAGATGAAGTTTCACTCATCTTGACTGAAATGCAGGTGTGACACAGAAATGCCAAATCAGTTAACTACACCATTTAGTGTTTTATTTTCTGTAAAACTGGAAACAATCCACAAACCACAGAGAAATGCATGGACTACTGTGCTGACATGTAAACTCCAGAAAAGGACAGCTGTAATTTGTAACTCATTAGCATGACATTAAATTAAAAATAAACAATTTCCTTTCATTTCCTGCTCCTGAGTTGAGCTGAACAGTATAAAGCACTGAGGGTAAAGCAAACATTTTAATGCTGAGTGACAAAATACACATTTGACAAAGAACACAGCAGGAGGCACACTAACTGAACCACAAGATGTGAAACCCAAGATAAATACATCTATCTTAACTTTGCATTAATAAACAAAATTCTGCATCATCTTAGCTAACTTTTCTGCATACCTTCAGCTTTTTCTTTGGTCTCCTGCATCTTGGACTCTGGTTCAGCAGCTGAGGGAGGAACAGACAGCTTCACAGCTGAGAGGAAATAATTACAGTTAAGTCTGCCTTAGTATATTTTGATCATCTACATTATGAACAGAGCAGAAAACCAAATATAATCTGATGAATTGTTTGATAAACAATAAAATAAAGGTTGTTAGTTATTCATAAGGATATACAAAAGTGTGAACCGCCCTGTCTCAAAGGCAGCACACAAAAAAATGAGCAAACGTCCAGTGTGTATGGTGAAAATGGTCACCAACAACTTAAAACTAAGACACGAATGGAAGCAACAGCGAGCAAGTATGCCAAGCTACAAGGCCTTTACAAAAAGCCTCTTGTGTTGGTTTTATCGTTTCAAATGCACCAAAGGGTAAAGCCAAAACACCCAAAAGGAAGGAGAACATTGCAAGCATACACATCTGCTAACAAGCTGCAAGAGGAATTTCAATTGGTGGTTCAAAAAATATGAAGAAAGTCCTGGGGGAAAATAAACGTTTCAAAGTAGGCAAAAAAGAACTTTTGAAGCCAAGGCAGAGGCTGCTGGTCTGGGTTCAGCAGTCCAAACAAAATCTTGTCAACTGTAAAAGTTGTTATGGCTCAAGTTACAAAGTACTTTGAGAACAAAAGTGAAAAAGTTTATGATAGTGATGAAAAATCGTTAAAATATAAATCCTCCTACCCTTGATCTTGATGCTGGCTGTGGTCTTCTGGTCTCCACACACACAGCTGTAGTCTCCACTGTCTTCTGGTACCACTTTGTTAATGAGGAGTTCATTCACACATCCCTTCTGCTTCATCTGGATCTTCTCACCAGACTTCAGGACCTGTGTTCCCTTCTTCCACTCCACTGGAACTCCAGGTTTGGAGAGCTCACAGCTCAGAGTAATATTGGCTCCCTCTTCAGCCTCCTGGTTCTCCATCTTCTGCTTGAAGATCACTGGTTGGGCTGAGTGTTTATCGATTTGTTATCAGGCAGTAGCATTCAGTGACATAAGGAAGCAAATATACAACACAAGACTGAAGACAAGACAAACATTGGCAGTTTGCATCTTTTGATGACAGCAAGTTTTGCAACATATAGGCTCAAAATATACAAATCATAATTTATTGAATACAAAACTGGCTCAAATATATTAGTTGACTGTGTCTTCCTACCCTTGATCTTGATGCTGGCTGTGGTCTTCTGGTCTCCACACACACAGCTGTAGTCTCCACTGTCTTCTGGTACCACTTTGTTAATGAGGAGTTCATTCACACATCCCTTCTGCTTCATCAGGATCTTCTCTCCAGACTTCAGGACCTGTGTTCCCTTCTTCCACTCCACTGGAACTCCAGGTTTGGAGAGCTCACAGCTCAGAGTAATACTGGCTCCCTCTTGAGCTTCATGACTCCCCAGCTTCTTCTTGAAGGTCACTGGTTGGGCTGAGTGTTTAATATTTGGTCGATAACAAATTGAGTGTTATAGCAAAATAAGAGAAAAAAAACAGATAAAGTAAAACAAGAAAAACACAAACAGACAAACTCTGTACCCCAAAGAAAACTGTAGACTTTCTGAAAGGGCTGGGGCTAAAAAAAAGTATTTGCAGCCACCGACTGTGCGTGTTGTCCTACTTAAAGAATGGGCGAGGTCTGTAATTTTCATCACTTCAACTGTGAGAAACAGAATATACAAAAAAATAAAATAAAATAATGTAGGAAATCAGATTGTGTGATATTTAAATAATTTATTTACATAACGGTGCAGAAAATAAGTATTTGGTCAATTAGAAAAGTTCACTTTGTATCCTGAAATGTAACCTTGGTTGGCGATGACAGAGGTCAAACTTTTTCTGCAGGTGTTCACCAGGTTTGCACTCACTGTAGCTGGTATTTTGGTCCTTTCTTCCTTGCAGATCTTCTCTAGAGCTGTGATGTTTTAGGGATGTTGCTAGGCAACATACATTTTCAACTCCCTCTACAGATTCTCAATTGGCTCAAGGTCAGGAGACTGGCTAGGCCACTCCAGAACTTTAAAATGATTTTTATGTAGCCACTCCTTTGTTGCTCGGGTGATCTGTTTGGGATCATTGTCGTACTGGAAGATCCAGCCATGTTTCATTCTCAGTGCTCTCCCTGATGGAAGGTTTATGCCTAAAATCTGACGACACATGGCCTCATTCATCTTTTCCTTAATAGTTATCAGTCATCCTGTCCCCTTTTGGAGAAGTAGCTCCAAATCATAATCTTTCCACCCCCATGCTTCACAGTGGTGATGTTGTTCATGAGATACAACTCTGCATTCTTCCCCTTCCAAACACAACAAGTGTCATTTATACCAAAGAGTTCCACTTTGGTCTTATCTGACCTCATGACATTTGTCCAATCCACCTGTGGATCATCCACATGGTTTCTGGTAAACTCTAGATGGGCCTGGACATGTGCTGGCTTAAGCAGGGGGACATTTCAAATCAAATCAAATCAACTTTATTTATAGAGCGCTTTCACATGGCCAGAATGGACAAACAAAGCGTTGAGTGCTGCAGGATTTTAATCCACAACGTCTTAGTGTGTTGTTAATGGTAACCTTTGTCACTGTGGTCCCAGTCTGGATGTTTGAAGGTGTAGACATGTCTGTGAGGGTTGTAATTCTTGTTTGTTTGTAGGCTCTCAAAACCTATTTTCTGTACCATTATATAAATAAATTCTTTAAAAACCATACAGTGTGATTTTCTGAGATTATTGAGTTCTGTTTATCACAATTAAAGTGTACCTAAAATAGAAATTACAGACCCCTCTCGACTTTTTAGGTGGGACAACTTGGCCAGTCGGTGGCAGCCAAAAACATTTTGCCCCATTGTATTACAGATTACATACAGATGTTTAAACGTAAAACATAACAAATAAATATCCCACATATTCCCCCTAAATAAATCCTCCTACCCTTGATCTTGATGCTGGCTGTGGTCTTCTGGTCTCCACACACACAGCTGTAGTCTCCACTGTCTTCTGGTACCACTTTGTTAATGAGGAGTTCATTCATACATCCCTTCTGCTTCATCAGGATCTTCTCTTCAGACTTCAGGACCTGTGTTCCCTTCTTCCACTCCACTGGAACTCCAGGTTTGGAGAGCTCACAGCTCAGAGTAATACTGGCTCCCTCTTCAGCCTCCTGGTTCTCCATCTTCTGCTTGAAGGTCACTGGTTGGGCTGAGTGTTTAATATTTGGTCAACTATCAGTAAATATCAGTTGCGTGTTATAGTAAAAAAAAATGTAAATATAAAGACTGCAGTGTTACTGTAGACTTTCCAAAAGTGCTAACACGTGTGCAAGTGCAAACAGATTCTACTTGGTTTTCTAAATAAAAGCAAAATAATGAATCTTTTTTTCCATTAAAAAATCATCCTACCCGAGATCTTAAGACTAGCTGTAGTCTTCTGGTCTCCACACACACAGCTGTAATCTCCACTGTCTTCTGGTGCCGCTTTGTTAATGAGGAGTTCATTCACACATCCCTTCTGCTTCATCTGGATCTTCTCTCCAGACTTCAGGACCTGTGTTCCCTTCTTCCACTCCACTGGAACTCCAGGTTTGGAGAGCTCACAGCTCAGAGTAATACTGGCTCCCTCTTCAGCCTCCAGGTTCTCCATCTTCTGCTTGAAGGTCACTGGTTGAACTGAGTATTTATTAATTTGTAATCAATCAACTGTATTCCATGACATAGGGAAGCAAATATACGACATAAACATAAAAACAAGACAAACGCTGGTGGTTTGCATCTTTTGATGACAGCGGGTTTTGCAACATATAGGCACAAAGAGGGACGAGTGACACAACACCAGAAGCAGTAGAATTGGCAGCAGCTGTAGAAGAGGTGGAAGCGGCTGCAGTGGAGTGAAAAGACAACTGTTGCAAATGACTGATCAGAGCCGTTCTACACATTTTCACAGGACAAGGACAGGGCTCTCGATTCCCCAAATGCAGGAAGCAGCAAAGCAGCAGAAACGGTAAATAAAACGTCCAGACGGTTGAAAGCTGGCATGTGGTGTTTTCTGTGTGTGACCCCCTGAGTAATGTCAATGCTACAGTGTCTCCCTCTCCCCCGCAGCCGTGCGTGCACTGCCACAATGACCCATTGCCTATTTGATGCATGTTGTCTACCATAGATGCAATACCTATACTGAATTGCACGGCACTTAAGATTCAAATGTTTTTCCACACTGTGCCTCAAACTGGATACGCATACCTAGGTCTCGTCTATGTAACCAAACAATGAAAGTGACTGTGAAATATTTGTTTTACCCCAACTCATATTTAAGTTCTTACCTTTAACTGTCACTTTTGCCATGCTCTTAGCGGTGCCCACATCACACGTGTAGATGTCAGTATCCTTCTCCTCCAGGTTTTTAATGGTGAGACTTAAGACCTTCTCCTTCTGGGACATCACGTATCGACCTCCAGGCTTGAGCTCCGTGTGGCCTTTGAGCCACGTCACTGAGGCTGGGGTTTGTGCTGTTTCACACTTCAAGGTCACAGAGCTCTGTTCATCAGCTTGGATGTCCTCCAACACTTTGGTAAATTTGTGGATTGGTTCTGTTATAAAATATTATTATGACCTTATAACCAATTTTTTAAATGGCAAAGGTATTAGTCAGCTTTATTGTATGAAAACATAATAATGTGTTGTCCTACCTGAGCCTACCAAAGGCTCGTCTTCTGTCAAAAAACTAAAAAACAGAAAATTGAATTTAATTTTTACTACCTTTAATTTCAAGCTTGGCTCTTGTAGTTGCACCTCCAACAACTTCACAGCTGTATTCTCCAGAGTCTTCAGCAGACACATTATGGATAATCAGCTTCATGAGCTTCTCCTGTTGGCTGAGCTCATACTTCTGGCTTTTCCTGATGGATTTGCCTTCTTTGGACCACTTTACAGTAGAACTAGACTGTGTCACCTCACAGATGAACACAGCATCTTCACCTTGAACTACAGAAATATTCTGAAGTCCTTTTGATAAAGAAGATGCTTTTCCTGTGAAAATATGATGGAAAAGGTTTACTTTAAGACTTTAGTGGGCATTAAAGCTTATTATGTCACAAACATAAACCAAGTTAACACCACTTTAAAAAAGGGTTTTTAATTTAGCTCAACACCCAGAGACACAGATATTTCCCAAAGGAAACAGAAGACTTAAAAATATAATTTGTTTAGCTTACCTTCAACTTTTAATGTTGTTTTGGAGCTCAGATCTTTAATGCTGAAAACCACCTCACCAGCATCAACAGGCATGACATCTCTTACGGTCAGAGTGTACTTGCGTCCTTGACAGGTGATCTTAAAGCGGCCGCCGTTTTTAACAGCTTGGCCGTTAATACTCCATGAACACTCATCAGTGCTCTCACGAGAAAGAATACACTCGAAGCTGCAGCTGTCTCCTTCATTCACCTCAGCTGATTTCAACCATTTTGTTATACCAATACCAATTTCTGCAACAAAAATCAATTGATAAATTACTGCTGTGTGTGACCACACCAAACCATCCATGTTCAAACAGGATATTCACCTCTTACAGTGACCTTTGACTTGGAAACCTCTGTGCCAAGATCACAGCTGTACTCGCCAGCATCATCTTTGGTGGCATCCTTGATGATCAGTCCCAAAGACTTGCCTGTGTGAAGAAGCTCATATTTTGGTCCGGCTTTTAGGACTTTTCCCTCTTTCCTCCATGTTGGAGAAACCCTTGGCTTGGATGCCTCACAAGCCAAGGTTATCATGCCCTTCTCTTCTCCAGTGACATCATCCAGAGACTTGAGGAACACAGCACGTTTCTCTGCAGGACAGTAAAGAAAGAAGTGACTGAGCAATATATGTGTTGTTATCTGTTGATGTGTTCAGTCCAAATCTATAACAAATGCATTTGGTATCAAAGTGAGTACTATCCTGACCTTTAACCCTGAGCATGACAGACTCTTTCAATTTACGGACTTGAAAGGTGATGGTACCCCCATCCTGGGGAGCTAAATTCTTCAGTGTGAGCTTGTGGACCTTCCCCTCATGTGTGATGGTGTTGACTTCATTTGTGAAGAGCACCTTGTCATTGAGAAGCCACTGCACCTCTTCATCTGCATAGTTAATCTCACAGGTGAACGCTGCATCGTTGTCTTCGTCAACTTCTGTATCAACCAGGTGCTTGGTGATTTTTATGTCACGGACTGGGTAGTAGAAACAGCACAGCAGGTACTTTTATTATAATGTATTTTTATGTAAATATTGTTGGTGGTAATAAAAGCAAAAACGTACCCTCGACGGTAAGGGTGCCTTTGGTCTCGGCAGGTCCTGACTGACAGCGATACTCTCCACTATCCTCGGCAGTCAGTTTTCCAATCATAAGTTGGGCCCTTGTAGCATCTTGCTTCATGTTGTACTTATCAGATGTCGTCAGACATATCTGACCTTTGTACCAACTAACCTCTTTGGGTACTGCTGAAAATTTGCAAGTGAGTGTTGCAGAGCTTTTTTCCTTTGCTGTCACATCTTTAATGGGTACTGCAATCTCAAGTGGACGCTCTAAATTCACAGAACAACATGTGATCAGTCACAGTAGCACAGTACAACGACAACACAATCACATAAACATGCAATTTCTGAAATGTACCTTTAACGTTGAGCTGAGCTAAAGATTTGCTCTTCCCAGCAGTAAACTGCACAGGTCCCGTCATTGATGCTTTGGTCTTTTTGAAGGTGAGACGGTGCAGGGTGCCTTCTTTCTCCGTCTCAACATCAGCACCTTCCTGAACAGCAACTCCATTCAAAGTCCATGTAGGAGGTTTCACCAGTTCCATACTGATTTCAACTTCAAACACAGCTGCGAAGGGCTCTGTCACCTCTACTGAACTAAGTTCACGCACAATACTTATGGACTGCTCTGCAGAGGTCACAAAGAAATGAGAGTTTAGTGGAAGCCAGAGAAATCGTTTCAGAATTTTAGGTTATGTTAATTTTAAGGGTAAAACCTCACAACTAATCTAACTGGAAATAATATTCAATACTACACTGGTATACGTGTAATAAAACATAATATTGTATACAAATAAATAAATCATGAGCACCAGAGTGAATCTTTAACACACAAATGATCATTTTTAAAGATTCTCAAATCAACGCCAACAGTAACAATTAAGTTTAATCATGTAGTTTTTTTTAAAGAAGTTTTGTCTTAATTATTTAGTAGGTGAGGCTTGTACCAAAATGACAGAAATAAATCAACCCTTGCATCTCATTAGTAGATTATTGCATGTCACTAAATGTATCTGTGCCTCACTGACGAAGTTAGATGGCTTTTTATGGGAGATTAATGTACGTATTTAAATATACACAAGTACTCAGTTCACAATAGATCTTACTCATCTTCCTCTGTTACCTTCCACAAGCAGTTTACAGGATGTTTTGTCATCTGTAGCATCACAGATATACGTGTCTTCGTCTCCACAGTCCACATCGTTGATGGTGAGCTTTCGATACACGTCTTCACTTTTAATCTCGTACTTTTTGCTGGGTTTGATCTCCATCTTGTTTTTGAACCACTTCACTTTTGCACTGGCACGGGATACTTGGCATTCAAGATGAGCACGGTGCTTGTACATCGCTATCTTATCCCTGAGTTTCTTCACAAAGTTGACAGGCAGTTCTACAGTGACAATAAAACTGAGTGAAGGGAAACTCAAAGCTATAGAGGCATGTTTCAGAAGCTTGGATTAATTTACACTATATTCAATTACATTTAGAAAGATTATCAGTTTTGCACTGGTATCAAGACAAATTCTGTAGATTATAATGTGTTACTAGAACAATAATTAAAGGTGACATATTATGACTTTTTAAAGGTATAATAGATATATGGTCTATAAAAACATGTTTATTTAGCAAAACATCCCTCTCTCATAAAGCCATTTCAGCAGGTTTATTCTTGACATTTTCAGCATCTTCCAGAATTTCAAGGCTCTGTCACTTTATAAAAACAAGCTGGATCTGGCCACACCCACCCACCTCCACTCAGGCTGCTATGAGCTGAGAAGCTCCTAAATCTGGAAAGAGCTCAGAATTGGGCCACTGCTCCTCTAGCAGCAGGTCTCTTGAACATGACAGGTGGGGCTACTCTAATTTAGTCATTTTATGACATCACAAACTGGAACTTTTTGAAACAGCTTGTTCTAGGCACATGATTCCTAAACCAGACACTGACAAAAAACAGATGGACAGATTATTATTAGTTTGAAGTTTTTTTTTAGAAGCAGTAGATACCCACATGGCAGCAAAAAATGGCAGCAAAAAATAGATGCAAAAGGTGAGTTTTGCATAATATGTCACCTTTAATTATAAATATTCAGTATGAAAAAAAGGAAGTTCTGGCAACCCCCCAGAAAAAACAATTTAATTTATTGCAAAAACACGTTGCTGAGATTCTTTTGGTAAACCATCAGTGCTCAATGAGAATAAATGTCCATGCAAGTTACAAATAGATTGTCTTTCTCATCAAATTAATGCAATCAGAATGAAGCACAATGTTCATAAAATGTATTTATTTAAATCTTAGTTTAGGGTTTTCTATTTGCACAGCTTATATGGCCGATAGCTTTACTAAAATGAATAGAAATAATCCATTTGAAACCTCATTTATCGCCACAAAACAGTGGTTACTGATTCCATGCAGCATTGCATTAATAATACCGTGTAATTAACAATCCGGATTTACCTTTTACTTTAAGTTTTGCAGTTGAAAAAGTCTTCTCAGCTGTGAATTTAATCTCACCCGAATCTTCAGGGGTGACACACTTAAACAGCAGTACATAGGTTCTGCCTGGGATAACATAAAGTGAGTTTTGCTTTGAAAAATAAGATATGTGCGTGAGCAAGGCAGATATGATGGTATGTGATTAACAGTTCCAGGATCCTTACCCTCCTGTCTCATCTTGATGTTTTCAGTGGCTTTGAGTTTGTTACCTCCTTTGTACCACTGGAACTCCACGTCATCATGTGAGACTTCACAAGTAAATGAAGCGCTCTCCTTCTCCATCACCTCCACATCCACCAGCTTCTTCACAATCTTGATATCTCTGGCTACAGCAAAAATATCAAGAAGAAGATTAGTATTAGTATGGACTAATAAGCAGATTTGTTTGATCTGCGATGAATTATTCACCATGAACGGTGAGCTTGGCAGACGTGTTGTCATCAGTGGTGCGACAGATGTACGTGCCTCCATCTTCAGGCGTGCATTTCTGAATGACCAAAGTGCATTTTCGGCCCAGGAAATGAAGGCCAAGATTCTTTCCTGGCTTCAGCTCAGCACCATCCTGTGGATTTATTGCATTTTTTTAATGTAACATTTGTACTACAGGCATTGATTCAAACAGTGACTTCAATTCAATTCAAAAAGACTATATTAATCCCAGAGGGAAAATAGAGTTGTTGTTACCTTAAACCACTTCACTTCTGCATTGTTTCTTGACACTTCACATTCAAAAGTAGCCTTCTCCTTTTCAGAAACACTAATGTCCATTATGGGTTTGGAGATCATTGCAGGAGGTTCTGTCAAATAGAACAATTTAGTCAAAAAGTGATGACGAGTGGTCAGTCAAGAGAGCAGAACAAAGGAGAAGCATAATCTACCGGCTATAATCAGTTTGGCTGAAGTGTGGACTCCCTCTGCCTGGAAGGCAACGGTCCCAGCATCTTCCTTTTTGAGACTGGACAGCGTCAGCTTGTGCTTCTTTCCCTGAGCTGTGATGCGACAGTTTGCTCCTGACTTTAACTTGGCCCCATCTCTGGTCCATGAAGCTTCAACGTCCGCCTGACTGAGCTCCACCTCAAAGCTCACTGTCTCTGTTTCATGTGCTTTGGTTTCTGTCAAACCTTTAATTACCTGAATCTTTTTCACTAAAAGAGGAGGAAAATAAGAATCTGAGTTAAAATGCTGATTTGTAAATATTAAAATGAAACAAAAACAAATATATATATATATATATATATATAAATATAAATATATATATATATATATATATATATATATATATATATATAGGTAATTAGGCGTACTTTCTACACTGAGCTTGGCCTGGGTCTTGTCATCCAGAGTTTCACAAGAGTACAGGCCACGGTCTGCATAAGTGACTTTCTTGAAGACCAGAGACTGCTTCGCTCCATCCACCCGGATCTCTACGTTTACACCAGGCTGCAGCACAACACCGTTTTTCATCCACTTGACTTCATCTGAGACCTTACTCAGCTCCACTTCCAGTTTAGCCTCACTGTCCTCCTCAGCCGTCACATTTTCCAGCTTTTTCTTAAAAGTCACAGGTTCACCTAAAAGAAGCACACAGAAGGATAACGTTTTAGGAAGCTGCAGCCCTAATTCTCTTATGAAAACATTTTATCTTACGTTGAACTTGCAGGGTAGCTCTGCAACTTTTGCCTTCTGCATCGACACTTATTTCTCCTGCATCCTTCAGTGTGACAGAGGTCACGGTGAGCGAGTAACTCCCACCACCATGCTCAAGTTTATACTTGGGCCCAGCAGTGATGGGTATGCTGTTATGGAACCACTTCACACTGACGTCTGCTGGAGTGACAGAACACTTGAAAATGGCGTTTTTTCCCTCCGTTGCAGCTACATTGTTCAGTTTTGTAGTCAGTCGAACGAGTCTTGGTGCTGAAAGAAGCAAAATGGATATTAGAGGATTGTTTGCTATAATTAAAGTATTTTACATCACTCGATTACCTTTAGAGGTTACTTTAGCAGATGTCTTGTCATTTTTGCAAACACAGCTGTATTCTCCCTCATCTTCCTTCGTCACACCCATGACAGTAAGAACCCGCTTTGGACCGTCAGTTTTCACACAGTGCCTGCTTCCGGGTTTAATCTCACGGCCATCGTGGTGCCAAACAACATCCCCCGAGGTCTGATTTAGTTCGCAAGCCAGGCTAAGTGTGCCTCCTAACTCCACTGAGGCAGGTTTCAAAGGAAGAACAAACTTCAAAGCTGAATCTGGAATCAAAGATGTGGAAATCTAAATGATCATGAGAGGATGTTTTCTTTTTACTGACAAGTCTGTGTTTTTACCTTTAACTCGAACTTTAAACTCCACATTGTCATCGGGAGTTTGACAGGAGTATGTTCCATTGTCTTTGGTCTCTGCAGATTTCACAATCAACGTACGAGTAGAGCCTTCTCGTTTCATCTCACACTTACTGCTCTCCTTCAGCTCCATGCCGTCTCTAAACCACTTAACACTACCGCTCTCAGAGGTCAGCTCAGTGGTTAGAACAATGTTTTCACGTGCTTCAACAACAATTGTGTCCCTGGCAGACTCCTTGAACTTGACGGCGGCATCTACAAAAACAAACTTTTATGAGATGGTGCAGAAAGTCTAACGATAGGACAGTTTATTTAAAATATGTTGTTACCTGTCAGCTGTAGCTTGAACTGCAGCTTCTCACTTCCAGCTTCACAAGTGTATTCCCCAGCATCCTTCTTCTCCACTCTCTCTACCACCAGCTCTCGAGTCTTACCCCTTGATTCTGCATGGACGGCCTTGCTGGAAGTCAGAAGTTTTCCATCCTTGTACCACTTCACGTCTGTTTTGGAATCTGAAACATCACAACTCAGAGTGGCTTTCTGAGAGAGGGAAGCTTTCACTTCCTTTTGGACTGATTCCTTGTTGGTGAAGCCAACAGGAGGTTCTGGAAAGCAGATTAAAAAAGTGATATAAGTGTTCCAGTTAGCCAAAAGAAAAAGCAGCCTCTTCTCTTTCCTACCTGCCACTTGTATCTTAAAAGCCAGCTTCTCAGAGCCAGCCTCACAGACGTAATCTCCAGCATCTTTTTTCTCCACACTGTCAATCAACAGCTGGCGGCTCTTGCCCTTTGACTCTGCATGTATCGTCTTGCTGGATGTCAGCAGCTTGCCATCCTTGTACCATTTCACCTCTGTCTTTGCATCAGCAACCTCACAGCTCAGCGAGGCCTTCTGGGACAGGGCGGCTTTTATCTCCTTTTGGACAGAGTCCTTGTTGAAGAAAACAGACTTGAGTTGGATTTCTGCAGAAGAAATAAAACAAAAATGCTTATATACTTTTGCAAAATGGTGAAAACAAAATTCATTCATTTTTTTCAACACATTTGCAGTTTTTACTGGTAAATACAATGCCTTGTGAATAAAATGCCTCGTCTCTGTGGGGAAAATGCTCTGATGCTCCTGTTTCAGGAACTAGAAATGAGCCTTATTTCCTGATGTTTGGACATCTTGCCTCTGTAGCATTATGAATGTCCCGTTTTTGACCTAAAAGTCATGATCTGCTGCGTCTGCATGGGCACACCTCCGATTGGCTAATAGCACTGCAACTCTACCACTGACTGTTTGCTCGTTAAAGGTTTGTCTCCACAAATAACACAAGCCTGAAGGAGTTCTGCCATGTTGTGGAGTTGCTAATGCTAACAGTTAGCTTCTACTAGTAGAGACATGCTCTGGCATCTCCTGAAAACTAAATCAACAACAGTCTTCACTATTGTGAACCAAACTGGGTGAGTCCATGAATGCAAATTTTAAACTGTGATGTGCATTTCTTAGGCTTTTCTAATTCGATCATTTCTCTGTCTATTTATTTTTTATCAGCGGCTAATGCAGGAAATAGGGGAAGAAGACTATTTTTACATTTACTCTGCACATTTACACAGAGTGACTGACCAAATTTTAGAAATAAAAAGTAAAAAAAAAGGTTTTCTCATTAAACTTGATCTTTAAATTAACATGTACAGGTTAGAGGTGGTGTATGTTAATTTTGAGATGTTTTTTATTGTTGTTTATGTTGATTGCGACTATCCCACTGTAACTTGCAACTGTAACTTGTGTTCGACAGTTCTAAACAGATTTTTGAAGGTAGAAACATTTACTTCGGTCTAAACAGATTGTTTTAGTAGGTCGATAACATAAGTACCAAGTTTCATGCAAACTGTTTGATTTGCTATGTTTTGATCCTTAACAGAACTACCACTGACTTAGAATGTGTGCACATATTATTTTTTTAACAAACTGCATCCTCCTCACCTTCAACATGTATCTTAAAGGTCAGCTTCTCAGATCCAGCCTCACAGACATAATCCCCGGCATCTTTCTTTTCCACGCTGTCAATCACCAGCTGGCGAGTCTTGGCTTTTGACTCAGTGTGGATTGTCTTGCTGGGCGTCAGCAGCTTGCCATCTTTGAACCACTTCACCTCTGTCTTAGCATCAGCCACCTCACAGCTCAGAGTGGCTTTCTGGGACAGGATGGCCTTTACCTCCTTTTGGACAGTCTCTTTGTTGAAAAAAGCAGACTGGCCTTGTGCATCTGTGGAGACCATCAATAGTTGTTTTGCCATCATCTCTAACAGTATTCAATGTAATATTTAAAAGTAAAACCAGACGTTGATCCTACCTGTCACCTGAAGTTTGAAGACCAGCTTTTCAGTCCCAGCCTCACATGTGTATTCTCCAGCATCCTTCATGTCCAGATTTTCAATCACCAGCAGGCGACTTTTGCCCTTGGACTCTGTACGCACGGTCTTACTGGAAAGGAGGAGCTTGCCGTCTTTGCACCATTTCACTTCTGTTTTGGAATCAAAAACCTCACAGCTAAGAGTGGCCTTCTGGGACACGTTGGCTTTCACCTCCTTCTGGACTGATTCCTTATTAAAGATGGCTGACTGGGCCTCTAATGGAGGAATCAGGACAAAGAAAAGATCAGAAACTTCTCTTTAAAAGTTAACAAATATGTACATAACATCATTACCTTCCACATGAACCTTGAAGGTCAGCTTCTCAGATCCAGCTTCACAGACGTACTCTCCAGCATCTTTCCTCTCAACGCTGTCAATCACCAACTGGCGGGTTCTGGCTTTTGATTCGGCGTGGATCATCTTGCTGGAGGTCAGGATTTTCCCCCCTTTGTACCATTTTACCTCCGTTTTGGTTTCAGCTACTTCACAGCTCAAGATGGCCTTCTGGGACAGAACGGCTTTCACCTCCTCCTGAACTTTTTCCTTATTGGAGAAAGCTGACTGAGCCTCTGAAAGTACAGCCAATAACAAATATGTGGTTATTCTGAACACTGACTAAAACACCAAGGACAAACAAAGATATTCTAAAAGTATAAAAAAATATATATATTCTATATTCTATTTCATAGAATTCATTTTTGTTTTTACAGTTCATGGAACGTGGTTATAAATGTCTAAACATTGTCAAATGTTAGAAGATCAAATTTCAGACTTTCCGTTGATTACATATGGTGTCCCCCAGGGTTCAGTGTTGGGTCCTAAGCTTTTTAATTTGTATTTTAATGCCATTTGTGATGTCTCTACAACATTACAGTTCATATTGTTTACTTATGATACAAATATATTTTGTTCTGGGAATGATTTAAATGTTATTATGGGAAATATGGGTTGTGAGATGTCTAAACTTAAGTGTTTCAATGGCAACAAGTTACTTATAAATTGGAATAAAACAAACTTTATGATTTTTGGCAACAGAAAGACAGATGATTCAATTACAGTGTCCATAGATGGCATTTTAGTTGAAAGAGTGAAAGAAGTAAGATTTTTAGGGGTTGTTTTGGATCCTAAACTTAATTGGAAATATTACATAACATATATAAAACAAAAACTTTGTAAAAGTATTGGACTTTTAAATAAGTTAAAAAGTGTTCTAGAAACATCAACACTTCATATATTATATTACTCACTTATTGTTCCGTATTTGATTTGTTGCATAGAGGGGTGGGGCAATACGTATGAAACAAATACTAATCCTTTGTTTTTAGTACAGAAGAAAGCTATGAGAATTACATATAAAGTAGATGCTACAGAACAAACTAATAGATTGTTCAATCAAAAACTATGAAACTCAGAGATTTGGTTAATTTAAAAACTTTATTAATTATGTTCAAGGCAAAAAAGATATTACTACCAATGAAATAACAGAAGTTTTTTTGTTTTGATCTCAAGTGATGAAAAAATTAGAAAGAAGTCTGAGTTTAAAAGACTATTTGCATGAACAACATTAAAGCAAATGTGTATTATGGAGTATGTAATAAAATTATGAAATAACTTGGATGGTGACCTGAAAAAAATGTTCCACCACTGATCAATTTAAGAAAATTTATGAGGAGAAAAGTTTAAAATCCTCTGATTTAATAAGTTACTGATGGTATATATTATGATTTCATTGTAATATTTAGTTTGCAAAGGAAAAAAAAATTATGTTTGATGGTGTTTAAGACCATATTGTAAATTTTGTTGTATTTAGTAGAAGGGGTAGGTCATGTAAGATGTTTCTTCTTCCTCCCCCTTTTTCACTTGGAAGTGTGTGTTGATGGTTGTGTTGAGAGTTAAAGATGAATGAAGTTGCCAAGTGGAAATAAATAAACTGTGAAAATATAATGCTCTCCAAACCTCCTATTGCAAATATATATATATATTTTTTCTAAATCTAGCAGTCCTACCTGACACAAACATCTTGAAAAGTAGTTTATCCCCTCCGGCCTCACAGGTGTACTCTCCAGCATCCTTCCTCTCCACCTTTTCAATCACCAGCTGACGGTGTGTGCCCTTTGCCTCCGAGTATATCTTCTGGCTAGCTTCCAACAACTTGCCATCTTTGTACCATTTCACCTCGGTTTTACTATCAGACACGTCACAGCTAAGCGTTGCTCTCTGGGTGAGAATGGCTCTGACTTCCTTCTGAACGGACTCCTTGTTGGAGAACGCAGCTACTGCCTGGGCGTCTAAGAGTAAGTAAAATTTGGACAAAGTTTTATTTTTGACAACTGTAACATGTATGCAACAGGAATTAGCTTTCTTACCTTTTATCTTGACATGGAATGTGACTTTATCGGCTTCTGTCTCACATGAATAATATCCTTCATCAACTTTTTTGGCGCTCTTAACGATGAGCTTCCTTTGAGTCCCTTTAGAGATGATGGTGGTTCTTTGGTCCTCACTAATCTCTACTTTGTCCTTTTTCCACACAACGACAGCACTTGTTACCGACACCTCACAGCTAAGCTCAAGATCTCCTTTAAGGGTTGATGATAATCCCATGGGCCCTCTGGCTTTATTTAAAAATTTGGCTGGTTCATCTAAAAAAAAAGAAAAAAAAGAAACAAGAATTTCAATTCCTGTGGATGGTTAGAGCTTGTTTGTATAGGTGACATTTTCATGGGAAATACCTTTGAGAGCAAGTTGAAAGGACATCTTGTCATTAGCTAAAACACACTGATAAAGTCCCACATCTTCCTCCGTAACATTGTGCACCATAAGCATCCTCTTACGATCATTTGTCACATATTCGTATTTCTTGCCCATTTTTACCTCCTTCTCATTTTTCATCCAGGTCACCTGGTGGGGTGCAGAGCAGTTCACCAAAATTAAAGTGATAAAATGTTACAACATTTCTAAAGTTTCCCAGATTAAAATCAATGTTTCCTACAATTTTTTATATTTTATGACAGTCATAACAAATAAAAAAGTTTGTCCAACATAAATCAGTAATCACCTTTATAAAAATATAGCAAATTATTGTTAAAGCCACAAAAAAGTCATCAACAATAAGAAAAATGATTGGTCTTTTGTGGGGAATGAATTGTTAATATTTTGGCACATTACTCAAAGGTTAAAATATATGATGTAATGAGTAAAAATATGTATCTATTAGTCATTTTAGGACAACTGCCAGCACACCAGTCAGATAGAGCTATTTTCATTTATTACTTATATATATATATGGGAGTCTAATGGAGCCAGAGATGTTCCAGAATCACCTTTGTGATTCTCAGCGCTGCGTTTTAAGGAACTTTATTATTAGTTTCACATCTGACAGCCAAAAAAAGGAAAATAATGTTTAAAATAAATATGTTAATGCCACAAACCTGAGCATCATAATCCGACACCTCAGCAACTAGCTGAGCACTGTCTTGAGCGCTGCAAGTGACAACATCTGGATGATCTGATTTGTTGAAGAACCTAACAGAAGGGGCTGAAAAAAAGACAGTTTTATGTTCAGATCAGTTGGGCAAAAAAAAAAAAATACTGTTTTCACATAAATATTAAACATATTAACACATACCCTCCACAGATAGGATGCAACTGCTCTGTGAACCTCCACCCACAAATTTGATTTCGGCTCCATTCATTTCCATGGTCACAACGCGGATGAGCAGAGTGTGTACGTTCTTTGTTCTGGTGATGAGGTAATCAGCTCCACTGCGCAGGAGGCGCCCGTTTAGAGACCAGAAACCAGAGCAAACAGCAGACAACTCCACAGAGATGGAGAACTCCTCATCGGATACTGCAGTGCTCTTCACCAGACCTTTTTTTATTTCTGCAGTGGGTTCTGACGTACAAACAAAGAAAGAAACAAAGCTCTTAAAAAAAGAAAATAAAGGCAACAAAAGGTGTCAGGACTAAATAAATATTGCTCGACTGTACCAAGATAGAAGCTTCCAGGAACCTCTAGATAGGGACTCTGACCAAAGTCATTTGTGGCAGAGATACGGAACTGGTAGCTAGCTTCCTCTGCAAAGTTACAGATGGTGACTTCTGTTGAAACAAGCGTTTCTCCAGCGTTGCACCTCTGCCATGTAGAAGCACCGACCTTCCTTCTCTCCACAATGTACGCTTTGATGGGTACTGGACGATCACTGTCAGGAGGAGACCACTGAATTTTGATGGACGAGTCCGTCTTGTTCTGCACCACAGCGTTGACTGGGGGGTCAGGGGGGTGCTTCCGTGCAGCTGGAGAGAGCAGAGCAAAATGATCAGGTGAAAGTTTAGATCATGACAAAAATGTTTTTGGCTCACCAGTGACAGTGAATCGTGTGGAAGTCTTGCAGTCTCCAGCCACGAAGGCCACTTCTCCTGAATCGTCTGCGTGGCAGTCTTTGATTGTGAGTGTGTACTGTCGAAGCAGACAGGCAACAGATATACGAGAATCTGCCTTCAGTTTCTCGCCGTTGCGAGTCCAGAAGGCGTTAGGACAAGGATGCTCCAGCTCAACACAGAAGATGACAGTGTCACTGACAGGTACTACTGTCCTCCGAGGAAGCTTCTTGGTGATATTACCTGGAAAATGAGATCAAATTAACTTTATATAGTAATATTCTGTAGCAAACCAAATTGAATTTCCCACTTAGTAAACCAGAAACTTCAGCACAATCTATGTAACTCAATGGGAAATACTTTACTAAAACTGCCAAGTAGAAGTTGAATACCAAGGACTGTGAGCTCAGCCACAGTGCGGCTTCCCTCTTTCATCTCGCAGATATAAACACCATCATCATTAGTGGTGACGTTGTGTATGGTGAGACTCCGCAGTGTGCCTTCTTCTTCCATGCGATATTTGCTATTTTGCTCCAGTTGCGTTTCCTCCATGAACCAGTTGGCCTGCGTGGCGGTGTACGGCACCTCACACATGAGTTTGGCTGAAGACTTCTCTTGGACCTCCACATCCTGGAGCTTCCTCCTGAAAGGCACCTTGGGCTCTGACACAGAAAAGCATTGGTTTAACCTTCAGATTTAATATTATTATGAATTGTTTTACATGTGTTAGCCCATTAGCTGAACACTCCAGCACGTGCATGAATAGTTTTAGTTTAGTTGTCAAATGTTTGCATATTTTTAAAACGAAGGTTCAGTTCTTGTTTAGAAACTGTAAAAAAAAGTTACCAAACAGAATCATGCAATGAGTACAACTTGTACAAAATTTACCCAAAATCTACATTTTGTGTTTTTTGTTACATGTATTTATTATAACAAAGGTTTTTCATGATGAAAATACGTTAATCAAAGGTTTTGGTGTACATATAACAGGTTTCTACTATTTGTCAGCCATTTGCGCTTCAGGTAACATTCTCACATTTTAACGATAAAGATGCTCACATTCTCACTGCTGAGAATTTTATCTGAACTTTTTTTTCATACCAATGGCATTTTCTGCTGGAAAACATTGTTTTTCTGATTTTTGTTTTTAGATTGTGGAAAAGAAAATGGAGAGGAGTGTGAAGTAGTCAGCAATAAGTATGGTGTAGGTATTGTTGTTTGCTTTAAGCAAGAAGTACAAGATTCCTACTGTGATGTCAAAGCATCATATTCTATTTCTGCAAAATGAGTGTTCAAGTGGAAACCTATTGAATTCAGTGCAGTTTATTCATAAAGCACCAAATCACGACAAGTCATCAAGGCAGATCACAAAGTAAACATTCCAATACAGTTCAATTCATTAAGCCAATCAGTAAAAAGTTTCATAAATAAGGAACCCAAGAAACTTAAGTAAAGAAAAATGCATAAAGCTGCACAAAATTTGATGTATTTTATGTCTACTAAAACCCCTTATTTCCACTGCACGTGAAAGCATCACTAAACGGCCGTGAAACTTACTAACCGCCATTTTGGTGGATGAGTTCCTTTCCACCAGCAGCAAAGTGTAACATTTTGGATGCACCCCAGAAGCGAAGGGCACGCTACCATTGCATTTCAGGTCTAGTTTTTACGTGATACGCTTCGAAAACACGTCAAACTCAACAGTTTAGATCGTGCCAGACAGGAAGTCAAACACAAAAGCAGTGTTAAACATCTGGAAACTTTCAAAATAAAAGTCACATGCTGGTAAACATATGTAATTTCCTGTTAAAATCCCCACAGCCAATGTGAACAGAGCAGAAAAGAAACCACGGCCCGTTTTGATACATGCAGCCATCTTTTGCTTTTCTCAGTATTGTGTGTGCACTTCTGAAAACATTTGTGACATCACAGGATCAGCTGTGTGGAACGCTTTTGCTCCTCATGTTAGAATTGCTCCTGGTGGGGAATGAGCTTGAGCGTAAAAAGCCACTATTACGTTATGCAACCACTTTCACGGCCGGTGGAAAGAAGGGATTAGGTTCACACAGTGTGGCACCATGCTTTTGACTGGAAGCAATTCAGAAACAAATCCCGCAGATTTGGGTGCGTGCTTTTCCTTCAGAACATCCCATATAACACAGAGATAACAAATCAAGATCCTGGAGGTTTTCTATCTAGAATGTTTTAGTTGTTTCCCTGCTCCAACGCACCTGATTCAATGGCTTAATCACCTGTTCAGCAACACATGTAGCTCTGCAGATTCCTTATAATCATCTCTTGAGGATCAGGTGTGTTGGAGCAGAGAAAAAACTGAAACATGCTGGGTAGTGGACCTCCAGGACAAGGATTGGATATCCAATGAAAAACAATGGCTACAGTTCCATGGCATCCATGCAAGTGTTCATTAATGGTTATGGTAAATGGTGAATGGCCTGTATTTGATATAGCACCCTCTAGAGTCATGGAACCCCTCAAGGCGCTTTACAACACAATCAGTCATTCACCCATTCACACACACATTCACACACTGGTGGGGATGAGCTACAATGTAGCCACAGCTGCCCTGGGGCGCACTGACAGAGGCGAGGCTGCCGAGCACTGGCGCCACCGGTCCCTCCGACCACCACCAGCAGGCAACGTGGGTTAAGTGTCTTGCCCAAGGACACAACGACAGCGACAGACTGAGTGGGGCTCAAACCTGCAACCTTCCGATTACGGGGCGAGCACTTAACTCCTGTGCCACCGTCGCCTCACACAATGCATTCACAAAAATAAAAAATATACTCAGTCTTCCTTCTTTACAGGTTCCAAATGAAAGTGTCATTCTTTTTCAACTGATTAGTTGAACAGTTTGGATTTAATGTGTTTAGGGACCACAGGTTAGAGCACCCAGTAAGAAGGTAAAACCTTCTTCAAAATGTTTTTATAGTAGGCACTGTGAACAAACTTAGCATTAGCCATGATATTATTAATCATTTTTGTCAACAAACTTGAAATGTCATCATTTTTGTCCACATTAAACAAGTAAAAAGAAACTAAAACAACTAAACAAGCAACAAACATCAAGTTTCACCAGCAAATTTCATGCCCCAACTTCACTCCTCCTTGGACTGAAAGGAAGTAATAACCAACATGAATAAGTTGCTAAACTGTTTTAACGTGTGGGCCAGTTTCTTCACATGGGAAGTCATATTAGCAGTGTGGAAAGTGTTCCAACAAGAGAGTGTCCATCTTAGCAACTTGGAAACTAATCATCACAACCAAGAATAGATGCAACATAATCCCTCTCAAGATTCAAATGAGACTTAAACATGGTGATTACAGTTACACTTTGCTGTAGCTGGTAAGTGTTAGCATACCATATGTTTGATCAACATTTCTGCACAGGATAATGACCAAGGAGGAAACTCTGCCTGCTAACAGTGAAGCCAACATGGAAATGACAAAATCTGCAGTTCCCCTCTCAACCACTAGGGCTTGGTTCCAAAAAAGGAATAATTCTTATTGACTGCCATGTTAAAAATGCCAACTTCACAACATAAATTAAACTTTTTATAGCCTGATACAATCCTTTTGATTGACAAGTAGAAGATCAGCCATCAACGCTAGCAGCTTGCCCCCCTGCTTGCTCCAGGGAAGGCTTCGGCCTCTACCTCATGTTGAATGTGTTACAACCTAGTAAAAGAAGGGTTGCAGTAACTCAACTGCAGTTCTCTGGCTAAAAACACCCACCAACCTCCACTGGCTTTGGTTAGCTCTGTTAGCTTGTAGCTACATTGGCTCAGAGTTTGATGGGTGTCGGTCAAGACGCAGATGGAACTCTGGACGATGGTAAATTGTCTCTGGTTGAAACCTTGGTAAGGGAGGGGTATATCGTGTCTGAAAAATCTTCCCTCAGAAGGACACATTCTCTGTGAAGCATAGGCATGTTCTCACTTGACTGTGTTCCTCAACTCATATTGCATTAAGGAATTAAAATCATTTTGATTGCATTTGGGACTGTTTTCTTGTTGTTTTAATACATCTCTGAACAAAAATTCCACAATAATTCCATGTTAACTGGAGCTTGTGGGGTCACTCGATGACCATGACATCATTGCAAATACCCCTAAGAGGACCAAATGTTTACCGATTTGCAGTTTGAACGATCTTTAGAATGTACCTAAATATTTCAGCACTGAAGCATTGTAAGTGATAAAACTATAAATTAAAATGTTCCAATAAAAACAAGAGTATAGTTCATAAATGTGTGGCTTTGGGACTGAAAATAAAAGGATTAGGAGTAATGACCTGCATTTGATATAGGGCCTTCTAGAGTCTTGAAACCCCCCAAGGCACTTTACAACACAATCAGTCATTCACCCATTCACACACACATTCACACGCTGGTGGGGATGAGCTAGGATGTAGCTACAGCTGCCCTGGGGCACACTGACAGAGGCGAGGCTTCCAAGCACTGGCGCCACCGGTCCCTCCGACCACCACCAGCAGGCAAGGGGGGTAAGGTGTCTTGCCCAAGGACACAATGACTGTGACAAACTAAGCGGGGTTCAAACCTGCAACCATCCGATTATGGGGCAAACACTTTACTCCTGTTCTACTATCACCTCTAGGGGTAAGGATTATATAGGGTTAGGGTCAGGGTTGCAGAATGTGCAAATAAAATTTGTCTTCATACATCCATCCATCCATTTGCTGAACCCGCTTGTCCACGTAGGGTCGCGGGGGGGCTGGTGCCTATCTCCAGCAGTCAATGGGCAATCAGGCAGGGTACACCCTGCACAGAGAGCCAGTCCATCGCAGGGCAACACAGAGACACACAGGACAAACAATCATCCACACACACACGCACACCTAAGGACAATTTAGACAGACCAATTAACCTAACAGTCATGTTTTTGGACTGTGGGAGGAAGCCGGAGAGAACCCACACATGCACAGGGAGAACATGCAAACTCCATGCAGAAAGATCCCAGGCCGGGAAGCGAACCCGGGACCTTCTTGCTGCAAGGCAACAGCTCTAACCACTGCGCCATTGCGCAGCCTTTGTCTTCATACATTCAGTTTCAAATTATGCCCTCATAATTTGAGTAAACTAGAAGCTTACCTTTGACTGTAACCAGCACAGCGCTGTAGGTCTGCCCAGCCATATTGGTTGCATTACAAGTGTAAAAGCCATTATCACTCTGCTTGCAATACAGGATCTTGAGGATGAAATTTTCAGCTTGGTCTTCATAAATGACATGCCTGCGGCCCTCGCCGATGTTTGATCCGTCCTTCCTCCAGATAATATGTGGTTTTGGATGACCTGTCACAAAGCAACTGAGTTTGGCGTGTTTGCCCTCGGTCACTGTGCAGGTACGGGTAAAAACACCTTTGGGAAGATTAACCAGTGCAGATGCCCTCAGCTCATGTTCCAGACTCAGTGCATTGCTCTTGTTGGCTGTGGAGAAGGAACTGCTTTCCTCAGTGCGATAGATGGAAATATCCTTCTTCATTTCCTCTTTGCGTTTTTGCATGTGAGAAAGGAGGGAGGTGCTCTTGTCTGCAGCCATGTTGCGAGCATCCTGAGCATCTACAACCAGAGCCGCTGCAGTATGGGAACGGCCTACGGAGTTCTGGGCCCTGCAGGTGTAGGTGCCGCTGTCCAGGTTGCGAACACTTTGGACCTTTAAGGTGCTGCTGTCATGGTCAGAAACGATCTTGATACGGTTTGTCTCCCCCAGGTAGCGCCCATCCTTCTCCCACTCAAAGCTGGCTCCAGGGTGAGCTGCAACTTGGCAGTGGAAAACAACATCACCACCCAAACCTACACGTGTAGAAGTAGGTTTCACCATGAAAACAGGGGCTCTCAGACATAACTCTGCTGGCAGGGCCACTTTTAGGGTCACGGCTGCGTACGCTTCCCCCACGTTGTTTTTGGCTCGACACATGTACTGTCCGCTGTCCTCCAACGTTAAGTCGTAGATGGTCAGGCGGTACACATCCCCATCCTCCACAGTTTTGAAGCGGCCTCCAGATTTCAGCTTGAGTTTATCTTTTTCCCAGGTAATCATTGGGATGGGGTTCCCTACAACAGTGCAGCTGAGATTGGCATCCTTCCCTACTGACACTGAAAATGCTTTGGGGCGGGTGAGGAACCTGGGAGCTCCTCCAAACAGGTTCTGATCCATGTTTTGCCCCTGCGATGAAAAAAAAGAGCAAAGTTATGTTAGAAAGGGACCTTGGAGGAAGTTATAACGGTGACAGGAAGAAAAGTTTCACGTTTAGACCTCAAAATCATCAAGTTAGCAGGAAGGTATGTTAGCCAATGTATTTGTGGGTTCGGACATGTACCACACGTCAGACCACAGGAACCCTCCAAATGAAAAGCAGATATAGAATATTTAATTATCAGTAAGTACAGAAAAACGTGAAAATGGTGACGTTTACATTGGGATTTCAGTATATTAAATTACAGGGTCCTGTTAATTAATTTAAATAAGAAAAAATGTTTAATTTGCTTTTTTCTTTGGGGAGAAAATCAAAGGGTTAACCTGGTAGAAGCGAAGACTTAAAACCACTTGAATGGTATTTTATAAAAACAAATATTGGAGGCCAAGGTTGTTGCATAAACAAACATGTCAATGTTTTCATGTGTTTTATCTGCTAAATATTTTAGACAGGTTTAGCATGTTTGTCTGCTTTCGATGTTTAGGTATTTAAAACTGCATAAAATATTCAGTCTTTTCCTCATGTTTGATTTATCTCTGCATGTTAAAATTATCCCTTCAATAAATCAAATGCAGTTAAATGTAATGTTTTACAGTGTGCCGTGTGTACTGTACTCTACAAATATGTCGTTCCATTCAAAAAGACATAAATCCAGATCTCAGTTTGGAATATTTATAGCCGTAAGTAAGATTGCTCTTCTACCACTGCTGATAGTCATCAGGTCAATTATAAAATCAGTGTGTTTATTAAGAGCATGAGTTAATAATGCAATAATAAACAAATTCCTCCACAAGGTCACATAAAGAATATGTTTGCCTTTGAAAGACTGACATTCACCAGCTTTGTCACCCCTGTTGCTCGCCCTCCCTGTCCCAAAAATAACCTCAGCTGTTAGAGCCCGTCTCTGTCCATTGCCATTTGTAGTCACAGATAAAGCTCCCTCTTCTGAAATGTACTTTACTTTCAACTCTATGTTCTGAAAACTTTAAATGTAGTATACTGGTGTTGTACTATTATTGTGTGTTTTGATAAAACCTAAAAAAAAGTTTGTATTTGCAACAACATGGCATAAACCTAGCAGTCAAATGTCACAAAGTACAGCAGTAATAACAATAAAAGTGTAATTCTACACATCTCCACATGTCCAGTTTTACAGTAAAGTTTTTTGTTCACCTTGAGTCTTCAGCCTCTCAGGTAAAATAGCCGACAAATCAATATATTTCCAGCTGATACACCAAAAAAATAAATAAAAGTCCACTTTATGCTCAAAAATTCATGAAGTGATAGTAAATCCAGAATGATGGAACTCCCCCGGTCTCCTCTGGTGGTGGGCGGTCGACAAGAGTTCTTTTTTCCTTTTCTTCTCTGGTGGTTTGCGATGCCAAACAGCTCTCATGCTGCTTTGGTGCAGCCTCCTTTTTCCAAAATAGACGCGTCAATAGCTGTGGAGACAGGAGCCTGTTGAACTCTCCGGGGAGAGCAGATAGGTCTCTGCCGCAGCACCACACAAGTCAACAAATCACACCTTCAGGGTTCAGCACCACCAAGATCTAACATGTTTTACATCTTTAGACTGGTGGAGTACAGCCTTATTAAATATTTGTCAATTATCAAATAAGAATTTCTAAACTTTTAACTCTCCAGGAGAAAACACACACACACACACACACACACACACACACACACACACACACACACACACACACACACACACACACACACACACACACACACACACACACACACACACACACACACACACACACACACACACACACACACACACACACACACACACACACACACACACACACACACACACACACACACACACACACACACACACACACACACACACACACACACACACACACACACACACACACACACAGCTGTTATGACAAAATTAAGCCTCTAAAACCAGCATGAAATAATATTCAGATTTTATTTAGTTGAGCTGTTTAAGTAGAATTATCAATAATAACACACAATGTGATTTTTCATATTTAGAATGTCCACCAGAGGGCAGAAAACATTTGACAGATTTGTCAGATATGAAATACTAATATGGATTTATTTGATTTTTAGTGTCCAACAAATGAGACTGAAGTATATAAATGTTTTCTACAGGTGTACCTGGACTAGAGGTCCTCCAAGGGTCCTATCTAGTTTTAGAGATTTCTCTAGGCTTAATTTAATCTGGGAGTTATTTGCAAGCTTCCATTGAGCTTAATGACCTGCTGAACATGGATTTCAATTATTTATAATTCTATGTCGATGATTTCAACCCACATTCTCACTCCCAGCGCGTCAAAAACAAAGTCAGCCACCCTCCGCCTCAGACCCCTGACACCAAAAGTGCCCTTTTTCGTCACTTAAAAGGGGTTTTTCCCTTTTCTGACTGCAGATCCCAATGCAGCGTAAAACTGACGCAATGGGATGTCCGCAGCCAGGGCACCAAACAAGCTCATTGTACCTCACCCTAACCTTATCCTCTTATTTAACCTTCCCCTCACCCCTATCCTAACCTATCTTATCTTGCTAGCGAACACGTTAGTGACGTGTCGATCGCTCTAAATGCCGGCTCTATGAAGTGAACGGCGGGAGCCGCCTCGTCATTGGTCGAGTTTGTGCCAACGTGAGAGGGAGGTTTCAACTACCACGGTGGACATTAAAAGTAGAGGGTATTTGTAACCTCCCCCTCGCCAGATGGTATGTTCTAACATTCCCCTTGGGCGGCAAATACGAAAATTCACAGTCAGAATGCAGGGGAAACAAACGCTTGATCACAGTGAGAGTAACGTTTTAGGTGGCAAGAGGGTGAAGGTTAGGATGAGGGTGAGGGGAAGGTTATAAATAGTAAAAAGTTAAGGTTCAGGTGCGGATATATGAGATGGTTCGGTGCCGCATCAGCGAACATCCCATCGCGTCAGTTTTACGCTGCATTGGAATCTGCAGTCAGAAAAGGGAAAATCCATTTTCACACATAAGTGACGAAAAAGGGCACGTTCTGCGTCAGGGGTCTGACGCGGAGGGTGGCTGACCAAGCGTTTGTTTTTGACCTGCTGGGAGTGACAATGTGTTGCTGAACCAGTGAACTCTAAGAAATGGTAAACGGCCTGTATTTATATAGCGCCTTCTCAGGGTTCTACAGACCCCCAAAGCGCATCACAACACACTCATTGACCATTTCACACGCTGAGAGGCAAGGCCTGCCGAACACTGGCACCACAAGTCCCTCCGACCACCACCAGCAGGCAAGGCGGGTTAAGTGTCTTGCCCAAGGACACAACAGCAGCAGCCTCTGGTCCGAGCTGGGATCGAACAGAAAGAAAACAAGGTCACATAAACCCAATGGAAATTTTCTCTCAAATAGATTTCATTTTAATCCAATCAATTTATTGTCAATTGCACAATGTCCACTGAAAATCCTACTTTGTCCCACAACCCTCCACCAAGATGCCATAAATGCCAGAGGAAACAAATGTGCAAATCACAATAAATTTTTTCCTCTCAGGCTTAAGTCTGTTTAAGTCTGTGTAGCACAAAAGGAACAACCCCAGCTGCAGAGGCACACTACAGGGTTACATGAATGTAATCATTTTACCTGTTCAACAGTCTGATGGCTGATTTTAGTCTGCTCTAATTCTCTTGTACCTCCATCCTGAGGGCAGAAGTGAGAACAGATCATGCTTTTTATTTTAATGAGTTTATTGTTTTTCTCAGTCATGCCTTTTTTTGTTTAAATACTTTGAGTTTAAATTCATTAATTTGTCATTATCACTATTAATCTGGAACTCTCTCCCCCTGAGCCTCAGATCGATGGACTCGGTGGTGTCCTTCATAAAAGCGGCTGAAAACTCACCTGTTCACACTGATTTTTGTGTGACCTTCAGTTGGTTCTTCTTCACTTCCTTCTCTTCATTCAGCTCTTTCTACCAATTTCTGCCTTACCTGGGATCCACTTTTTACCTTTTCTTATTCATTTTCTTTTTCCCTTTCTTCTTTATTTCCCTAAGACTTGATCAGCTTATCGCGCACCTGTCTCCACTCCATTCATTAGCCCAGCTGCTATCACTAACCACTACTTTGCATAACTAGCCTTTGGTTTTTACCAAACCGTTGCCAGATGGTTTACTTTTATTGTGGTTTTCTCATCTGTCAGGTTTTTGTTTTTGTTTTCAGTTAAGGTTTCTGTTTATTCTGCTACCTTTCTACAAACGTGATATTTTGCCCTATAGTTTCACATTAGAAGGTTAAATGTGAATCTAATTTACACCTTGAGCGTCGTGACAGTCTCGCATCTGAAATGCTGTGATGAAATTACAGCGTTGTCAGGGTTTTAAATCTAAATCCCTGCTCTTTGCATTTTAATCCAGGCTTATTGTGACACATAAACCCATTTTATAAGTGCTTATGAGACCCGTTCTGTTCATCAGTCTGTGGATAAACAAGCTTTCTAGTTGCTCTAACTTTCATTTTCACATCCAGTCTATTCGTTTTACCTTCCCTTCTGAGTTCAACTGCCTTTTCAAGCATTTTAATAAGCGGTTATATAAACTTATATAATGAAAGACGAGCTGTGTCATCCTGATTGTTCTACAACCACCGCTGTGACAGCTGCACTCAGCATGTCAAACCCATAATTAAATTATGACTTCATGCTGAGCAAAGTCCTAAAATCCAGGGTTACTATAAAAGTGGAAACACTTCATAAAACATAACAGCTGACCTAACGTTGTAGAATATTAATCCCTACTCTGCCTCCCTGGTTAAGATTAATGGATCTTTATTAGATTCCCCCTGCTCTTCACCATCTATATTAATGTGACCTACCAAAAGTCTGCTCTGGAGCTGGTTTCCAGAGGTGTGCAGATGATGACATTATGCACGTGAGTGGCAGAAACAATGAAACCATGACCTGATCCCAATACTCGCACTTCCACCCTTGCGCCCTTTAATTGCGCGATCCCGACCAGAGGTGCGAGTGCTTAGGGTGTCTGAATTCTCAAATGCGCAAGTTGATCACGCCCCTTTTGCACTTCACTCAAGTTCGCAGCGATGCGGACTTTGGTGAAGGGTATTACCCACAATCCATTGCTGCAGGAGAAAAGGCTCAAATACAAAATATGTATTTTTATTGAAAGTTGTTAATTTTAGGACGATTAGTTGATGCTCTGAAACTTTTAGACAAAGCAGCAATGAATGTAATTTTCTTTTCAAATAATTGTTTGGTTGTTTGTTAGTAAAGGTTTTTTTAAAAGTATCACAGACCAGAATCCAGGCATGTGTTGCGGTTGATGACGCAATGCTCCCTGTCTCAATTGGGCAATTATTTGCACACGTGTGTACTACGCACTCTAAGCCTTACAGCGCACTTTCTCCATGTGCACTTTGCTGAAGACCGCAGGGCGCAGTGCGAGTATTGAGATCGGGCCCATGACTGCACAGCTGCACCACTTAGATGCAGTGTCATCATATTAAAACTCACAATTTATTCTAAATGTCAGTAAATGGGTGCCCAACTTTTTTTGCTTCACAATCACTTTCTATGAGAGAACTGCATCTGAAACTTCATGGTCAAGCCATAATTCAAGCTGAAGAAATGAAATACTTTGTTCTGATTCTTGACTCCACTTATCATTTGATAGTCACATAATAAAATCCACAAGATCAGCTAAACTAAATATGTATAACTTCAGAGTAATGAGGCACTGTTTATGGGCAGTTTTGGCTTGCTTTTGGCACTCCCATTAGAAGCTAAAGCAAAACGTATCTCCTCGCTGTGCGTTCGTCTTTTTAACACCTTAGGCTTAGTCCACACGTAGCCGGTTTTTTTTTTAAAACGAATATCCGCCCCTCCAAAAACTTGCATCCACACCACCTCATTCTAAAAAAAAAAAAACTCTGTCCACACGTACCCGGATTAGTTAAGGACATGCCAGACCTGTAGGCAGCAGTACTTCCCCCGTTCTTAACCTCGTCCTTCGTCTGTGGTCTTCCGCAAGGAGCAGTAATTCCGCTTGCAAAAACAAACAAGCAAAGCGCTTTGACAATTGATAAAGCGAGCGCAGCTCTGAGGGCTTCCATGCTGTCGGCTAGTGTAAACACAGGTCGCACACGTGATGTCAGCATTTTTTTGTCGCGGAAAGTGACGTTGCGGACCTTAAAACTCCAGTTTTGTCTGTCCACACGCAGACACCCAAAACGGAGAAAACGCAGATCTTCACTTTGGCCGGAGTTTTTAAAATGATCAGTTTTCGTGTGAAAAAAACTCAGTTTTCGTGTGGATGACAGGCCAAAACGTAGAAAAATATCTGTTTTGGCAGATCCCTGGCTATGTGTGGACAGGGCCTTCATCTAGCAGCTGAAATGTCTCCCCAACCTTTGTTAGCATCTACAGGAGTGACTCATCGTTCCTGTTCGTGATCTAAAACATGCAGGAGACGTGCTTGAAGCAGACTGTAGCGCCAGATACATTCAACAGACCGGACAGACACTCTGAAGTTGAAAGTGTATGTATTATGGCCACAGAGGGCGGTAGGGGCTGATGAATGGCTGAAGTGTTTACTCCTCCTCAGAAGAAATGTGGAATGCTGCTGTCGCCATGGCAACTCTGTCTCCCTATCCCAGTCTGGGCAGGACTGAGACCGGTGAAGGTTGTGGAACCGTTTCCAGGAGTCACTGTGCTTTCTAACCCAATTTCCTCCCTCCCCTGCCCAAAAGGAGGTGATGAGCGCTGCTCATTGCGACTGCATGCACTGATGCGAGGAGAGTTCCCAACCCTACCTCCCCACCTAGTGGACACTTATGTTGTGTGATGTCTGAAGTCTGTTGCATTTCTGTCTGAGGTGCTTTTTGCACAGCAAAGCTGCCCTCACTGTGGAGGGTAACTGAAGTGCCTTTTTTTTCCTCCACCTGACCCAATCCTTATATAAACCCTCTGATTACTATTAAGGTAGCGCAACTCGGGTTGCGAATGACCACAGTCACCAATTCTTGTCATGTGTCTATGTCTATGTATGTATGTCTGATCTCAAAATTGTGATTAATAAAGTATATTTGAATTGAATTTTAGCACATACTAGCTCAAGAAAATGGTTTAAAAATATGAAAAAGTTGCATAGTATCCCTTTAATGATGCAAATGTGTTTATTTTATAAATCGTCTCTTTTAGAAAACTCATCTAGGAACAGCCTAGACTATAAATGGCTATAAATGTTAGTGTGTCACAGGTTAATTGTACAATCTAATAAATACAAAACAATGTAGAAAAAGTTTAAATGGAGATTTTTTTATGGGGGGATTTATAAGAAACACACAGCTAGTTTGATTTTCTACCTTTAGTTCCCAGTCTTTGCCCGCAGTGGTCTCCCAGTGGGCTTTCCCCCAGATCTGATGAGTGACAGCAGCAGGTTGCCTGGACCCTGATTTAAACCCCTGGAAACTCTAGCAGACGGTGTTGTCTCTGCTTCCTCCTGTGCTGGCTACTGTGTTTGGTTTCCATCTCCCTGAAAGTTCCCTGAGAAAAAGTTATTGCAACAATCTGTTCACACCTCTGCCTGAGTGACAATCATAAGAACTCTGCAGGAGAAAATGCTTTGTGAAAAACGTTCTATATTTTTTGCACGATGACACAATTTTCAACATGTGTGTGACGCAAACTACGTGGTGTGAACAGGAGCTCTTTCCACCTGACCCCTGATATTTTACGGGTATGGTCAGGGTTATATCGGTGCAAACACAAGAGTGTTTAGAGGCCTGTAAACACGATGCAAATAATCCAAAAACCAATGGCAAAGAACGAGCAGCAGGAGGCGCATTGGTCCTAATTTTGACTAAGCAGGTGCAATTATGTCATCCCAAAAAATCAAGAGATGAGGCAAAAATAGCGAACTGGTTATTTTATTTACAATGTATAATTTACAACACTGTACAGGAAGACAAGGATACGAATTATAATAAATATACTACAAACAGATGCATAAAGCTTACAAAACAAGCTTTTGAAAACGTGTGAAATGTTAGAATGAGGAGAGCTAACCTTTGGATCGATGACATAATGCTGATTCTCACAGCGGTGTAGGAAGTGAAGATCAGCATCAGGGTTCTCTTATTTGATGCAACGCCGTCTTCAAACGTTTTGTTTGCATTTATTACAAAGTCAGTTTGACAAAAGTATTATTGACAAAGAAGTGAAGTTGGTAAATCGTCCATATTAGTGAGGCTATTTTGGAAATCTACATAAAATTATTTTATATTTTGTGCAACAGAAGACAAAACTAGTTTCAGAATAGATTTTCAAGATATCACCTGCCAATCATATTCAAGTTTCAAATGAAAAAACATTAAATTAAACATAATTAGGCTAAAATTGAAGTGATGCACACACGCTCTCTCTCACACGCATGCACTTAAAGTTAAAGATGCAAAAAAAAAATTAAAAATAAAGTATATATATTTAGGATATGTGTGGTCTGAAGGGCAGCACGGACACACTCATGGCTGCACAGGAACAGGCCCTGAACACTAGAGCAACAGAGGCCAAGACCCAAGGTGTAGGCTAGGCAAAGAGGCCCCTGAGACAATCCACCACATAACTGCAGGGTGTATGCTGGCAGGGAAAGCATACATGGAACGCTCCAACTAAGTAGATGGCATCGTATACAGAAACAGAGTATAGACTGGAAGCCCCAAGGTCACCCCCTAAGGTGGTACAGAACGAGAGAGCCAAGCTCCTGTGGGGCTTCCAGATCCAGACCAACAAAATGTTGATGGAGAACCAAGCGGACATTGTGGACACATTTGTTTTAAGCAAATGCTTTTTCTTCCTGTTATTTGTTTCGGGTTTCTTCTAAGAGCAGAGCAGTTGCAGAAAAACAAAACAGAAAATGAGAAGTATTTTATTTTATTTTCAAATGAACATTTTATCATCAGTCACAAGTCAAATGATTAACACTCAAAATAAGATGTATTAGTCTCTATTCACACACAGAAAAATAAACATAAGAAAATGAGCTGAAAACAAGTTCTTTTGGCATGTTTTCTCTGTCAGCTAACTCCTAATTTACAAATCAAAACCACACCGAGAGAAATAAACTACATATTTTAAAAACATAACAATATTCATCCAATCCGGATGAAAACGTAGCACCTTGTTCAGTTGTGACTTTTAGACTGGGGTGTAGTGGATAAAAACCAGTAGTATGATAGTTTGTGATGAAATGAAGCCCTCGCTTCTTCGGGTTATTTAGAAAAGAGCAATCCCAGAACAGAAGCAGATTGCTGCCTGAAACAAAACGTCTCACAAGTGACTTAAACACCCGAACCACTGCCTACTGTATGTGCAGCCAAATCTCTAAAGGTAGATTTAATGGTTTCATATAGAGATCACTTCTAAAAGAGCTATTGATAATCCTTGATCCCAAGGCACTGCAGCTGATCAAATGGCCAACAATAATATCTTTTAAAGAGGGACATGAAAAGTGAATAAGCATGCTTGAATACAAAAGTGGTGTAATCACACAGGTGTGTGTGTGTGACACAGACACACATCCTCACACTCGTAAGTGACCTGCGTTTTTATATTTTTGTGTTCTGTTGATATGATGGAAGATTATTTACAAATATTTGCATAAAAATGCTGATTTTGGGGAATAAAATTAACACCATCTGAGCAGGTTATTGTTACTTTTTCCTTCAAAGCATAAAGATAAAACCTTATCTACTGCGAGGCAGGGATATTATCAAATAATTTGTTCAAATCAAACCAACTTTCAAAAATAAATACATAAACTACTTTTATCTGTTAAATATCTGGGGTGGGACAAGTAATAAATACTTTTTAAAGCTAATAAATGGGGAATTTATCTCTTTTCTCATGCTTTTACTTTGAAAGAAAAATAACAGTTTAGAAAGGTAAAAAGGAGTGCCTAAAAGGTGCAGAAGAAACAGCACAGTCAAACAAGCTTGTGATTTATTTTTTTGGGGACAAGCTACATTTAAACAAATAGGAGGAAAGCATCATAAAGTACTTATAGAAGCCATTTGTTAAAATATATTTCACAGCTGAGCTTCACTGCTGAGTAGGATATGAAAATGCAATGGTTTCCATTTACACTGCCACTAAAATCCAAATGCAGCTAAAAGATTTATATACACATTTGCACTGCAGAGGTAATGACTTGATTAGTTTTTTTTATCATCACCATTGAGGTAAAACAGAGAGCTGGAGTTTAAATACTTGTTTTTACAGACTTAACGGCTGTCTTTTAGGATTTTAAAGGTGTGTGCATTTGGAGATCATTTCACATCTCTGTGTAGCAAACTGCAAATATGCACCTGAAATAGTAACACTGAGCAAAATCTGTATTTATGGCTAATTACAAATAGCAGCATGAGAGCATGTGGTGACGTCGTAGTAGTAATAGTAGTAGTAGTAGTAGTAGTATGGTTATCGTATCATCTTTTTCACTTGAATACTTGGTTTCTTTTTCAAAGATTAAATCCGGTAGTAAAAAAAAAAAGACTGACCTTTTTAGAAACAAGTAAGATACAAAAGTGTATTTACACGTCGCACGGGTCAAACACGTGTTTTTTTCTGATAATCTAATCTGTTCAGGCAGCTTACAAACAACATGTAGGTGTTGTGATTCAGCAGACATCATGATACCACTGATCTGAGAAAACAAATGAAATAATCGGACTTGTTGGAAAAGCTTATGACTGACTGACTGACACACACACACACACACACACACACACACACACACACACACACACACACACACACACACACACACACACACACACACACTGCAAAAGTTGTGATGAGCCTTTTAAATGTGCCCACCTCCCTCACAATGTATCCATCAAACGAGCTACGGATGCATTTTTGTACACGTTGGTGATAAAATGACACAAAAACAGACGGAAGACGTGGTTTTCCCTGATGACGTCGGCTGCCTGATGTGTCAGGATGAGGCGTGGAGGTGCTGAGATGGTGGTTATTCACCTTAAAAACAAACGCTGAGGGATGTTTTACAGGTCCACTCTATGCTCTCCATGAAGATTATCTAAGGCCACAATGTTCAGTAAAGAAAGAAACACGTAAACGCTAAAAAACAAATAAAAAGAGACCAGAGAATTTATCATGGCGATGTGTTCTTGATGCTTAGGATTACCAACAAAAATCAAAAGCAGCAAAGCCTAAATTAGATGAATTACCTTATGACAAAGGCACTTTAACAACTACTCCCTGTGCCTGGTTTTGGAGTAGATCCACTGTTGATCTCCTGATCAGCTTCATCCTCCTCTTCTTCCTCTTTCCAGCCACCGAGCTGGACTGGGGTGGGCAAGGAAGTGCTAGAACCATGGCCACTATGAGCCTGTAAACCTGGTACAATTACAATAAACAGGAGAATAGTGCAGGACTGAGTTTAAATAAATGAAAAATAAAATTTTTTGAATTTTTTCATTTGATCTCATCAGAATTTTAAATTTCATAAATATTCATTTGAACATGCACCCATGCTTGTGTGCGGGTCCCGCATCGGCATTGAATTCTGCCACTGTCCCGACGTCCTGGGTGGGTGGGAGCTCTGCTGATGGAGCTGGGGGAGACAATCGAAGCTGCTAAACTACACGAGGGCTAAAAACAACAACCTTCTAAGCCTGCGTATGGCGCATGCATGACTTTAATACCTCGTGCATGTAGATGGCATGGAGACTCATCTCTGCTGAGGCGAACTCTGAGTTCAGGGCATTGCTCCTGATGTGAGAGTCACTGTTTAGAAAGATTTATCCATCAATCTGTGAATTTAATTCAAGCACACTTAAGTTACTATTACTTTATTCAAAATATTTTCTGAAAGTACCTGTTGGGAATCGTGTGATCGCTGTGGTACATGGTGGCCTCCGAGTGGACAGAGGAAGGCAGGAGCCCGTGTGCGTGGCTACGACTGGTGTGTGGAAGCTGGGAGGAGGACAAGGAGGCCAGGACACTGGCTGCAGCAGAAGCAGCTGTGCTGGGTGGAATGAAGCGGCGGTCTCGCCCCTGTAGTCCAGACGCAGTGAGGATGGGGTGGGCCAGGACACTGGCTAATAAATTTTCAGGCTTGAAAACACACATCGGAAATGAGAAGGGCTTAAATCCCAAGTCACAATGGGATTTTATTAACTAACAGTAGCATATGTGTGGGTGGGACTTGTGTAGCAGACGTGGCTGCTGGGTTCCTTACCCCGGTGGCAGACTCGTTGGACTGCAGTGAGGTACAGAGAGGAGCCTCTGAAAGCAGCAGCTGTGTGGAGGGCCCGCCCTGTGCATCATGCTGCACCTTTCCCTTCAAGTGGCTGATGAACAAGGAGCTCTCCTGAGGCGGCTGCCAGCGAGGGTTCTGTATGGTGAAATGCATGAGGGACAATTCCGTCTTGCCGTTCTCAGCCTGTTGGTATATCGACGCCTCCGTCTGGCCTTCTGACATCCACTGCAAACGGATTCACAAACAAACAAATGAAGACAATACACCAGTCACATCAGGCTTTTATTTGGTCAGAAAGCTAAATATTCTTCTATATATAGAATAGTCTTACCGTTGGGTTTCCATGGCGCCTAATGTCCATCTGCGCGAACGAGCAGATGTCCCCAACTCCAACCACCTCCACGGTAAAATTCCTGAAGAAGTCAATGATTTCTAGAGACTTGTTTCTTAGGTGGAAGATGAGAATGAAGGGTGTGACTATGGGACTGAGCAGCTCCTCCAGGATGAAGACCTAAAATGAAAACAGAAAACATTTATGAAAATGAATCGGATTCCGTAACATGGCCACGTTCTACTGCTGGGCAGCTCTTTTCCCCACCGCTTTGTACTGGAACAGCTGTGCCACCTCGTCGCGGGTCTCGCTCTTGTTAGCGTGGCCCCTCCAGTGGTCCGGCATGTAGTGAATGTGTGCCAGCACGCACTGCAGAAGCTGCTCCGGGCACCACACCATGTGCTCATCTGGGATGAAAGACCTCAGGGAAAGACAAGAACAAAAAAAGCATCAACGACTTTCCTTTTCTTTAGCTGATGCATAAGAAATATGAAAATTAGGCAAATGTGGAACCTGTTTTCATCAAAATATTTATGTCAAATTACGTTAACCCTAACCCTAGCACACTTCAGTTTTAATAGTTATGTAAATATTTCACACATAGCTGAGAATCATTATAGAATGTTTGTGTTCAGTGTTACCTTAAAGAGCAAGTAACCCCCTACCAGATTCTTACTCAACTCCCACTTCCTGTTTGAAAAATGCAACAAATGCTGTTGCCTAGCAGACTGAGAGGGCGGAGCCGCTAACAGATACACACACACACAACATTGTGACATCATAATGTACCATCTAACATCATAGTGTACCTCTTAGCCAATAGCGATGGCAGATTTAAATTTGAATGCAGTGCATCGCTGACAGTTTTAGGCAGAATATTTGAACCAAGATGCACTAAAGTGCCGAATTATTGACTACAGGTGTCTGCAGCACGATCAGACCCTCATTTATATAGTTTATCAGCAAAAAAATGTTGATTTGGAGTGATTTGCTCTTTAAAAAAAACCTGTTTATGAGAGTAATGATCTAGAATTTCCCCAAAGAAATTGACCAATGGCAGCTCACCTGGCAATAGTAATCACCACCCCCAGAACAGTGATGGCGGTCAGAATGTGCTGCACCGTAAGGACGTCCTCGTCATAAATGGTCAGTGCAATGAGAACCGCCAACACCGATCCTGAGAAGAAGGCGATGTTCTTAGCGAACACGGTCAGCAGCGGCGACGTGAACGAGTTCATGTATTTGGAAGTCGGTTTGTAGCCGCGGCCCAATCGCCCGTGCAACTCGTGGTCCAGCTCGTTGAAGTGACGCAAGTACAAGCGTCCGTACAGGGACCAGCGGCGTGCGCCCAGACTTCCGGGTTCCCTCCGGATCACTTCTGTATAGCTGAAGAAAGCGTAAAGCACCTGCCACACCAGAATGAAGGGACACAGCAGCAAGTTGGCCAAACCGATGAGCAGGATGACTCTGCTGAGCTGCTGAGCGAGCTCCAGGCGGTTTCCGCTCCGCTTGTACTTAGGGTGCAGGTTCCACTTGTTCTGAAACAGAGAACCGGGACCCCAGAACAGGATGAGCTCAAAGTTGTACTTTAAGCCCTGAGTTAAGAAGATTACGTTGCCCAGCAGGGGGAGCTGCAGCTGCACCGGCAGCAGAGACTTGTTTATCATGGCCACCATGTAGTTCTTAAAGCGCAGAATGCGATGATAGATATCGAGTTCTGTCAGCTCCTTCTTGTGAATGCACATTTGCTGTTCTCTCTGCAGGCTGATGAGTCGATCCTGGACCTCCTGCCATGTGAAATTGCATAGTTCATCCTGGAGCGAGGACAAAAAAAATTAGTTGCGTCTAAAATCTGCTGAAGCAGATTTTGATCCAGGTGCAGCACCAGGTGTAGCACTTACCTTTCTGATCTTCAGTGCTTTGATGTAGAACTGCCTGATCTCCCAGTAGCTCAAAAGATTGCAAAAGACTTTTATGAGACGATAGATCCAGAAGATGGCAGCCATGATGAGGAGGAAGATGATCCAGCTGCTGTCTTGTATCCTGCAAGAAAAAAAAAAAAAAAAAATCACAAACAAAGCCGCAGTCAGAAAGGGCCAACTTTCTATATTTGTTACTTTTTAGGATTCAAATAAGTGCATTTAAATAAGCAATTGGCCGTTTTAAGATAGATATATTGGAACATATGAATATAAAGTAAACTAACAATAAATAAACACACAATTATTGATCATAAAATGTGTTACAATCTATGAAGCTCTTGTTTATAGATTTAAGGATGAATGATCTATTTGAAAATCATGAAAACTAAGAATTCTCCCAAAAATAAACAGAAACTAATTTACGTGCTACCATCTGAGCTTTATTTTAAATAAATGCTCTAAAATGTATTACTAGGTCACTTTTCAGAGAGGTAAGAAAAATATATGTCATTTTGTCTTTGGTTCACACACTCTGGAAAGCTGCTTAAAAGTGAAATGGGATATGAGCGATCAAGAGGACAGAGAGACTCCAAACTGTTGGACAAGCTGTTCTTAAATTAGAATTCCAAGAGGCTGGACGTCACCAACTTTGATATAAACAACTTTTGAGTCACGGTCAGAATGAAGCTGGTGATGAGAGGCTTGTGGCTCATAGGCCACGCAGGAGAAAACAACCCGGGTGGAGGCTCTACAAGAAAAACTAAAATAGGGAATATACAGGTTTGGGGTGGGGGCGGTTTGTCCCTCGCAGCACGGTAGCATTAACTTGTCATGTGGAAGTCAGGTAATCAGCTTCTTGGCTAGCCAGTTTCCCCACAACAAAACTTTCAGTTACACTGGCTTGCTCTCTAGTCAGCCTGAGCTGTGCATAAACATCTTCCTCCATGAAATCATGCAAGAATGTTCCAAGTCAAAGCTGCCGATGTAGAAATAGTCAACACACGAGTGCAATTTATGATGAATATTCTGATTTTTACTTGAAATAAAACAGAAATCAACAGAAAAACCATTCAAACCAATAATTCTAATAATAATAAAATAACTATAATAATCATTTTAATAACCGGGCCTAGGATGCCTTCTTCCTGTGTTGATGTCTTGAAGCAGAAGCTGACCCAATCCCCCAGGGATGGGATGGGTGCGTGCAGAACTTCTGCAGCCCTGGATAGTTCTGTGATGCCATTTTCATGTGCAAAATCAAATGGTTTTGTTAGACAACTGTAAAAGAAGAGTATTTCTGTATATAAATATGATTTTTCCAAACCTTCCAGCTCAAATCACTGCTTTACCAAAGTTGCAGATTTTAAATGGGCTCATAAAGTCGTTGCAGATAAGAGTTATAGCATTATTTAGGTTAATTAGAGTAGAGCTAAATGAGCGTACGTCTAATATTCCTACCCTGAGTGTGACCATATCTTGCAGTCCACAGTTACATTTATTCCAAGTCTCAAAATGAGAAACTCCTATAGTCTAATTGAATATATCTTAAGTTGGGCAGCTGTGTAAAGTCTGACAAAAGAAATCTCTGAAGCCCTGTATCTAATCCCAGCCTCAGCTTAAAAACAAAGCATCTCATCAGTCTGGCTAAAATAAGAGAGGGGACACATCAAATATCACTTCCTTTGAATGCAACTCTGACTGATTCAGCTCATTTTGTCCCCCATAGAAATTCATCTTTACCTCTGAGTGCACTGCTGGCTTGGTAAGATGGCATCTGGCAGAGTGACTTTGTTTCTATCCAAAGGGTTCTGGCTCGGCCCAGTGTGGTTAACAGCTCGATTGGCAAACAGGACATCGTACTCCACACAGTTGACAAGGAATGTAGTGAACGTGACAACAAACAAGAACTGACTGAAACGATGAGAGCAGGAAAAGGGTGATTTAGTTGTCGAACATGAAGACATTACATTAAATGATCCCCATCCGAAACCCTAACAAGTGCACTTTTAATAAAAAGGTAAGCATCAACAGAACATGGAAAGGGAACAGTGAGATTTATGTGTGGCTGTTGTTAACTTTAGGAGTGATCTTGGTCTTGCAAAAGCCTCAGGCACAGTTAAGTCATAACCACATGACAAACTGCTACTGTCATAAATGAGGCCCAAGTCAAATTGAAAACAAGCATCCTCGTTTTGCTGACAAATATGATGCCATATCTCATGATGCATCTTCATCAAACGCCTTAAAAAGTTAATACTTACACAAGTTCAAAGAACTCTGACAACATCATACAGGAAAATCCGTTCTTTTGGTGAAAATGGTAAATGTAGATAGTGTTAAGGGAAATTTTAAATTATATTAGGACATAAATCAAAATTTTAACACTAAGTGATGACAGCACAATGCATCACTCATTTTTATTGTACCAGAGAGCTTTGATGCATTATTGTAAATATAGCAGAAGCAAAAAAAGTAAAATTGGACACATTAAAAAAAACTACAAGATAAATCAGCAAGATTTTCAAGCACAATAAACAACTTCAGCTGTGTGATATGTTAGATCTGTGTCATTTCTTGTTAAGGTAGCTGTTTCCTCTATAGGGCTAGCTGTGGGGCATTCAGATTTGTGTCACAAGGTTCATTGTTTCGTAATCCATCAATGGTAAACATTGAGCAATTTCATATTTTTACTGTGAACACACACAACCACCTATACATGTTAGCAAATTGTGTTTTTAAAAAAAGGATATTCTTGTAAAGAAATTATCCAGGTTCTTGACATGGTGCCACGAGTCTGTAATAAAGAGGAAAAGCAACACAAGACATGTTGTGCGGGTGTGCTTTAAAAAACTTTAGATAACAGGAATATTGTCAACTGAGGAAACGATAGCTAGCTAATTTTTCCTTTGCAACTGTAACGTTAAAAACATTTAATGTTTACCTTTAAGTCCTTCAGGCACATGCAGCAGCAAATCTTCCTCTCCTGGTGGAGAGTCTTCCTCGAAGTCCTCAATCCTCTGATACTCTTGATAAGCTTCAAAGTTAGCCATTGTGCTTCATATTCTTCTGTCACCCCAAATTGACGAGCTACTTAGTAAACACTGAACATATGTAATGTAACTGACTGCCTAGGCTACATCCTGTAGCTATTTGACCCTTAAAAGAGGTTGAAATTTATATAAAGCTAACTCTGGGTTGCTAACTAGCTAGCTAGTCTAGCGGACATCATTCATGCAACCCTAAATTACCATTGTTACACGTTAAATACAAGAGTGACTTAACGCACAGATGTTCAGTTACCTGACTAGAGGATGTCAGTCGCATATATACAAAGATTACAAGTAAAGCAGTGTCTAGAAGCCGGCTAGCCTGTGAATGATTCAGCCTCTAGTGTAGTCAGGGTGACAGGGTTTGTTTTGTTCCCTACTCGGTCGGTCCGTCTGCTGATCTTGGATCTGTTGTCTCGCTGTCCGGTGTTAAACTGAGATCGCTTAGCACTCTCGGGTGTGTTTAAAGGAAAAATAAGCGCACTCTTCAGTCTCTCGATTCGTTGATTTTCAAAAATATAAACCATCCCATCAGCGTGACCACTGTTTTTGTCTTTCACAAACAAATGTCAACACACGACACCTGCATCACTTCCCTTTAGTACAGACGTAAGTTCCTGGTGTTGATGTAGTTTTCCAAATATTTCCAAATAATTACTTTTTTTGTTTGTCTCTCCACAAAATAAGCACAAATGACCCAAAAAATAAAATATAAACAATAATTTATCGTTTTTATAAAGCACTGTTTTAGCCTCAGAGCTGCTTTCGTGCGTTGTGGGTGAACGCCAATATGGCAGCCTACGTGATGTTGCTAAGTTATTGTTGAGCTTAATGTTTCATTTGTTTATATGCCCTTTATTAATGAAACAACCATTAAAGTATGATTCAATTGCTTTGTTGTAGACTGAGCACTACTGCTCCTTCGCAGTCACGGTCATTTTATTCGCTGTGCAACAAAACAGGAGACAAATGGAAGCTGTCACGGTAGGCTAAGTCGACCGGTAGCTAGTTAAGCTAATCAGATTTGTCCAAGTTGCATAAACAACATATGCAGGAGAAACACTGACAAACTCGTCTTAGCACGTATTGTCAGAGATTATTGACTAAATTCTTCAATCTGTCACTTGAACATTGTTATGAAAATGAAGTCAAATGATGTTTTGAATTGTTTTATTAACAGTTGCATTTCAGCTGGTCACTCATATTGCTTTACAGTGCAGATAAGCATAATTCTTTTGTCAATTAAAGACAATCACATAATGATTTAATTTAGTCCCTTGTAAAAAAAACTAAAATGTGCAGTATAACACCTAATACAGTAGAAATGAGTACATCATACTTCAATAAATGTCATATCTCTTGAAGGTGTTTAATTTAGTACAGTCTAAAGGAATTCTATTGTAATCCACTAAGATCCATCCGTCAGTTTTCTTTTCCCTATCCGGTGTGGGTTGGGGGGGGGCAGCAGCCTTGGGGAGATCCAGGCTTTCCTCTCCCCAACCACTTGGGCCAGCTTCTCCAGGGGAATCCCAAGGCATTCCCAGGCCAGCCGGGAGACGTAGTCCTGTCACCATGTCTAGGGTCTTTATTTAGGTCTCCTCCCAGTTGGATGAGCCCATAAAATCCATCAGGAAGGCATTCTAATCAGATGCATGAGCCACCTCGACTGGCTCCTCTCGATTTGGAGAAGCAGCTGATCCACTCCGAGCCCTTCCCAGATGACCAAGCTTCTCACCCCATTGGGATGTTCAGACACTCTGCAGAGAAAATTCATTTTAGCTGCTTGTATCCGTGATCTCATTCTTTTGATCACTACCTAGTGCTCCTGACCATAGATGAGGGTTGGAGTGTATATTGACGTGACAGACTGATAAAACGGCTGCACCACTGCAGTCGCACCACAAGTCCGCCTATCGATCTCCTGCTCCATTTTCCCCTCATTCGTGTACAAGACCCCCAAGATACCTCTAATTGAGGCAAGAACTCATCCTTGACCTAGAGAATACATTCTATTCTTTTCTGACTCAAGACCATGGACTCGGATGTGGAGGAGCTGATTCTCACCCCAGCCACTTAAGATCAATACAAAACAAATGCATAAGCACTCCCTTTTAACAGGAGTTTATCCCTAAAGTTTACATATGTTTTATTAGTAATTTTCAACAGCTTTTAAAACTCCTATCATCAGCTGCAGCAGTTTCAATAACAATTACATCTTGTGGTTTTTAATTAGTGCATTCAGACTCTAACTGTATTGGTTTTCTGGTTTTTATCCAGCTTGTATACATCTTCAGGACCCTGTGCATACAGCTCCTCACAGCAGCCCAGCAGTGCTGTGAGTCGGATTTGGAGCCTGACTCAAAGAGCCTTCCGCCACTCCTCCACTCGATCAAACAACCCCTTGGGTTTGAAATTCCTCCTGGGACCTGCGGTGCTCACTGTGTCAGCACGCCTGCTTTTTCACGTAGCTTACTGCGAGGCAGATAAAAACAACAACACTTTAGTGGAAGTTACAGCCAAAGTCCCGATTCCTGACTTCAAATGGCATATCCTGTGGGAATTTGTTAAACCCCAGTTGTTTGCGCTCGTCTGTGCTGTTGTGGTAAGCTTCATTAGGTGTATTTAATAGTGATGCACAACAAATGTGTTTCTGATTTCATTTCAATTAAAAAACAAACTTTTCAGCTTGCTTTCGGTGCAGCTATCCTGAACATTCAGATCCCGCTGATGCTTGGAGACCTGGTGAATGTTGTGGCGCGACACCTGAGAGAAAACACAGGGAATTACATCAGTGAGATACAAGGTCCTGCCCTAAAATTACTTGGCCTGTATGGTGTCCAAGTAAGTACACAACAAATCTAACATCATACAAAACAGTAGTAGCTCGTCCTGATCTAGTACGGGTAAACACATTTTAAATATAAACAAGATTTCTTCACACTGTTTGCAACTGATCAGTTTTTTTTTGTTTTAAATGGATTTTTAGGAAAACAAATTAATATCTTTCAATGCGTTTATTGTTTAATTAGATGTTTTGGGGTTTTCTTCCTTTTATTAAATTTTAAAGCACATAACTTGGCTAATGTATGCTGATCTTCAGACAAAGTAGGCAAATATGAAGATAACCTAAAGGTTTACGGTTTGTTCAGGGCCTGCTAACTAGTGGCTATATCATCCTGCTTTCAAGAGTGGGTGAGAGAGTGGCTGCAGACATGAGGAAGACCCTGTTTGCGTCGTTGCTACGGTACTTAACACATCTACTTCTGCATTCTTTTATTTAAACTTTCATTTCAAATGTGTACACTCCAATCCCATCCCCCCCCCCCCCCCCCCCCCCCAGGCAAGATGTGGCTTTTTTTGATGCCAATAAAACCGGGCAGCTGGTGAATCGGTTGACTGCTGACATTCAGGAGTTCAAGTCATCCTTTAAACTGGTTATTTCTCAGGTATTAAACACTAGCAGGACTCGTTTAGATATTTTTTTTTTGTTGTTTAAAATAAACGTATACTATTTTGTTTTTGTATTTCTTTAGGGGCTGCGGAGCATCACACAGACAATCGGGTGTTTTGTCTCGCTCTACATCATCTCACCCAAACTCACAGGCTTGACGGTGATCGTCCTCCCGTGTCTGGTGGGAGCGGGAGCTCTGATTGGCTCATTCCTGCGAAAATTGTCTCGCCTGGCTCAAGAGCAGGTGACGCCATATGCTGTCTTTAATGAAGCACCGTTGTGTGAAAAGGTTTATTTGAATGCTGCTGATTACACCGCCGTCTCAAAATGTGCACTGAAATAAAATGTTCCGGTCTAAAGGTGGCAAAAGCAACAGGAGTGGCAGACGAGGCCCTGGGGAATGTACGGACGGTCAAAGCTTTTGCAATGGAGGAACGGGAGCTCCAGTACGTTGACTCACACCGTGCAACACTTCCCTCTCAGTGCAGTGTAGTGTTTTTATTTTTACCGTTATTTTCCCTCAGATCATATGCGTATGAAGTTGATAAATCCTGTGAAATGAATGAAAATCTTGGCACTGGGATCGCCATTTTCCAAGGCCTGTCAAACATGGCCTTGAACTGTGAGTGTTTACATTATGAACGTTTTGGGATTCACTGTGATGCAGAATGCTGCTGTATCTCTGACCTGTTGATAATCCCTTTTCTTAACGCAGGCATCGTACTAGGAACGATATTTGCTGGGGGGACTTTAATTTCAAGCAATGAAATGTCCCCCGGAGACCTGATGTCTTTCTTAGTTGCATCTCAGACTGTTCAGAGGTATAAACCAACAATTTTCCCACAGTGATTTGTCTACAACTCAAATTTTTATTAAATGTGTGGAAACCGATATTATTCCTCCCCTACGTGAAATTTAGCCTGTTTCTAAATTCTCCAGAGTTAGAAAAATGGAGAAAGTCATTTTGTAACCAGATGGCAGCATTTCATTAGCTTTAGCTTAGCATAAACAATGTAAGTGAATGGTAGCAGCTAGCATTTTGTGTGAAAACATCATAAAAATGACTCATTAGTGATCCTCAGTTTTTCTTGGTGACCCTTAATAACCTTATTAACTGCAAATGAAAATAAGTAACATGAAGGAATTTTAGGAGTCGATTTAGATTTGGGACTACATTATGGCAAAGCAGCGCTGCAAGCCGCCGCTGCAAGACGCAAGGATACGTTGCAGCGGCCACAAAAGACACCTGCTTCTGTAAACACAAATGCGTGAGCCGCAATGAGTTTTTACTGCCGTTGTTTGAATGGGTTACATTTCTAATGCGAGAAAATGGCTCTTGTTTGTGTAGCAAAGGGATGCAAAAACATGCAGCTTGTTTCACAGAATTCCATCCAATGTGGAACAAAGATAACCGCTTGCTGCCCTGGGAATTCCTCCGTCAACACCCGTGGAGAAAATAACTCAACATCTGGTTTGCAAGGAGCATGTCACCAGAGGACAAGAGTGAAAATTTAGGATCATTACTTTCCCACAGCATGCTAGCTGTTACCATTCACTTACACTGTTTATGCTAAGCTAAAGCAAGTGGAGTGCGGCCCGATTAGGAGAATTCCAACTCTGTGGAATATGGCAACAGATAAAAGTTCATGAAGGGGTGGAATATCCCTTTAACAAACGCATCTCATTCATTTCCAGGTCCTTAGCAAGTATTTCCATCCTTTTCGGACAGGTCAGTACCACTAATTAATGCTATATATTGTTTATACATCATATTCGGTTTTATTTGGAGCCAAGCTGATGCCGTCTATAACATTATTCACAGGTGGTGAGAGGAATAAGCTCCGGGGCTCGGGTCTTTGAGTACCTCTCTTTGCAGCCAACCATCCTTCTCTGTGGAGGAGGACGAATCCCATATCATTCTCTGACTGGAAGAGTGGACTTCCTGAACATTTCATTCAGGTAGAATTCCTCTAATATTCAAGACACTTCAACACAATATCAGGATATTTAATGAGTTAAATAAAATGTTCATAGTTATCCAACGAGACCCGGCCACGAAGTCCTGAAGAAGTTTAACTTAACGCTGCCGCCCTGTAAAACCGTGGCAGTTGTCGGCGAATCTGGAGGAGGTGATTTTAAACGCTGGCTGGTTTCCTGTTAGAATATAAAGTTGAATAATTACTGGTTGATAAATGTGAAACCCCCGTAGGAAAGTCCACCGTGGCTGCCTTACTGGAACGTTTTTATGACCCAACAAGTGGTGTGGTCATGTTGGACGGGCTTGATATCCGAACGCTGGACCTGTCCTGGCTCAGAGGGCAAGTCATTGGATTCATTAATCAGGTAGAAAGTGCAATCAGTTAATTATCTGAGCATGAGTATATATACAGCGTTTGTTTAGGTTTAAACTTATGTTCATGTGCTGTTTCAAAGGAACCTGTTTTGTTTGGATCTTCCATCATGGAGAACATCCGCTTTGGGAAGCCAGACGCCACAGATGCTGAAGTCATTAGTGCAGCAAAGCAAGCCAACGCTCACCGCTTTATTACCAGTTTCCCAGATGGTTATAACACCACGGTCGGTATGTGGGTTTGTTATCCAAACCGTCACGTTCAGGTTGGAAATTGTGTTGCTTGTAAATTCTAAAATCCAGGTCTCCAGGTGAGCGAGGTGTGACGTTGTCAGGCGGACAGAAGCAGCGCATCGCCATTGCCCGAGCTTTGATCAAGAACCCGAGCATACTGGTGCTGGACGAGGCCACCAGCGCTTTAGATGCAGAGTCTGAACGAGTGGTCCAGGAAGCTCTGGACAGAGCCACACGAGGCCGCACTGTTCTCATCATCGCCCACAGACTGAGCACCATCCAAGGCGCCGACCTCATCTGTGTCATGAGCAACGGTCGTGTTGTCGAGGTGAGGAGGATGCGTATCCAAGGAAGCAGAGGGACTCTGACCTCTGATTAAATGTCTCAGTTTATTAAAAAAGATGTTTTCTTTCTTTGCAGGCTGGGACACATTTGGAACTACTGGGCAAAGGAGGACTCTACTCTGATCTGATCCGCAGACAAAAAGCCGAGGGGCAAAAATAGACACAACAGTTTGTTTCCAGTAGACCAGTTATATATATAAAAAACATTTGTTTATTAAATAACATCAAATGTGTAGTACATTTACCTGCTTTCAGTTTAGCAGCAGCTTAGCTATACATTTTAAACAGTTTGTGTTTAAGTATTAATGGACCAATGTGTTTATTTCAAAATACACTACTGTGCAGATAAATTAAAATAAAAATATAGCCCCTGGGTTTTTGTCTATCTTGTATGGAAAAATAGTACATAAACATTTAAAAACTAAAACATTATTAAACCGTTTAAAGTATAAAAATTTGAATCTTGTTTTTGTGATCTAACTTTTGGGAACTGCTGTTTTGATGCTTTCTGCGTTTCCTTTGAAATGCTTCAGTTATTTCAGAATGTTCTTTAACTGGTGAATCTTTAAACACAGAGCTCAGATATCCTCTAGCACTAAGAAAAATCTTTACCAAGACACCACACCTAGTATATTTGCTGTCTTAGTAAACAGGATTACAATCTTGTTTACAAGGCTTAACAAATAAAGCGCTGAGGTTTATCGGACTTTGAAATGAGGTTTATTCCATTAGATGGATAAATCAGACTCTCTGGGAAACGTTTAAAAAATACAAATGTAACCTGATGGCTTTCAAGAGAACATTTGCAGTCAGAGATTTGATTTGAAACGATCATCTTACAAATGAGGGGATGCTGTCTAAGAGTGTTTTGTTCAGATATCTGTCTATAATGAATCTTAAATTGTTAGTATGGTTTTATTATCTAAGAGCAGCAATTTCCTAATGTTGTGATTCCTCGCACATGTGACAATAAAATCCTTCTGATTCTAAAATTCATTTGACCCCAGTGGCAGTTAAAATGAAACGTTCATTTTATATTTCTGTCATTTATAGCAAGTCATTTATAGTAAATGTGATTTTTTTCTTTTAAAGTTCAACATGACTTTCCCAGTGGCTATTATTAGATGGTGCTTAGGTATTATGGAGTCAGTATCAAATAACGATGCATTAATCAGAGATAATTAAAACAACAGTTTTTCCTTCTTTTCTTTTGTTAAATATGCTTAACTTAATGGCTTTTTATTTTAGTTCTCACTGAGTTAAATATTATCTTGCCTTTATTTGTTGAAGCTCCAAAATAACATTTTCCGCATCCAGCAGTTCATATTTTGCCCTCTAGGTGTCAGCCAAGAGCGCACCTGTTGTTGCGGTCTAAACAGAACACTGACTCACTGAGCCTAGTATCGGCGTTAGCTTCTGCAATATTCTAGCCACCCCAGGCTCGGGGTTTTGTCCTTCATTTGTTTGCAAGCTTCATCAAGGCTCGTTTCACTCACAGAACATGCAGAAATATGAAAAGCTTGAAAAAATCGGAGAGGGTGAGTTTATTTGGGGCAATATTAGCTTGCTGAAGTAAACGCTAACATAGCATCAATGCTAGCTCAGGGCTTGCTGAATTAGACTTGTGTATATGCTATATATTTTGTTATTCATATGCATAGTACTTAAATTTAATGCAAATCTGCGTGAGTTTGCTTTATAAACGTAAGCCGATTCCTATACATTTCACGGTGCCAGTAACAGGCTAGTGGTGGGTATGTAAATAAATAGCTAACTAGCTGCTTTGGCATTCATCCGGTTTGTGACAACTGGACATTATTTATTCTGTAGGTACATATGGGACCGTCTTCAAGGCAAAAAATAGAGAAACCCACGAAATAGTGGCGTTGAAACGGGTCAGGCTGGACGACGACGACGAGGTTGGTATACTAAAATATAGATAGACGCTAATGTTTAGCTTGCTAGTGCTAACCCAGATAGGTGTTTTTCAGGGAGTGCCAAGTTCAGCTTTGAGAGAAATATGTCTTCTTAAGGAATTAAAGCATAAGAACATCGTCAGGTCTGTTTACCCAGAGGAGTTAAAAAGCAGCATTAAAATAATAACTTGATGCCAAAATGAATCATCTGATTGTTTTTCTCTCCAGACTACATGATGTGCTGCACAGTGACAAGAAGTTAACCTTGGTTTTTGAATATTGTGATCAGGTTAGTTACTAGTTTTCCAAATATTCCCCCTCCTTTTAATATAGACATTATGTTGCTAAAGTGTGTTTTCTTGTCCAATATAGGACTTGAAGAAGTATTTTGACAGCTGTAATGGCGATCTAGATCCAGAAACTGTAAAGGTGACATGAGACATGACACCTGGTTGCCTTGATAGTTACAGGTTAAATTGATTGTTACTAAATTTAACTTCTATTCTTGAATTCCCTCTGCAGTCGTTCATGTACCAACTGCTGAAAGGCCTTGCTTTCTGTCACAGTCGAAATGTTCTTCATAGAGATCTGAAGCCCCAGAATCTCCTCATCAACAGAGTAAGTATCAAATCAGGAATTATGCTCTTTTTGTTACGCAATGCTGAATTCAATGTTCATTAAAGAACCACAGCTAAATGCTGTGCTGGTGGTGGGATTAATAAAGAAATGTATAAATTGTTTCTTCATCTGTAGAACGGAGAACTGAAGCTAGCTGATTTTGGGTTGGCTCGAGCCTTCGGCATTCCTGTCAGATGTTACTCAGCAGAGGTAAGTCGGACATTAGAATTTTTTTTGTAAAAGTAGGGGAAATTTCTGAATCTCTGTTGCAAGAGAGAAGCCAAGATGATTTTATTTGCAATTTTTTATACAAGTGAATTTTAAAATCTAGAAATTAACTAAAATGTAGTACACATAGAAATATGTGTGGGTTGCTTTCACACTATGTTTGACATTAAACTGAGCAACAAAGACAGATCTGTGTCCCTCTGTGTGCATATAAATGTTAAGTGGGTTGTTCAGAGGGACGTGAAATTTTAGAAATTTGTTTATTATCTGAAAAAATGATAAGACTGACCTCAGGACCAAGCTTTTATGTATGAAAGGCTCAACCAGAGTGACACTACAATGTAGAAATGTGGCAAACTGAAAACTTAAAACACTGAGAGTTTGAAATTAGGTCATTTATAAGATTGTTTTATTTCAGAAAACAAAAAGATCATACCTCTGTTTGACAAAATGTGACAAATTATTTTTATATGCAACATTTACAAAGAGTTGGGAAGTTTTTCTTGTGTTCAATCAAGTCTAGCTGAGATTCCTGCATATTTATGGAGGTTGGAGGTTTTTTATGGAACTGGAATTGAGACAATATGTAACTTGTACCCAGCTTTGTAACCTGTAACATGTTTTGTAACTGTAACTTTTATTTTGTAACTTGCAGAAAACAATCAATGTACAAATTTCAAATTACAACTTTCAACACACAAATCTCAGTCTACAAGTACAAAACATTTTGTCCAAATTCTAGCTTCCTTCCCAAAGAACCAATGACAGGCTTTGTCTGACCAGCCAATCATGAGTCTTGGATTCCTTTTCAAATAAAATTCCTGTTTCCTGCAAGCTAGAATTGTTCCTAAATGTTTTGTATTTGTAGACTTGAGTTTTGTAACTGTAGACTGAGATTTGTGTGTTGAAAGTTGTAATTTGAAATTTGTACATTGTTTTCTGCAAGTTGCAAAATGAAAGTTTCATGGTATGTACCGAAGTTAAGCCGGGCGTACACTGTGCGACTTTTTCACTTTTTTGAGCCGATTTTCCAGTCGTGCGAGAAGCCACGACATCGGGGCGAGTTTTGCGCCGAGCGGTCGTGTAGTGTACAGGGGGTTACGAGAGGCGATTAACACCACGTGACCAGCCGCCGATCAGCAGTCGTGAGGTCGCAGGGACTTCTGGTGTGTTTAATATTTTGCTCGTCCCTCGTGAGGGTATCGCACTGTTGAAGCGGCGCTGCGAGCAGCTACGATCCAAAAAAGTATCAGAACCGCTCACGGCGCATGCGCGCGCAATCCTGCATCAACGCCGGCCGGTCGCTCGCTATTTCCCTAATAACACACGCTGTTCGTTTTTATTTCTACACGTTTTTTTTTACTCACAAAGATTGTCAAGAAAGCGTGTTTTTCGTGTTCATGTCAAATTAAACTGATCACAAAACACAGATTCACTTTCTTTATTTCATTTTCCTCATCCAACCCCCATAAATCTCTGTGTGTCCTCCTGCAGCACTCCCGAAGGACAACAGGCAAGACAAAAAAGTCTGACGTGTTGAGTAAAAACTGCTATTTTTAGCACATTTTTAGGGCCGACGTGTTGCTACCAGACGTACAGTGTGAGCAGTCAGGTCGCATGCGAGAACTGGGTCGTACAGTGTGAGCACACGACTCGTGAGATCTGCTCTGCGAGGAAGTCGTACAGTTTGAGCTGAAGCTGAACGCTGCGAGTGAAAAAGTCGGACAGTGTACGCCCGGCTTTACATGTTACAAAATGAAAATTACATTCTACAAAGTCATAGTTACAAAACATATTACAAGTTACAAAACTAAGTACAAGTTTAATGTAATATTGTCCCAGTCCTAGTTCCATAGTTTTTTATATGTTGGGACCGGGACTTCTTTACTCATTATTTATCCTATTTCTTCAAACCTTTTAGCAAAACTTCTAAAGAATTCTTCTGCAGCTTGAAGTTAAACACCAAAAGTTACTTCTGTCAGTTTTAAACAAACTCGGTAGTATAAACAAGCACAGCTGTTTCAGGAGAAATCTTGCACCTTCTGTGAAGCTTTTTGTTTTTCTACAGGGTGTTCCTTTACCTCAGTGACACGTTCAGTTCATTCATGTACAAAATGCTGTTTCAGTAACAGGTGGCCACATCATTAACATCAGCATCGCTGTGAGAACTTTTGATCCTTTGTTGCTGAAAACCAGCCAGCCCACACACTGTTCTGTTAATGCATCATAATTTGGACTTCTACTGCACTTCAGGTGACAGTGTTTTCCAAAACTTGGAGGAATAAATGTAAAATAGCCGGCGATGCAGCAATTTGGTCAAATGCACCAACGCTTGAGTTAAAATGGAGGTGGGTGTAAGTTAACGGTGCTGCGGGAACTTCAAGTTGGATTCACCTCAAAAAGCACCAAAACACTGGGCTGTTGTAATGCTGCTAACGTCTCTGCAGGTGGTGACGTTGTGGTATCGACCTCCAGATGTCTTATTTGGCGCTAAACTTTATTCTACCTCCATCGACATGTGGTCAGCCGGGTGCATATTTGCAGGTTTGTTATTTTTTTCCACTTGTGAATGTGAAAGGTAAAGTTTTTATAAATCATTATTTGTGTGTAAATGGTTAAATATTCATATTTTATCTACTTTAGTAATTTGATTACTATTAGCTAATAATTACAACTGCAGTTTTATCTCATGCAATTCTTTTACTTTGTACAAAATAAAATCCAGATGTATAAGAATGCATGGGAAGTTCAGGTGCAGTAAGCACAGTGGCTTTTTAGCTGATGAGGAGAATTTATTTAGCCAAATATGTATTTTAAGTTTCAGCTCAATTACTCTCAACAGTAGCTGAAGGATTATTTATGCCTGCTTAAGTGAAATCAGTGACACCGTTGATGCTTTAAATTATGCTAACTTATGCTTCCTCACGTCCTCTTGTGAATCAGAAATCATTTCCTCCTCCTCCATCACTCAGGAAAGGGAAATCTCCTCTTGTAATCACCCCAAGGGGATGAGAGGATTCTGAAGAGTAGTTATTCAAAGTTGTGACCTTCCTCACACCTGTCCCTCGTGCCTTCTCTCAAAGTAATTGTTGGGAATATTTTAGATATTAGATATCTTCCCACACAGGAGACTACAACTGTTTCCTCGGTAGAAATGGAGCAGTCCTGATGGTGGTTGTCACTGGTCCTGCTTCTGCTGTGTGTGCGCATTCAGTTTCACTTTTGTTTTTGTCCGTGCCCGTGCTATTGTCTTGTTTTTTAATAGGTAGCCGCCACCTGGTGGCGTTAACCATAGTCAAACTGGTTAATCCTGCCACAGCCTCCAATGTAGACCGCACCAATGTTCACTCTTTGTCCAGTTCATGCTTTCTTTGCTTTGCCTCTCTTTTTACTTCCAGGCACCACCATGATGCAAACAAAAAACTCTTCTTTTTACACTTTTTTTTAACTAATGATCAACAAACTAAAAAGAGCTACCTGGTAGCCTTTTTATTAGCTACCAGCATAGTAAACACCCCAACTGTTGCTGCACCTCTCACTTGTCCTTTCCTGAACCACAAAGTTGCTTGGTGCAGTTTCTGGCCAGAAGAGAGCTGCAGAGTGCTGTCACATGTGAAGCTGCTCAACTTCGGGTTCAAGAACCACTGAAACCAGCTTGAAAGCATTACCTTAAACTGTTAAACTCTTTAGTGTTTCTTTAAAGAGCAAGTCACCCTCCCACCAGAGTCTCACTCCACCTACACTTCCTGTTTGAAACCAAAAGGAGGTGTCGCCTGGTGGACCAAGAGAGCTGTGCTGAGGCATTGATTAGGGAACACTTGTTCAAGTGTTGCATTTAAAAAAATCCGATGTTTTGTTGTTTTGCTCTAGAGCTGGCTAATGCTGGACGGCCATTATTCCCTGGCAATGACGTGGACGACCAGCTGAAAAGAATCTTCAGATATCCTTTGCCAGTAAATCTGTCCATCTATTACCAAGAGTAGACTTCTGTTTTTATTATTATTCCTGTAAACATTTAGTCTTTAACCACTGCCTACATTGTTGGGAACACCCACCGAGGAACAGTGGCCGACTATGACGAAGCTTCCTGATTACAAGGTAAATTTAGTGGCTGATTTTCTCTTGACAGCAGCCTTGGACGTTGGTTCCAACACAAGATTTTTGGACCTTTTTTCCAATAAAGACACTGCTACTCTTGTATTCTTCCACCAGCCATATCCCATGTATCCAGCCACCACATCACTGGTGAACGTGGTTCCCAAGCTAAGCAGCACAGGACGAGATCTACTGCAGGTACTTCAACATTTCTATTTATAAAAAAAATAATTCAATGCATGACTGTTGTCAGCTTTTATGCTTTGCACAGATTGTTGCTCATTAAAACCTTTCCCTTGATCTGATCCAGAACCTGTTGAAATGTAATCCTGTCCAGAGGATTTCAGCGGAAGAGGCCTTGCAGCACCCTTACTTTGCTGATTTCTGCCCACCCTAAACACTAAATTGCTCCTTACTGAGGATCAGAGACACAGGAACCAATAATCCATCACTCGTTTTATCATTAGAACCACCTCTCAAACCCCTCACTGGTACTTGAGCAGTTCGTTCTTTTGTGCCTGTGTGTGAAACAAAGCCCCGGTGGCTCTGCTGTGTTTTAGGGCCTTCTAAGTTAAATGCCTGTGTAATTTGGTCCAAACACACCTCAGCCAGTTAGCACCAACATGAGCAGATGTTGCATTGAATAAATTTTTTTTTATATATTCCTAGAATTGTTTATTTCCTGCTATTTTGCCTGTTTTAATAGTGTTTTATTATCAGAATTTTAATTTATTAAGTTTTAACTGGGATTTATCCTAATCGATACTCATTTAACTTGTTTAATTATCTCAGACGCTTGAGAATCAAAGTGCTTGTATATAACGCATCAATTACTCACTCAGCCTTTGTAAAAGATTCAGTAGTATCCCTAAGGAAGTAGCTTAAACCGACTGAATCTGCAGAGATGTGTACAGACATTTTAATCCCCTTAACAAATATTTATACTAGCAGGAATGGGAAAATGTGAAAGTAAATGAGCTCAGACAGTGACTGAAATCCTGTGACTCTGGACAAATAATGTAAAGATGGCAGTAGATGTGAAGTCTTTTATGAGATTTTTTGCACACACTGATTTTATTATTATTGTACCCACTTGGGTACTTGACACAGACCAAACAGACAGCTCAGTTCTGCATTAACGTGTCCGGACAGTCCCCAAATCACGTCACACAACCTTTGATCAGAGCTGGATCAGTCCCTCGTTCTCTCTCTGAACTTCCACATACAACATCTATGTGCAGTAAAGATGCACCAAACCTGATCTTTAAGTAGTTTTGTGTATATATACAAATCTATAGCGTCAGCCATTTATTATGACCATGTTTAAATCTGTAAGTCACAAGATCCGTGTATATTTATCTAAATTTTTGGAGCTTGTTTGTTAGTGGTAAGTTGCCAAAAGCTACAAAAGGCCATGCTCGTCTACAACGCGACTCATTTATCTCATCAGAGGTTTAAATGCTTATGGACATTCACTAATTGTGTCTATTTCTAGATTGCGAAATAATAGAAACTAATTTAGTTCTTTCTTAGTTATTTCATGCAATTTATCTGTTTTTCCTATTTCCACCAGTAGTGTTCATTAACTTTACACTTCTTCAAAAAATTACAGCCATCAATAAATAGAATAGTGACATTTTATGGCTCTTTTATATTTATTATGGTTTATATATTTTGGGGGGTAGAAATGCAAATAAAATGACAAGAATCAGTTTCACATTTTTTATGATTGTTTTCACCAGTATCAGTTTCCATTTGTAACATGTTATAACAGCTGTTTGTTTCATCTCCATGGTTACTGCTGCTGTATGAAGCCAACAGCATGAGTATTGTCTAACGCATCTGTCTCACTAAACCGTTTTTCCATTTAATTATGTGAGACAATGAATGCATGTATTTATTAAGAATGGAGTGTTTTTATTCTTATTTATGAAATGTACCAAACATTTTTCTATTGTACAGAAACATTCTCTGTAGAAAAGTTGTTTTATTGCCTCTTTTTAGATTTTGTTTTACAGCTTTTTCAAACTTAAATGAAGGGTTGGTTTTGCACTTTGACCTCTGTTTTGGCTAGAACCTGGGAGAAACATTGTGACTGTATGTTTAAGCCACTAAGACACAGTAAAATCTGCACAAATATATCTTTTCAATTATATGTGAAATTATTTGCAGGATTTTTAATGCAGATTTTCTATTTTTGTTGGTTTGATCAACACAAAATGTGGATTAGTAATGAAATATAGACAGTTCAGTAATGGAAAGTTTTCCTAATTAGTACAATTTTGAATGTTTCACATCATTCTAAGTCTTGGAATTTATCATTTGTATCAGATTTTTGTATCTGATAAGATTATTGAGCAGAAAACACTTATTTTTTAAATATGATTGGTCACTATGAAAGTAACATGCAGGCCGAATGTGAAAATAGTCATTTACCCCTATTTCCTGCATTAGCTGCTGATAGTCGGGCAAACATGCAGATTACAAAAGCCAGTCAGATCTCCGTCACCCTGAAAATTTGCATTCATGGACTCACCCATCTTGGTTTGCAATGGGGGAACACTGTTATTGATTTAGGCCCAATCCCAATACTCGCACTGCGCCCTATATCTTCTGTGAAGTGCATTTGGAGGAAGTGTGCTGCAAGGCTTTGAGTGCATGGTACATGAGTGTCCAAATAATTGCCAAATTGGGACAAAAAGCATTGCATCATTGACCACTATGCATGCTGGGATGCTGGTAGCAGTGCTACATAATAAATAAATAAAACTTAACAACCAAAGAGATGTTTGAAAGAAATTTATATTCATTGCTGCTTTGTCCAAAAAATTCAGAGCATCAATTGTCCTAAAATTAACTACTTTCAATTGAAAATACATATTTTCAAAAAAGGCACTTGAGCCTTTTCTCCCGCAGCAATGGATTGTGGGTAATAGCCTTCAGTCAAGTCTGCATTGATGCAGACGTGGGATAAGTGCAGATTAAGGGTGCAAAAGGGGCGTGACCAACTTCCACACTCTGGCCAGGACTGCTCAATTGAAGGGTGCAAGTGTGGAAGTGCGAGTGTTAGGATTGTACCTCAGTGTGTTGTCTTCCCTCCTCCCTCTGGCCAATAAACGGCAGCAAAATGCATCCCCCCACCCCAACCCTGGCTGGAGAGATTTCTAGGGTAAACACTTTATAGCCGAGACAGCCGGTCCGTAATCCCGTGTTAAATCCTCAATGCAGTTTAGACTTATAAATGACGACGTGGTTATGTGTGTTATAACTATTTAATTTACAGTTCAGAGTTAAAATCACATATCTACAATAAAATGCACAGAGCACGTTAAGCCAGATGAAGCAACTCCAGTTCTCCAGATGCGTGTGTGTGTGCGTGCGTGTGTTGGGGAAAATCCTGTAGTTACCTGTAAGAATCGGTCTTAAAGGCACATTTTAGTTCTCTTTTTGAGCTGCACTGCATTTAAACACCCCATGCTTAAAACACCAGGAACACATTTGTCTTTCAGTGAAAGCTGGTTATAGAGGAAGTAGAGAAAACCAGTTAGATTCATCTGACTCCAGAAATACAGTTAGACAATACAAAGTAAATAGCATAGCTATTTTTACATAATTATACTTTAGATAATAGGAGTACATAATGTTCATGCAAAGGGGTGATGTGCTGTAAAATATTAGCATAGAATAGTTCAGATTGAAGTTTTAGGTGATGTGTAGAATACACTGCACAAAATTAAATGTTTAATTTACTTAAAGAGCAAGTCACCCCCAAATCAACTTTTTTGCTGATACACTATATAAATGAGTGTCTAACCGAGCTGTAGACACGTGTAGTCAATAATTTGGTGAGTTAGTGCATCTTAGTTAAAATTTAAATATTCTGCCTAAAACTGTCAGTGTTGCACCCTATTCAGGTAAAACTCTGCACTGCATTTGAATTTTAATCTGCCATCGCTATTGGCTAAGAGGTACCCTATGACATTAGCTGGTATCATATGATTTCATAATGTTGTTATGAGCCTGTGTGTATTTGCTGGCAGCTCTGTCCTCTCGGTCTGCCAGGCAACAGCATTTGTTGCGTTCTTTCCAACACGAAGTGGGAGTAAGACTATGGTAGGGGGTGACTTGCTCTTTAACCAACTTATCTCAACTGGTTCCACTAAACCTAATTGCTTATGTGAATATTAATATACATTGTTATACATTATGTTAAAAGTCAATGTATATTACTCTACATTTAAGCAACTAAGTTTGGAAGGTCCAGTTAACATAACTTGGTTAAGTCAATTCAACTTTTCATTTTTGGGAGTGTACTTCTCAGCTGTAGCTTTGCAGTAAAGATCAGTGGTTACTTCCGCCAGCTCAGGTACACTCTGCTGTACTTTTACTTGTAGTAAGGCAAGGGAGTTTGGGGGGACAAAGATACAGACCTGGGACATTCTCACATTCAGTATTTCCACAGTTTTCAGTAATGTCGGAGCACTTTCCTGCTCGCCACTTTTGAGTCGGTTCAGTAACAGCATCATAGCGTAACATGAATTGGCACCTTAACTCAGATGATGGTTTTTATACAATGGTCGCATCACTGTGGCTGTCAGTAGCTGTTCATTCTACATCCATCAATCTGTTTAAAACTGGAGAGTCCTTTTATTTTATAAATACATCTTAATACAGCACTATCTGATTTAATGCATTTATTGCTCGCAACACAATATATATGCTTTCTGCTTCCTGAAATGTAAAATGTTTCGTCTCTTAAGATGGTCTCTGGCTCAGCTTTTATTTCCTGCTGTTCTGTGGACACGTCAACAGTGTTAATAACTAGAGCCACAAATTAAAAGGCAGTCAGAACCAGTGGCTTTCACTGGATGGCTGATCTCCAAGGGTTTGTGCTTCACATCAACAGTCATCTAACACACAGATAACATCGTAATAAAGCTACAGAGTTATGAACAGCACTTGGTTTTTACCAAAAATAAGCAACATCACATTAAAAAGAAAAAAAAAAGTCTGTCTTTTTAACGGAAAGTGTCCACAAAGACTCCAACAAGAGAGGAAGTAGACTAATACGTATTTGAGTATGATGGGTAAATATAGTTTATTATACTTAATCATTTATACATAACAAAATTCTATTTGTGACATGTTCTGGTATAATGATAACTGTATACAGTGCTTAAAGTTTACATTCCATTTCTCATATAAATCAACCAAAGTGACGAGGGCTGAGGTTTGGATGTTTTGAGGCAAATTCTCATTCATCTAACAGTCTTTTCTGCTGTCGTTCACGTTCTGTCCAGAATGAAATCCAGACTTTCTGATGCCAACGTACAAACGAAGAAACACATTTTCTATTTATTCATGTGTATATAAATATCTATATTAATAAGTGTGTTTTTCTTTAATGGCATTTAATTGACGGTATTTACAAGTTTCTACCTAGTTTAGGAATGTCACCAGCCTTTCTGAAGCTCTACTTTGAGAATAGATTACGATCACAGGGGTTTGTGCTGATGAATACTTTTAAGACACTGATGTTCAAAAAGCAGCAGGCTAAACAACGACAACGTCAATTCAGACAATTTAAATAAAATGTTTTAGAGGTTTGGCACATTGAATGCTGACTTCTTAGGCAATAGATGCTATTTTCTTCAGGTTATATGAGCATAAATCTTTATCGTCCACCTCTCAGGAGACTCAGTGTTTATCATTATTGAGTTTTAAACCACCTGGAGATGAAAAAAAAACAACCTGGAAGACCTTTTGGTCCTCTTGCAGTTTCATAAATTCAAAAAGCATTTTCTTGCATTATCCCTTTTCATGGACGTAATTTTCACTTTAGAAGTGGGGGGGACACGGGGGGGGGGGGGGGGGGGGGGGGATCTTTACAGAATGTTCTAATGGGAAATAGGCTTCACTACAAATGGTTTGTTTTCTGCTTGGTCCTAGAGCTCAACCAGTGCAGATTTAATATAGCATGATGTTGTTTTTGGATGGTAAAAAGTGCAGGGGTCAAAACTTGACTTTGGAAAAAGTGGGGGGGACATGCCCCCCCCCCCCCCCCCCCCCCCCCCCCCCCCCCCCCCCCCCCAATTACGTTTTCTACAGTTGCACACAGCTGTTTCATTTGCTTTCAGGAAATATTAATTCTGCACAAGGACAGACTATGACAGACATCTATCCATGTAAAACAGGTCTGATATGCTTGAGATTGTCTACTTGCCAGCTGAGTTTTGGCAATTAATTTTCTTTCACCTTTTGTTTTAACTCCAACTTTCCTTTATGTTACTTTTCCTTTCAGGCTTGAGTAAAATAACTGAACTGATATTAAACCATATAGCAACAGCAGGTATTTTAGTTGTGCTTAATCACACACGATTAGAGATCGATCTTGAGTTCCCTTTGGCTCATCTGTGATCAGGATAAGCCTAACTGGTGGTGGAGAATAGACATAATATTTGACAGATAACAATAACATTTATTAAATATGTAGAAAGCATTCAAAGTGAAACCCTAATAAAAAACAAAGATGTGCTATATAGTAGCGTATGTTGAAAACAATTTCTCCCATTAGAGACTGATTTAGATTTATCTTTTTTTGCTACCATACTGTCTCCATCCTATTATTCTGGGTCCTTTTGTTTTTAAATTTCATAGAACAGGGAATGATATGTTGCTTTTTGAGATCGTTTAGCCCAATTCATGTTGTTAGTTAGGTTTTATGTAAAGAGCAAGTCACCCCCAAATGAACTTTTTTGTCGATAAACTAAATGAGTGTCTAATCGTGCTGTAGACACATGTAGTCAATAATTTGGCACTTTAGTGCATCTTGGTTCAAATGTAACGTTTCTACCCAAAACTGTCAGTGATGCGCCCTCTTCTGGTATTTAAAACTGTCACCACTATTGGATAAGAGGTACACTATGATGTTAGCTGTTACATTATGATGTCACAATGTCGTTGTGAACCTGTGTTTGTTGGCGGCTCTGCCCTCTCGGTCTGCCAGGCAATAACATTTGTAGCATTTTTCATACATGAAGTGGGAGGGGGAGTAATACTCTGCTAGGGGGTGACCTGCTCTTTAACCCTCCCACTGTCCTATAGGGTGTGACCCCGCGAGGAAAGTTGACCATTGAGCAGGACTGATGGTTTATCCCTTGAGGTCCACGTGAGGTGCTCACTCCTCACCCCTGCCACGTGGACCTCAAGGGATTAACCATCAACTCTGCTCAATGGTCAACTTTCCTTGCGGGGTCACACCCATTAGGGCAGTGGGAGGATTAAGTGATTCTTATTTTCTACATTCATGAATCCAAGATGTGGATGATGAAATTTAACCTAACTTTCTGAATTGAAAAGTTAAAGGTACAATGTGTAATAACAGTCTAATGTCTTAATTATGTTGGAAGGAAAGTTACATTGAACCATTTCTTTCTCAGCCGACCGGGTACTGTTAATTTTTCTCCTTCAAAACAGCTAAAGAGGGACGTCTGCTAACCCGTGAGGTTGTCGAATCTGCAGTGAGCTAAGGCCTGGAATGTACTTGCCTCACATAACGCACTGATTCGAAGTGTCGTTTGTGTGCGTCCACTGAAATTACTGCGACACGTTCACATTGAAATATACGGATAACTAGTAGGCGGAGTTGACTAAATGAGCGAGACAAACTCACCCTGGTCACTCTATCTCTGGTTTAGAGGTCTTTCATACCATCTACGATACTGCTGGTGTCCGTTTTTCTGCCGTAATCTCAAAATTAACCAGTTACTGATCACTTCTATTGACTCCATGTTTGTTTTGGTTGTACCCCACAAACCCAGGACTCTTTGCCTTATTTTATGACTAAACTAATCTTAGAAAAATATGCCATCTGATGCCAGTCTGAATCATCCCAGGACCTGTGTGTAACTAAGTGTAATGGTTGCATATGTACAAACTATTTCTTACTCTTTTTCTAAATGTGAAATAAGCACAGTTATCTAATTAATGAGACAATTCACAGTCTCTGTAGCAAAAGGCAACATTAGACACGAGTGTTTCAATTCAGATCTGTGAAGCTCTTTGTACCAACAATCAGCTCCTAAAGTAGAGCAGATTTTAAAAGAAAATGTAAATAAATATAGTCTGTTTGGGACTCCCGACATATGTAATATATTTTATTGGTTAGAGGCTGGAGAGTTTGGGTTTTTTGGATTGGTGAACAGCAGTGTGAGCAAAGTGCTATCACAAAACACAGTTCAGAGACCATTTTATTGGACACATTTATCCGATTGTTGGCTCTAAAGTTACTGCACAGAAAACAAATCTAAAAGAAAGCATAAATAAAATCAACATTGATGCCTTTGACATGGCAGTTTAACCTGAGTTTTGTTTGGGAAGTGGTCTCTCTTTTTGTTGTTTAACGACAGTATTCTATTTCTATTCAGGCATTGTTAAGCCGTACTTATTCGGAGCCTAAACTCAACCCTTTTAAAAAAAATACACAAATTGTTTCACAGTTTGCCGTCAAGTCTCCAGATGAGCTCCAAACCCTGCATTATGTTGTCAACATGCAAACTCCTCGAAGTTGCCTAAAGTCGGGTGACGAGGTAAGATGTTCGGCGTGAATCCGAGGCTATCCGAGTGACTCCGGAGGGTATCACAGGTGCTCTGCAAAACACAGGGGAGGGGAAGGACGAATTCAAACGGGTTAAGGGAAGAGAGATGCGGGAAGTGATGGAGGAAATAAAAGAGCCACGAGTGCACAGAACAAAAGGGGAGAAAATTCGGGAAAAAAACAGGTTAAATTGAAACATGAGGACATGATAATGAAACAAAAGTGATGAATAAGAGAAACAATAGTGATGAAAGAGAAGGCGATGAATGGATTCAGGGTGTTTAAAGTTCAAACACGAACGGTGAGAAGAGATATGGCATGGTGGGGTGAGATGAACAAAAAGGAGGGAAAAGAGAAAGAAAACAGCACATTTTAGCACATCTGGTTTATGCTCTAACAAATGATATTCTCATATATTTGGGAGTTTGAAACACCCACACACTACATGTCTGCATTTCCATCTGAATACAGAACTGCCAACTGATTAGATAACGTTAGATTTACGACGGCAAATAAATTAACATTCCGGCAGGAAAACAGCCTTTTGTATAAAATAAAACTCACTGCATGCAGACCTGCGATAACATCACAAAGTAATGCATATAGCAATGCTGTCGACACGGGCCATAAACGCATCACCTCTAAGTGACTGCACTGTAAGTGGAAAGCATAGTTCTATAATATAATATATCCATCCATCCATTTTCTGAACACGCTTGTCCACGTAGGGTCGTGGGGGGGGGGGGGGCTGGCGCCTATGTCCAGCGGTCAATGGGCAATCAGGTGGGGTACACCCTGGACAGAGAGCCAATCAATCGCAGGGCAACACAGAGACACACAGGACAAACAATCATGCACACACACACACCTAAGGAAAATTCAGACAGACCAATTAACCTAACAGTCATGTTTTTGGACTGTGGGAGGAAGCCGGAGTACCCGGAGAGAACCCACGCATGCACAGGGAGAACATGCAAACTCCCTGCAGAAAGATCCCAGGCCGGGAAGCGAACCCAGGACTCACTCGCTGCAAGGCAACAGCTCTAACCACTGCATAGCCCATAATATAATATAATTTAATATAAATTTACTTTGCACTTAGACTTTTTTTCCAGTTTTATAGTGCAAAGAGTAAAAAGCTTAGAGAATCCAACGAATTCTTGTCTTTATCTGAGCCAATAGAACACAAACATCACGACTGGCCTATCCTGACACAGTGATTGATATTAAAATGCTCATCAGAGCTGTTAATCACCCCTTTTTTTACACACTACCAACCAGATCATGTATACCCACTGAGGAAACAACATATGAGATGGTCTGAAGTATGAATGAACGAGAGGGACAGCGGGGGAGGGATCATCTATTATCAAGGGGGTGTGCTACCTGGGGGCATGATTAGGCGTGACACCAGGGCTGGTTGGGTTCTCTGGAAACTCCTGGAATAGACATGATGAAAAGAAAGATGGGTGAGGGTGACTGAAATGAAATAAAGCACAACATAAGTGTTAGAAGCCTAATTCTTGAGGGAATGCTGTGGGATAAAGAAGAGGTTCTGTCCTCTTCAGTTTTAATATAAATTTAAAGTTTTTTTTTCTAAATAAGCAGGGTGAGTAAACACAGTTTGGTGTCAGACGTGATGACCAATAAAGAAAATTAAGAAACAGACTAATTACAGATAAATTGCGTAGTTCTAATGGACAATGGAGAATGGTGGCAATGCAAATGTTTGGACACCCATGATAAAAATTCCTGTTACAGTGGAAGGTTAAACGAGCAGAAAATGAACTGAAAAGGTTTTCATATCTGCGTTACGTTATTAAGAGAGTTTTATTTTTATTTTACTTTCTTATTAATGGGAAGTATGTCCCGGGTCTGAAAACTTCCAACACTTATTTAAAGGGGACACATTATGTTAAATTCTGCATCCTTTTGTGCTGCCTGTCCATTCATTTTTGTCAGCGTTTGGTTTTAGGAATTATGTGCCTAAAACAAGCCAATTCAAATTGTCCCTGTTTGTGATGTCACAAAAAGGAAAATGAGAAAAGAATCATCTCTCACGTGCAAGACTGAGCTGCTTCTGTAGGATCAGTGGCTCTACTCCAAACCCCCCCTAGATATCAAAAGCCCTTTTTACAGGACACACCATGCCGGAGTCGGGTCACGGGGGCAGTAGCTTAAGGCGAGGAGGCCCAGAATTCCCTCTCCCCAGCCACTTGGGCCAGCTCCTCCGGGGGAATCCCAAGGCGTTCCCTGGCCAGGTGAGAGACATAGTCCCTCCACGGTGTCCTGGGTCTACCTTTAGGTCTCCTCCCAGTTGGACATGCCCGGAAAACCTTACCAGGGAGGCGTTCAGGATGCATCCTGACCAGATGCCCGAGCCATCTCAACTGGCTCCTCTCGATGTGGAGGAGCAGCGGGTCTACTCCGAGCCCCTGCCAAATGACCGAGCTTCTCACCCTATCTCTAAGGAAGAGCCCAGCCACTCTTCGGAGAAAACTCATTTCGGCCGCTTGTATCCGTGATCTCGTTCTTTCGGTCAGTACCCAAAGCTCGTGACCATAGGTGAGGGTAGGAACATAGATCGACCGGTAAATCAAGAGCTTCGCCTTCTGACTCAGCTCTCTCTTCACCACGACAGACCGGTACAAAGCCCGCATCTCTGCAGATGCAGCACCAATCCACCTATTGATCTCATGCTGCAGTTTTCCCTCACTCGTGAACAAGACCCCGAGATACTTAAACTATTCCACTTGGGGCAGGACCTCATCCCTGACCCAGAGAAGGCATTCTACCCTTTTCCGAATCAAGACCATGGTCTCAGATTTAGAGGAACTGATTCTCATCCCAGCTGCTTCACACTCGGCTGCGAACTGCTCCAGCGAAAGCTGAATATCACGTTCTGATTAAGCCAACAGGACCACAACATCTGCAAAAAGCAGAGACCTGATCCTCAGGCCACCAAAACGGATGCCCTCCACACCTTGGCGGCACCTAGAAATCCTGTCCATGAAGGTTATGAACAGAATCGGTGACAAAGGGCAGCCTTGGCGGAGTCCAACTCTCACTAGGAACGAGCCCGACTTACTGCCGGCAATGTGGACCAAGCTCTGACACCGGTCATACAGAGACCTAACAGCCCGCATCAGAGGGCCTGGTACCCCATACTCCCGGAGTACCCCCCCACAGGGCCCCCCGAGGGACGCGGTCAAACGCCTTCTCCAAATCCACAAAACACATGTAGACTGGTTGGGCAAATTCCCACGCACCCTCCAGGATCCCCCTAAGGGTATAGAGCTGGTCCAGTGTTCCACGGCCAGGACGAAAACCACATTGCTCCTCCTGAATCTGAGGTTCAACAATCCGACGGACCCTCCTCTCCAGAACCCCTGAATAGACCTTACCAGGAAGGCTCTGGAGTGTGATCCCCCTGTAGTTGGAACACACCCTGCGGTCCCCCTTTTAAAATAAGGGGACCACCACCCCGGTCTGCCAGTCCAGTGGGACTGCCCCCGATGTCCACGCGATATTGCAGAGCCGCGTCAGCCAACACAGCCCCACAACATCCAGAGCCTTAAGGAACTCCGGGCAGATCTCATCCACCCCTGGAGCCTTGCCACAAAGGAGCTTTTAACCACCTCAGTGACCTCAGCACCAGAGATTTGAGAGGCCAACCCAAAGTCCCCAGACTCTGCTTCCTCACTGGAAGACGTGTCACCTAATCTTTTATAAAACTGTCATGATTGTGCCACATTACCGCCATGGTCTGATCTTATAAACAACCTTTATCCTCCCCAGGGTGCCACGGCTAATCCTGTTTTGCAAACGCTATGGTCCTGTAAAAACAGCTAATGCTTCTCAGTTAGTAGCACCCTCAGTGGTGGATGGGTGGGCATGATCAGCTCTAGCCCGTTTTTTTAAAGTGACAGAGCCCTGAAACGACTCATTCTGGAAGATACTGAAACTGCCAATGATAAAACAGCAAAAATTACTTGATGTGAGAGGGATTTTATGCAAAGATCTTCATGAACATATTTCATATTGACCATTAAATTAGTTGAATAAATGTAGAATTGTAAAAAGTAAAGTAGTTTAACCCTTTAACTGGCAGATCAACCAGGTGGACATTAGTTTTTCTATCAAATAAAAATGAATTCAATTCAAATAAAAACCTTAAAGAATGTTTAAGCATTATTAAAAAGGTTAAACACTATTAACATAAATTATTATTACAATAGAATTATTATTGCCCTTCACTGAATGGAGAGCAATCCTCTGATCTTGATATTGATGTAAATATGAGGATATTAATTGAAAAAGCACATTTAAGCAACCAGAGATAATAATATGAAGCCTTTTCTAGAAACAATGGGTGAAAATCCCACGATCAACAACTTACTGCTGATGACATTGCCGGACGCACTAAATGTTTAGGCTTCACCTTTTCTGATTGGGATTTTTTAAGAAGTAAAATGTAATTCTGTCTAAAATATTATTTAAGTGTTCGCGGATCATCAGTAACAGGACTTTCTGAATGGATAGACAAACCTTTTGCACGATGATGACGGACAGTTAAACAAGTACAGGAGGTAAATCTCTGGTAAGTGAACATTTGACATGAATGAAACAGAACAGTAAACCCAAAACTGAAAAAAATTTAAATAAAAAATAAACATGTGTGTGACCCATTTAATTAAAAAATTAATCCTTCTTTAAAAGGCTATTATTTTTTACAATCGTCCCACTGTAAATGACAATTTACATTTTCCACAATATTTTATTTTTATTGCCAGTGGCTTTGGAACTGGAGGCAATCAAGCATGCAACAGCAAAATGCCCACACAAACAAATGGGGAATAAATTGGAAAAATGAAGAAATATCTCCTTTTTTTCCACCGTTTTGACACAAATTACACTGTTTGCATTTCTCCTAAACAATCAAGAATGATAGCTCACTCATTCATTCAGACATTTTCTAAACCTGCCAAATCTACTTTAGGACTGAAAAGTGTGGGTGCTGGAGCCAATCCCAGATTAGCACACACATTCTTATTGTAAAGGTAAATCACCAACTAACCTTAGACTGAGGGAGAAAACCCCAGCACATGCAGAATGACAACAAGCAAACTCCACACACAAAAGTCCTGATTGTGATTTAACCCAAAGACCTTTATACCGCTCCACAAAACCTCAAGGCACAAAAATGTCTTGTGCAACAGAAAACAAGTACAGATTCGTGTTCCTAGTTTGTGATTCTGCACCTTTGCTGAATGGATCATAAGCAGAAAGGAATTAATCTGACAATAGGAATAACAAAATCTATAAACATGAGTTTACAATGTGACTGCAAATGTTTTATTTCCAAATACCGACTTGAGTCATATCTCTGCTGCTATAATCTGATAATCTGCTGTACCCTGTTATGTTTTGGGTTTATTTCTGCTGCGTGTGCTGAACAGATGCCGACTGCTAACATTAAAAAGGTGCGTTTCTGCAATAAATCCCTTCTAACAGCCCCGTGGAAATCTTAAACAACCGTCAGAGGGAGGCGGAGGTGCCTTTGGATGCTGTGCGTCTTGGGCTTCCTGACAGGGTTGCGGAAGGCACTTTATAAATAAAGCTTTGATTGATTGATTGATTGAAATAACCGAGTTCAACAAGCTGCTGTGATTTAGGCTGAAACGTCTCACGTTTGTTTCATAAAATGAATCAGTTTTACAGCGTTAATGGTTTTAAAAAACTCGTGATTCTTCTTCTCTCTGGTGACTCTGTTCTGCATCTTTCTACCAGTGTCAGGGTGTGAAACAAAGGAGCAACAACAGATTTTAATGCTTTCATCAAAAGATTGGCTGACATTGAGAAAGCTACTCTGGGAACACCATAAAGGGATTCGAATGACGACATAAGGACTTTAACTTCTGAAAATGAGAGTACAATTAAAAAAATGTCATAGTTTGCCTGTGATTGAGGTCAAAGTGCAGAACATAATTGAACTTCTTTGTAATTAATCCATGAAACTTTCACAGTCAAATTGTTCATTTATCTGCTTTGGATGGGTGTAACTATTATTATGTTGCTTATATTACAAACAGAAAACCTGGGCTTTGTGTCATTTTCTAAAAAAAGAACTCGTTTTGACATAATAGCGATGTTGTGGCTTTGCTCGCTCTCTGATGCTGTCGGATAAAAGCATTCCAAGTCTAAGCAGGCTTCTTATTCATCTTCCTGAGCTCCTCATCATAATTTTATTCAGTCAGATGCATTCTGGGAGACTAAAATAATTACCAGATTGTCGCTCTGACAACGCTGCGGTCGTTTCTTGCGCATGAAGTAACCCAGAACCTTATCCTTAAACACCTAAATGGAGAAAAACATTAAGAATTGGTTAACAAATCATCCAGATTACAGCTGAAGACATTTAACTTTATGGAACAGTTTATTATTTGCTTTGTCGCTGATGATGATGAGGTGCACTACACCTTGTGGATTGAGATATCACATTTTGACATTTTTTCCATAAGCCACTTTTTCCATGAGGGTTTTATATGAATAATGCCAGGTGATTTGTCTGGAGATTGCCTATCTCCAGCGGTCAATGGGCAATCAGGTGGGGTACACCCTGGACAAAGTGCCAGTCCATCGCAGGGCAACACAGAGACACAGAGCTAACAGTCATGCACACACACACACTCACACCTAAGGACAATTTAGACAGACCAATCAACCTAACAGTCATATTTTTGGACTGTGGGAGGAAGCCGGAGTACCCGGAGAGAACCCACGCATGCACAGGGAGAACATGCAAACTCCATGAAGAAAGATCCCAGGCCGGGAAGCAAACCCAGGACCTTCTTGCTGCAAGGCAACAGCTCTAACCACTGTGCAGCCCTGCTCTGCAACATGGATGTTTTATCTTCACAAATAACCAAGGGGGCAGTTAAGGCTGCTGGCTTTGGTCCCAACACGGAAGTGGCAAAATTGCAGTTCCACCCTCATCTGCTAGGGGCTGACACCAGAAGTGAGCAAATCCTCATTGACTCCCATGTTAAAAATGCCAACAGCTGGCTGGCTGACTGGGTACCGAAACTCGTAAGCTGATAGCTAGAAGAGGCTTTGGAGCTTTGCTGCTCCACTGTGGTAAAATATGGCAGGGAATAGAGGCAGAAGACTGTTTTCACGTTCAGCCTGTAGGTGAAACTAAGAGTGACCAAATACATTTAAAAAATAGCAAGTAAAAAACTGTTTCTCAGTGAACTTGGTCTTTTATGTACCGGTAATTGATCAGTATTGCATTATTACAATGTTATCTTGATTGCATGTTTTACTAGTACTATGAAACACTACTCTGCATGAATTCATCCAATTCTGATATCAAAACAAAAAAATAGAAATACATTTATGGGCTTCATTTGTCATGTTGTGCTGCATTTTTAACTCTCCACCTAAGAGTGCATCACAGTCAAGAGTATTAGCTGTTAAGAGTGCAGGTGTGAACAAATTCTCAATCACTCTTGAGGGTTTATGTGTAAAACTGGCACCAGCAGAAAAATCCTGAGCTCTATAACCCTAATCACTAAGCATAATTAGGATAATTGTTACAGATTACATAGACTTATAATGAAATTTAAAAGTACATAAAACATTTTCAACAGCTTTAGCCTCCATTTTTAAATAAAAACAAAATAAAGTATGTTCTTATTTGTTAAAAAAGGACAATAGCATTACCTCATATAGGTAGTCAAATATTTCTAGTATTGTCAGAACACTGGCTCCAATGAACAGCCCCATCTGGCCTCCAATGTCACCTACAGGACAAGAGAGATTAAAGATACAGGCAGGTACAGTAACTGAACAATGGTGACGCCATTCCCAGTGCTGTCACGGCTAATCTTTAAGCAAATCTGAACAGGATTCTCAAAAGTGTCCACGCAGGTTCAACTTCTCATCAGCACCAACCTCGCTGCCCTTTCAAGAGCATCAGATTATGAAATTATATTTTTCCTTTCTGCAAGTTCAGAGAGGAACCCTCAAAGTAGCGAACAAGGATCTGCTGAGTGCTGATACCAAAGTCATACATGTTTTTATCCCTCTTTCAAATTCAGTCAAATTCTTACCGAGAAGCCCTGCAATCTCATAGGCCTTCTTCTGCTCGATTTTCTCATAATTCAGAGCTTCAAAGAAGATGTCCAACACCAATATATTATCTCTGCAAAGAAGACAGACGAGAGCACAGCCAGCATGCATTACTTCCTGTGGAGCTAGAAACCCTAAAAGACAATTCACTTTCCTCTGGTCATTTTGTTTCATTATTGTTGCATTGAAGGTGAACGATGGAGACTCAGGTCAGTTCATCTACAGAAAAACAACTAAACAACTGACTGAAACTAATTCATACTTACCCAATATATTGCTCTGTTTTGTTGAATTTCTTAGCCAGATACTTAGCAGATGCCTTACTGGGGATCTTAACCATGGACAGCTCCTTGCCATAGCGAGTCATGTTGCAGGGGGTCTGACACACACAGTAATCGTTGTCTTTCTCTACCAAAAAGTCTGTGGATGATCAAAGTCGTTTAGAAATATTTCCAGGAGGAATAAAACAAACCTGCACACAGCGGCTCTCGGTTCAGTTTTAGCTAAAAATATCGCTACACGAAAGAGAAACGTACTCGCTGCCATCGTTCACTTTCCATGAAAGCAAATAATGACCGAAGCCCATAATAATAACACAGCAGAGAAAAATAAAACTGGTGGGGTTTGTTTGAGGCCGGTGAAGCAGTCACATCAAAAATCTCCATAATGGAATTATAACACTATTTTTCAGCACTATCTGATCTCAAAGTCATTTCAAGCTGAAGCTAATAAAAGCACTATCTAATGCCTGGCAGTGCTGCTGAACTTCTGATTAAGTGTTGATAATTGTTTTGAAAAGTGTAACATTTCAAGCCGAGCTCGAGAAAGTGTGCGTGGGCTCACCTAGAGCTGGGTCAGCGCACTCTTTATACTGCTCAGGTGTGCAAACTGTTGAAGTCCCTGTTTGAAAGGATTTCCAGAAGAGAATCAGCATGTAGGACAACAAGAAAGCTGCTTCTCATGAGTGTGAGTTCATACCCGGCATGTGAACCATCCTGCAGTTGCAGTTCTCCAGCAGGTAGCGAGTTTCACAGTCAATGCGGCACGCAGTGATGCTGTACGTGGAGAAGAATTCAGAGTCTATCGGAGTGGACTTGCAATCTCCCCAAGGCGGTGGGAGGTACTGAAGCTGAAAGAGCAAAACAGCATGTCTTCCCTCAGTATGTCAGCTCGCAAGGACTACACCTAATAAAAAGACAAAATGCAAAGCCCTGTGCAGCAGAAGTATAAAAAAGGACAAGCTGAAACAAACAAACGCTCACAACAAATCATAAAACAGATGCTTTTACACAGAGACTAAAAATTGGCACAGCATGTCCAGTCAGAACAACATTATCGCTTATGTGTAGCAGCAAGCAGATGCCATGCAGAACATTACTGATGCAGGTCTAGTCCCTGGCAGGAAGCAGAGTACCATGGGAATGGAGACAGGCCTGGGAACAGGAACCTGGTAGTTTCAGACAGGACACCACAACCAATGGACAATTTTTATGACTCATGCACCTTTAAAAGGTATCAAATGTTGATTTTCAAGTTGTGTATTAAAACGTTCATGTGTTTACTTCAGAAAAATCCGCTTTAGCCTCTTACATTCGATAAAAATGGTTAAATTATTTTGCTCATTCAAAAGATCATTAAAATATGACAAAAACTATGGAAAATTTAACTTAATTTGACACACAAACACTCAATGGCCACCTTATTGGGTACACCTGTCCAACTGCTCATTATGCAAATTACTATTCAGCCAATCACATGGTGGCAACTGAGTGCATATAGGCATGATGACATGGTCAAGATGATTCGCTGCAGTTCAAACTGAGCTTCAGAATGGGGAAGAACGGTGTTATAAGTGACTTTGAACGTGGCATGGTTGTTGATGCCAGACAGGCTGCTCTGAGCATTTCAGAAACTGATGATCTTCTGGGATTGTTGTGCACAACCATCTCTAGGGTTTACAGAGAATGGTCTGAAAAAGGGAAAACATCCAGTGAGCAGCAGTGCTGCGGGTGAAAATGCCTTGTGGATACCAGAGGTCAAAGGAGAATGGCCAGACTGGTTCAAGATGTTAAAAGGCAACAGTAACTCAAATAAACCACTCATCACAACCAAGGTATGCAGGACTGCATCTCTGAAAGCACAACACATCGAACCTTAAGGCAGATGGGCTACAGCAGCAGAAGACACCGGGTGCCACTCCTGTCAGCTAAGAACAGGAAACCGAGGCTACAATTCAGCTCACCATAACTGGACAATAGAAGATTGGAAAAATGTTGCCTGGTCTGATGAGTCTCAATTTCTGCTGCAACATTCGGATGGTAGGGTCAGAATTTGGTGTCAACAACATGAAAGCATGGATCCATCTTGCCTTGTATCAATGGTTCAGGTTGGTGGTGGTGGTGTAATGGTGTGGGGGACATTTTCTTGGTGCACTTTGGGCCCCTGAGTACTAACTGATCATCGTTGCAACACCACAGCCTACCTGAGTATTGTTGCTGACCATGTCCATGCCTTTATGACCACAGTGTACCCATCTTCTGATGGCTACTTCCAGCAGGATAATGTTCCATGTCATAAAGCTCAAATCATCTCAGTCTGGTTTCTTGAACATGACAACGAGTTTGCTGTACTCAAATGGCCTCTACAGCCACCAGATCGCAGTCCAATAGAGCATCTTTGGGATGTGGTGGAACGGGAGACTTGCATCATGGATGTGCAGCCGACACATCTGCAGCAACTGCTGATGCTATCGTGTTAATATAGACCAAAGTATCTGAGGAACGTTTCCAGTACCTTGTTGAATCTGTGTCACGGAGGATTAAGGAAAAAGGAGGTCCAACCTCGTCCTAGCAAGGTGTACCCAATAAAATGGGCAGTGTGTGTGTGTGTGTTTTCATTCAGAACTTCTTTTTATGCATGCAACAAACTGACCTCTAACCACTAACTGGACTTTTAATGTCTTCTTTGCAGCTGTTTATTCAGCACATAATATTCATTTCATGGCAAAAGAAAACAAATTGTCCATGAAGGCCAGCGATGCTTAAGTATTTTGTATTTGAAGCAGCTCCTAATTGCAGCTCCAACTAGCCGGTAAAGGCTCATTTCTACATCACAGAAGAAATGTGTTGTCGCCACCGGCTCTAACCAGGCTGAAGCCAACAATCCGGTGATCATTTAGTCGACGAAGAGTGACAGAGATTTAACCAACTCGTTGACAGAGTGGATTTAAACTGGCAAACATGATTAAGCTTTTATTGAAGTCCCTTTCTAACCCGCAGACTCGCCTCTGTGGACATAAACGGGAGAGAAAGGCCCGATGTGAGGTCAGACTCTCTATGGATGATAAACTCTATTGAATCACACTGCCTGATCCTTTCAAATGATATCATTCAGGGATCCGATGGATTGCTCTGCTGAGACATAAAAGCAAAAAGAAAAGGATGCTCTCAAAGAAACGAGGGGATAAAACCTAACCAGACAGAGTCGGATAGTCTGCTTAAACAAATAACTACTAATACTGATGAACTCAATGAAGACGACAAGGAAAACACACTGCAGCCACACACAAGAGGGGTGGGGGCAGATCCATTCCTTGGGTGGGGGGGTGGGGGTGGAGTAAAACCAGCGGATAAAATGTGAGGAACTCAGCAAGACTGTAGCATCGTAACAATACAGGTGTTTGTAGCATGCAGCAGGCCCAGTCACACATACTGTACGCTACCCTCTGCTCTTGGGTAGAAACGAATGTTTGGAAGCCGGGGGCGACCCCAAAGCCCAGCTCATGGAGGAAGGGAGGCTCTGACTGGGAATGAAGCTGCACCTTTATGCCGGCCTCATAGGACGTCTCATCTAAGGGGTGGGGTGGGGGGGGTGAGACACAGCCCTGATCATTATCAAAATAAAAAGGATAACCAACATCGCTCCGCCAAACAAACACGTTGTTGGGAGAGTTAAACTGTGGCCTCATGATAAATAAGCAGAATTTGCATTTTACCATTTAGCTGCTAAAAATAAATTTAAATCAGACATCACTGACAAAAGAAACTCATGAATAAAACGTGTAAGCATTTGATTCTGTGACTACACTGAGCTCCAAGGACAGTACGAGCTGTTCTTATATCGTGATCTTCAGAAGGAAACTTTATGATGGTGATAAATAGATCCGACTCTTTTGTTTAACGATGGCTGAATGATGGAAAAATTGGAAGTTTCATGAAAAGAACAACAACTCAAGAACGAGATCCGTTTAGCCAGAAATTTCATTTGTCATCTTTTTGTGGTGTCCCAGTGTCTGTCTCAATCATCCCATGCTATTCTGCTGCAACCAAGCTTTTTCATCACTTAGATCATGCTGATGAAGCGACCATGTTGATTACCTTTCAGAGCAAAATCATTCAAATCTAGCTCCATTAATTGCTTAAGAAATTAATTAGATTTGCAGCTCACATATTCATTATTTCACCAGAACAGATTATGTGTTAGAAATCCTAATGAGCCCGTAGCTCAATACAGAAATACACTCGATTGTAATCATTATAATCCTTTCAAAACCTAAAATCCTGCCAGCAAAGCTCTTATTACCTTTTATATTTTCACATTTCTCTTTTCTGTCCCTGGATTTGTCTAAAAATTCAAACAAAATTGTTTGTTTCGTAGGCTAATCTTTGAAAAACCTAATAAAAAATCTGAATGTGATTTCTTTGGCAACACCACGCGAAAGCTCCACACTTCCATTAGATCTAAATGGGAAATCCATGCAAGCTCGCTGTTATGACTTTCCATGAGGTCTTTTCGATCAATTCAGGTTTTACTATTGCTATTACTTTTCATCCTTCAGTGACGGCGGTGGAGTCACCGTTGGTGCTGCAAATTCTCAGCAGTCAACAAACCTGCCACGGGCTTTTTCCTTCATATAATTTTGTGCCGTTAAATCATACCGTAGATTTTTGCTTTCACCAGAAAATGTGCTCAAAATTATTTTTAGAGCTGCTAGAATAAAAGTAATTTGTTTAAAAAATACTCCATGGCAGATGCACAGTTTTTCCCTCCAGAAATCCCAGAATTCAGATATGGCTCTAAAAAAATGCTAATTAAGACATTTTTAAAGAACTATTCAGAATTTAAAGGATTTTTCAAAGTGTGTTTCTGAGTAAAAGTGATAAATAATTATCATTTTACCAACTGCAGATAGCTTTGTGAACTGCCTTTTTACTGAGAAATAGCATTTACATTTATCAGGACTGACGAAACAAACAGCTAAGATCAAAGTGTGTTGTGATCTGAAAAAGGCTGCAACATTCATAATTCCTTAATAGTTATAATACTGGCAAATATCTTATGCACTTTTGCACTGCTGTCAATTTTGCACAGAAAATAAATCAAATTTACTAAAAATATCTGGTTATTTGCATGATTTTGCACCAGCAGCAGTAAAATGTAGCATTTCCGTTTCCAGTGCATCCACAGGTCAATTCCTGCAGGATTTTCTTTACATGTGTACTTAAACACATGAATGCAAAATAACGCAGCAACAGTCTGCTTTGGATGTGGGTCAGTTTGGATAAGCTTATTTTTAACCCATCAATATGCTCTGAATGATCATGTCGTTGTGTGAATTCAGTCTGAATGCACCACTGGAGACAATTTCCAGAGTTGTCAAAAAGCTGCATTCTAATTTTAACCACAGTAATATCAGGACTCAAACTGAGGTGTTATGGCTGTCAGGTCTAGAGTGTTTCAGGTTTTGAGAGGCAAAACACGCTTGCACTGAATAATTTCTGGGCTCATTGCTGCTTTTATTCCTCAGTTTCGTTTAACAGACACCATATTTACTCCACTCTTCCCACACAAAGTAAATCTGATTTTGCTCCACGCACTGTGACAAAACGAAAGATAATAGATGCTGGCTGAGGCAGGGCTTTTATGGAACAAACACTGAATGAAGCAGAGCAGGAAGAGGTCAATGTCGAAGGCCGATCATTCTGTACCAGTTGCTGCTGACATGACACAAAAGTTTGAAAACCAGGAGCCACACCAAATCCCAGCTGGTCAATGAAGGGCGGCTCGTCCTGGCTGTGGATCTGAACCTTGATGCCTGCTTCGTAGGATGTCTCATCTGTGGATACAGCACGCCAAGAACATGTGACAACAAGTGCGGCCATCTGAATGAAGCTGGTCTTTGGGACGTTAAATGTCTATTGGTGGAAGTATAATAGAGATGTTTAAATTTACAACTAGAGTTATTACATGATGTTAAGTTTATGAATGCACTGACCGAGGGTGATGTTGTACAGAGTAAACAGGAAACAATTTGTCAGTGAGAGCAATGTATTATATCTGATGTCAGTGAAACACCCGGGGACACATATCATGATTATTTACTTAAACATGATAGTATTTTTTTTTATTTTGCTTTAAAGTTTATCCCCATGATTAAAAGACCAAGTTCAGTAATTTTTCCAACACATTTGCAGCGGTCTTCAGTATAAATGAATGACTTGTGGGGAAAAAAGCTCTGGTGCTCCTGTTTCAAGAGCTAGAAGTGAGCCAGATGAGAGGTAAGCAGAAAACAGCAGGATTTGGTGTCTTACTTCCTGATGTTTGGGCATCTTGCCTCTGATTGGCTAACAGCAACACCACTTTACAACTGACTCCATTTGCTTTTACCTCCACAAATAACAAGCCTGAAGAAGTTATGTCATGCTGCTAACTCTAACGGTTACTCGAGACAAAGGACCATTAATATGTTTATGTTTATGTATTTTGCAGACGCTTTTGTCCAAAGCGACTTACAAGTGATAATCGGCATGATGCCCTTGAGGCTAACAACAACAATAACAACAACAACTTGACATCAATCATGGAGAGGAGGGAACAAGGGGTGGACAGTAGAGAGGGGGGACGGGTGCAGGGAGGGTGCTAGTTAAGAAGATGCTCTCTGAAGAGCATGGTCTTCAGGAGTTTCTTGAAAATTGAAAAGGAAGCCCCAGTTCTGGTAGTGCTTGGAAGGTCATTCCACATTTGTGGAACGATGCATGAGAAGAGTCTGGATTGTCCTGAGCGTGGTGTAGGCACTGCTAGCCGTCGACCCTGTGATGACCAGAGCGGCCAAGCCGAGACGTAAGCCTTTGCAAGAAGATTCAGGTAGATGGGAGCCGTACCATCTCAGACTTTGTATGCTAGTGTTAGCAATTTGAATTTGATGCGTGCTGCTAGCGGTAGCCAGTGTAGCTCAGTGAACAGAGGGGTGACGTGTGCTCTCTTTGGCTGATTGAAGACCAGACGCGCCGCTGCGTTCTGGACCATTTGAAGAGGTCTCACAGTACAGCCAGGAAGATCAGTTAGAAGGGCATTGCAGTAAATAAGATGAACACACCCTCTGCATCGTTACCTATAGGTTTCTAGAAAAATGAACTGAAGCCCAATAGTACCGTCCTCTTGGCTGTGTCATCACTCCCGAAAAATACATACATTTACAATTGGGGGCAGCTGATTGACAACCAACAAACTCTGCGCTGATACGAGCTAACTGAGCTAACCAAAGCTAACAGAGGTTGGCGGGCGCTTTTAGCAAGAAAACCGCAGCTGAGTGACTATGCTACCCTCTGGCTTCTAGGTTGTAACACTTAAGAGGCCGAGGCTGATTCCTTCCCTGGAGCAAGCAGGAAGGAAGTCGCTAGTGCTAGCACAGACGGCTCATCGACCACACCTAAGTATTCACAATTTCTATCTTAAATTACATCAAAATGGATGAATTACAAATAAATCTCCTTAGAGTTGTCATGACTGTAAACGTGACTTAGTAAACCTAAAGTGTTTTTGTACCAGGCTGTTAGCATGTTTATTTCTGCTGTGAAGCTGATATTTTTAACATGGGAGTCAATGGGAACTTGCTCCTTTCTGGAGCTAGCCCCTAGTGGATTTGGGAAGAGCTGCAACTATTGTCACTTCTGTGTTGGCTTCACTTTTGGCAACTGATTAAAGCTCTCTCCTGGAAGCTAAATCTACAACAGCCATCCCCGTAGTGAGGCGAGGTGGGCAAGTCCATAAAAGACAAAATTTACAGCGTGATGTGCTAGTGTCCCTGGCTTTTCTAATCTGAGCATTTCCCAATCTGTTTTCTGTCTGCTTCTAATGCAGGAAATAGCGGTGGAAGACTATTTTCACATATAGCCTGCATGTTAAACTCAGTGACGATCACATTTCAAAAAGAACAAGTAAAAAACAGTTTCTCAGTAAAATTGGCCTTTACATAAAGGATACAATTTTGTTGGGATTTCTACAAGATGGAGAGATTCCCATAAAATATTATAACTTCTTACTAAAAAGGTTGTGTTGAAGGCGTCACTGACCTGTTTCCCCCCAAACTGGCAGATATTCGTCCTGCTGGATGTCCAACATGATCTCCAAGCCGTTCCCTGTGCCGCCTTTTAACGTAGTCAGCAACGGGTTGCCGTCCAGCCCTGAGTTGAAGGTGTAGCATTTCCCGTAACGCGTGTAAATCTGCAAATAAACAACAACAAAACAGGTAAAGGGTGTAAATATATAAACCCTCAAAGGAATAGCCAGCTGTGTGCAGATGTTTTACACATCAGCATGAGACCGTGGAGAACAGGATAACCCTGCAGAGGATTTTTGGTTATCAGAGAAACCTGCACTGGCAGTAAACAAGCACCTGGCTCAGATTTCAGGAATGAGCAGCGGCAGCAGCACCAGCTATCAATCTTTATCCAATTTCTCTTCAAATGTCCCCCAAGTGACTTAGAGTGAAAATACTATTTTGCCACCATTTAATATGAAATATCCAAAAGTAATAAAATCTCTGATCACATCAAAAACTCTTAAATGGGATTTAACCAACTCCAATAAAGCTCAACAGTTCACTGCAGGCTGCCTCACATAAAGATAAACAAACATAAAATATTCTGAATTGATGTAATTATTCTAATTTACACAATTATTTGCTTTAATGTTTAAAGAGAGCACATTTTTCATTTTCTGTTTATTTCATATTCCCACACAAAATAATTGAAACCATGTTGGGTTTAAATAAATAAATCCTAACATTTTAAACCATTTGAGCAGTGCAGTGCAAAGTTAGCAGTTTGAAATCACATCAAATATACAATTTACTATGAAAATTCTACAGAAATAGTTTTTTAAACCATAAATTTCATAAAAACTATTTTCAGGTTTTTGTTCTCAATAAACAGGCTTATTGAAATGAAATTAAAGGTGTGGTTTACTCATTTACTCAACACATTTGAAGTGTTCTCTAGTGTAAATCAATGCCATATTAGTCATTTAAAAATAAAAGCTATGATGCTCCTGTTCTGAGATGTAGATGTTTGTTTGTGCAGACGTGGGCTGAAAACAGCAGGATTACTCATTATTATTAATGATATGCACACACCTCGCTTTTGATTGGCTCACAGAACGCGTTCAGCCATGTTGCAAAGTCACTATCACCAAGACACTCTCCTCTCTCTCGCCTCACTGCAGAAGAAACCCAAAAAGCCTTCCTGTGGGCGGGCGTGAGCCAAGATGGGCGATGCTTTGAATGCTCATTCGCAGTGTGACATAGATATGTGAGAATTTTCAAATCCTAGCATTTCACCATCTATTTTCTATTGGAAGCTAACACAGGAGATAGGTGTAGAAAATTATTTTCATGTTCAGCCAGCATGAAAAACTCAGTGACTAAATATAATCAGAAACAATTATTAAATATGGACAATAGCTGATGTAGTTTAGACAAAAACAATGTGAATCTCTAAAGTAAATGGAAGCCTGTAAAATAAAAAAATAACGAGAACATGAAATTAACTTAAACAATAATAAATTTAATTATTTACTTTTATCACTATTTTTTACCTGAAAAGTAACTGCTAAAGCCAACTTAATCTAAAAACTGGGATGTTCTTGTTGATGCCAGATGATTTTAGACACCCACCAGTAACTTTTCAGGAAAACAAATTTTAACATAACTATCTAAACAGCCAATAGCATAGCATCGACTCAGTTACTTTAACCATCAAGATGTGGTGAAGATGAGTTTCTGAAGTTCAGACATCAGAAAGAAGATTTAAGTAACTTTGGAAGTGGCGTTGTAGTTTGCAAAATTACTTTACTGTGCATAAAAGTCTAAAGGATTCTCTATTGGATGCATGGAGTTAGGTAGAAAAAAAGAGCTTGTAAAATATAAAGCATAGTTAGCCAAACGTAGTCATAATTTCCAATTAATGGTCAGATATGTCCAAATATTTTAATTTCCTATGCAGCAATGTAAAAAACCAAATTCAGACTGAAACTATATGTGTTTTCACATCTTACATGAAAGGCATAAATGCATTTTCATGGGACATTTTCAGCATTATCCAGTGTGTTGAAAGAGCCAGCTGGTAAAAACTTAAGCAGTGGGGGCGGAGCTCATCTCCAGAGATCCGAGCCAGTGTTTCACGTCCAGACTCAGACAGACACAGCAACGGCTTTTCTCCCTGCTGGCTTTATAATGAGGTCTCCAAACTATCGAACTGGTGACTGTTGTAAAAAATTTAGACGGAACATTGAATAAAAGAAGAAAAGCCAGCAGTTCAGCACTTCAGCAAAGCTGCATGACATGATTCAGATGCAGCTTAAATCCACATATCACCATGTGTGACTGACTTCCTGGTCTCAACGATGACGTTTTATTAGTGAAAAGGTTTTAAACTATTATTAAAGCAGAAAAACTGAAGTCACAAGGAGCATTTGACTCTTGCAATACTTTACACACCTGCACTTGTATAGCACTTTCAGTCAGAGGACTCCAAAGCACTTTACAGTGTATTATTCAGCCATTCACACGCTGATGGTAATGTTGCCAATTCTGCTAAATTTCCAAATGACACCATTCCAATCAACATAACCCCCACATTTTCCTCTCAGTAACTCAGAGAGGGAATCAAGCCCCTTCCTCAACCTCTTTCAGAGTAGACACACTGATCCAGGTCCGTTCTCCTGCAGGATTCAAACTAGTCGCTGAGTCGTTTTCAGCTTTTGTATTTAAAAGGTTAACGGTCATGAGCTTTGAACTCAATTCCCACACAACAAGTGCTTCTCATTGAAATCATTCACACACCAACCCAAAGCTCTACAGAATGAGGTACACAAGAAAACTTTTTTTATATTTTATGTTGTCACACATAATGTCTAAAATGTACTGCATCATCTTTGAACTCTGGACCTCCTGCACACCAAACCAATGACCTAATGACCAACCAGCTTTCCAGTGTTTCCCAAAATTAGAAGATTCTGAACTAAAAGTATATGTCTGAACTTCTCCTCTAACAGTATTTCATTGGTGGTTTGATGAGAAACGTTAGTAAATCCATGGGCTATATAGGATGTGATGTAAAAAGAACATTCTTAACTAATTTACACCTTTGATTTTCTTCTGGATGGATGGATGGACGGACGGATGGATGTATTTGAACCAACACACATTCAAACATTTCCCTTGCTGCTTGAGCTATTCACCCCAAACTAAACGTAGCTGTCTTAAAGTGGGAGTCAAGGCATGGGTGGAGACTTATTTCATCCATACTTCCTGTTAGGAAAACTCTTCTAAAAGAGGCGTCGCCTGGCGGTCCGAGAGAGCGAATGATTGCACGTCTACAGCACTATTAGACACTCATCAATACAGGTTATCAGCAAGAAATAAATTAATTTAGGTGTTACTTGTTCTTTGAAGGTTGAATTTAGAACAATTTAATAAAAGGCTATATTTTTTTAAAACATGATACCACCACGAGGCATTTAGAGGTGTGCAGAATTTACTGCATTTTATTTAAAAGCTTAATTCTAATTAAAAAAATAATCATATATTTCTTTTAACGGGCACGACACAGGGTTTATGTTTACATCTTCCAGCCAACAGAGGGCACCACTGCAGGTTGCAGAACAGTCGGCTCGGTGCAGCGAGGCTGGCGCTGTGGAAATGGTGGACTCGGCTAGTCAAGCAGCTGCTTCTGAGCCCAGAAGATGTCGTTATCCTTCTAAGAAGAGAAGCAACCATAAAAGATCTGTAATCAGAGTCAGTTTAGGTGAAGCCTAAATAAAACCTTTCACATATCTGCAGTGAACCTGACATCTCGAAGGCTGGAAACCTTGTGCTATTGTTCATAGGCGTCATTTTAACCAGGGACACCGGGGACATGTCCCCGGCAAAATTTGTGATTGGCAGCTGTGTCCCCCCCACTTTCAAAAACACCTGCTGATGAGGATTTTTGTTTTACCAGCTCAGATCTTACACCAGGGGTCGGCAACCTATTCCCATCAAAGAGCCATTATTACCCGTTTCCCACGGTAATTTTGGACGGACCTTAATAAGCAGTGACTTAAGTGAAGCAGGCAGGTCGCGCTAGAAAATTTCGTTTTAAAAGACGTCATAAATGTGTTCCCCTGTCCTTTTTATTTATAAAATATGAAGTAAAAACTCACAATTTAATTTTCATTCATTTGTCATTAATATGTAGTCTACACCCGTGCGTTAAGTGGACCATCTTCCAGTAAACGCAAAGCATCCAGTCCACCTCTCCAAATGCGTAAAATGTGCATCAGCCACTAGTTAGGCGCGCAGCGCGCACCGTCAGCTACGTCAGCCCAGACAAGAGCAGAGCAAATAGAGACAGAATAGAGGATAATTCTGTCTGGATGTGGATGGAGATTACATTTTACAGCAGCCTGATCATCATTTAAATACGTAAATCATCACCTGTCTTCTAGTCCACGCTATCAGCATTATTTTAATTGGTGTGTGTGTGTGTGTGTGTGTGTGTGTGTTTTCCACTTCAAACACTGGTCTAACCAACCAGACCAGCATGTCCAGTAACACATTAATGTTACACTTCATGTAGGCTAGGAACATTTCACCTGCCGTGGCCCGACCGCTTCTGCTCCACATAAACTTTGTGCGTGATCAAATGTCTCTACGCGTCATGCGTCTCCATATTAGAGACGGGAACAAGCACTGTTCAGCCAAAGTTTCATAATTTCATAAAAAGAACATTTTTCCAAGTGGCACATCCCTCAGAGAGACCAGGTTTCCAGACTGTTTCAGTGGGAGGAAATCTTATCGCATGCGCGTGGTTCTGCACTGCGCTGGAACCCCAGATCTTCAGCTCACTGTCCACCGTGGGCGCTCCGAGCCGCGCTGAACACAGTGTCCAGTTTAAAGCTCTGATGTTCTGATGGGAATATTTTACCTCCGCGATGTGCGTTAACAATTAAAATGTCAGCTCATCCATGCGCATCCGTGTGCGTCTGGGTAATTCTTTCAAACCAAGCAACATCCTTGAGTTCATCTGTCAAAATAAACAGTCAAATGGAAATATATGTAACCTGCCGTTTAACTGTTTTGCCTTCCTGTGAAGATTGTTGCAAAGAGAAACAATTAAACTTGATTAACCCCAGAGCCACCCAGAGAACCAGAGCGCATGCGGGAAGATTCCTCCCACTGAAGC